TGCAACCACAGAACTAATCGTCAAGCTCTAAACTGTTGAGAAAGGAAGACTATTTTACTGGATCAATCACGCAATAAAACCGTGGCTTTGAGTTCAGAGAACATAATTTCCGGATAAAGATTAAACTGACTGGCTATCACAAAGAAGATCTTGACTCATAAAAGGCTGGTATTTTTGCAAATTGCACTTACCAAATAAAATTATCCTGAAGTTTCTTGTTGCCTACCTATATTCAACTGAGTAAAACCACCCTCTTAAATCATCCACAGGGTTGGGTAACATTTTGACGAAAATTGTTTCCTTCCAAGATGACTTTTTGAAAGGGTTATGTCGGAACAAGAAAATTTCTTGTGCTATTTGCTTGTTAATAGCCTTAGAAAATTTGCGTAAAGCAAAGATAAACCTTTAAGTGGCCGGACATGTATCATGTGAACAAAATTCGTTCTTATCAAAGGAAAAGATAACTTAGTGTTCTTTTCTTCCTTAACTGTGTTATATAACTGTGTTATATTTACGGATGTCGACCTGAAAAAAATTTTCTGGAACGCTTTCTCTAAAGGACTTTAGGCTCGGAATTTGGAAAGGTTTCTTTTTCAGTCAAGAAATTGGTTGGATTTTGGTCTTTAAACGCCAGTTTTAAATCCAAATGTTTGTCCTAACAGAAAGTGTAATGTGAATGTCTAGAATTCCTAATCAACTCTAAATGACACCTACTCGTCGGCTGAGAATCCCCTATTGTCAAAATTTATTTAAACGCACCTTGGGTTGAAGTTCAGAGGAAGCAAGTTGAATACCGGCTTTTTTCGGTTGTGATATCTGGGTTTACAGAATTTTTTAAGTGAATGTATACGTCCGTCTCTCATGAGTTCAAAGGAGATTCGCCAAACTCCCTGTCAGAACATCTCCGTATTGAATGTGGCGTATCTGGCGCGAAAGCGGGTTTTACGGCTCTTTTTCCTAAAAGCTGAGGAAATGTTTTAACTTCGTAAATAGGATTAAATTTACTGCAATTAACTTCTACTGGAAACCTGACTACTCTCACGCAAGCTTCAAAAACAACAGCTTTAGGATTCGTTATTTTTAAAAGCTTTTAAAAGTGTTAATTGTAGCCACGCGTCTAAAGCGGAAAGAGCTTTCAATAATTTTTTTCTAACCCAACTTTGTTTTGTGAGGAGTTTCTGACCGAAACCTCGTGCGCCAGTGGTTCCGATTGGAAAGAGACCAAGAGTGGGCATAGGGCACGTCCACGTTCAGTTTTGTTGTTGCTTTTGGATTTTTTTACCTAACCTTGGTAAAACAATCTCATCATTTTTGTGTTGTGAGATGACATTGGGTTTACCGCCAAAGCCTGAATCTTTTTTTGACTCTGCGAGACGAGGCAGAATTTTGCAAGCGCTCAGCTGAACCCTGCACTTGTGATAAAACAGTTCTGATTGAATTAGTCAAGTTATCGCGCTCTTAACTCATTGACCATCGTGAGAAGTTAACCTGAGCATTAAGCAGCAGATAGCACTCGGTTGTGACTTGAACCAAATTGACTGATCTTCGGGCTGACAAAGGACTTAATGAGGTGCTATAATTTTGTTATGCAGTAATACACATAGACACAAATATTTTTTCAGCTCAAGGAGTCGCTCGCTTGAAATTTTCGACAGCCGTTTGGAATAATAAGCGCTAAGATGATTCTCCCCTTATCTGTAAGCAAATCACCACATCATACAGTTTCGCGAACTGACTCCGTAGTTTTGGTGTTTTCTGACTTTTCGTGTTCAAAGATAGCACCGTGTATGTGACTAGTATGTTATTGTTCGCTCTATAGTATTGTTGTAGTAGACGCCTAAAGCTTTTGGTCGTGGTATGGTTCCTTACTGATATGTTTATTACAGACTGAATTGTTCGTAAAATCGGAAATTCTTCACCATATGCAGGGTTAGATAAACCAATGCGCGCTATCATACGATTGTTATCGCACTGACCTCACCACGGCTAGGCATTTGAACATTGATATCAGACCCAAGCTTTCTTAAATTCAATTTATAGACCGACATATTTTATCTTCGAGTTCGTTTCACCTATGTCGTTATGAAGACTGATGTAGATTATCAGTTCTGCTTCACCGACAAAGTTATCGTAGAGAAGACCCGATGCATTCTAAAGTTGGTCCAGTGGAATAGCAGTGGCGTGATGGCCAATGGTTGTCCAATGGGCACTGCGTTTTGCCTTTGGCAAATTCTGAAGGAATGTGCTTTTGCAATTTGAACCGAGCTGTGTAGGTGAAAATAGCTGCATTGTAATCGGAAATGTCCACTTAAACTTGATTTACAGTTGACACTAGAATCTCGATTAAATTTTTTAGAAGCAAAACGTCGAGACTCTGCAAGAAACAATCTTTGGCGCGTTGCACGCAACAGTTTCTATCGAGTTTCATTTAAAGTTCATGTTGGAAGTTCGTATTGGCCTGTTTAGGCTTGCATTCGATTTTAGTCAAGATTTTACAAGTTACTACAGCCAGTTGATGTGTAATCATATCTTTGTTAGATTTGAACGGCTGTTGGCTTCTTACAAACCTGAAGACCAAAAGGAAACTGTTTTACGTTTCTAAACTCGCCCTTTGGAGCTCACTCTCTTCGTACTTTCCAAAAAGTGTTTTGATAACCGAATCGATGAACACCGTGAGGGAAAAATTGTCGCTTTCTAACTATAACTTACTACGTTTGAAGCTCTTCTTTAACCACAATAATTTGTGATGTCTACCTTCGTCTGATATAAGGCCTGTTATCGTACTCAATGTTAGATAGCCTTCGCGTGCATTTTGTCCTATGCTCGTCATGGTATACCTTTAAAAAATGCCCTTTCTCTGAAAAAAAAAAAAAACGCGACATAGTTTTCTCAACTTCTAACTTCATGGAGAACTTAAATTCACTGACTGGCTTGGAGTAACTCCCTGATCGTGTGAGAGAATGAGTTCTTATTCTACAGTCATTTCCAGACGAGACTCTTCGATAAAGAAATATTTATCTTTTCGATGAATAAACAGGCAAAGCGTTATTTCAAAACTATCTATCGGTCTCAGCCAAATTCCACCTAGCAAACACATTCCGACCGTTTCTTTCAGATTTGGATTCGAGGAAATGTCATCAGTTGGATGAAAAATTTTAAAGACTTTTTATCGAGATATTCTTTTATGCTCCTGGCACAACACGACTAATCGTCAAGCGGTACCTCTACTCAGAGAGATCACTTAACTTTGTGCACTTCTCTATAAGAGCAGTATTTTCAATACTGCCACCCTTTCAAAAGAGCTGTTTGTATTAATTATAAATCGTCTGTCGTTAATGTGTTTTCACATAACCAATACTCAGTCGCTAGCGTGCTAGGTGTCACGTCTGGCCTTTTTTTTCTTCTTTTGTTGCTGTGAATGAAGGCTTCCTGTGAGAAAGTGCTATCTCAAGGACATAAATACAATAACAAAATAACAAAATATAAAGCTGGTCGAAAAATCAAGCTGGGTTAAGCACAAATGTACTAGAGTCACCCTTGTCACCTGACATTTATCGCCAGGTTCCCCTCAGCAAGCCAAACGTACTACGTTTCCTCTGATTGGTATTTGAAATCTTTGAGGAATGGGCAGGAAATAGTCACGCGCTGTCAACTGAGAACCGTTTATGTCGAGAAACTTTTGTTTCTGGAGAATGAAGATAATAAATGCGTAGCTCAAACTTTGCTTTTGCGCAGCAGAAAGTGTCGGATCCGAGCTGTTCAACATTTCTTTCAAGAGCTGAGCTTTCATCCCTATTATGAAGAAAGGAATTATAATATAACAACAAATGAAAACAATGTAATTGGTTATTCGAGTTTTTAACTAAATCTTAAAAGTATTTTTTTTTCTGACTGATTATTTTTAGTCTTGTAGCTTTTTTTTTTTATAGCCATTTAGCGGTTTTGAGATCAACTTTCATTAACGTATAATTACTTAAGTATTTTGTTCGAGAGAATTTGCGGAAAAAGGTTAATTGTGATAAATTGCTCATCAAATCCTCCCTTCTGAATATATAGTGCTCAGTATGGATCATTGGTTTTTCGAGCGTCGCTAGGAAGCGTCTGCTTACGCGCGAAGTGTATGTTGAGATAAGATCCCGTAGTTTTTTTGTATATAAAATATCAAAAGTTGGTAATCACCTGATATCATGTTTATCCCACGTGAACACCAAAGTCCTTTTGAAAATGTTTTGCCTTAGTGTATGACTTAATAACCCGTTTCGTTTTCTAAACCGATTAACTAAGGAATCCTAAAATCGCGTTTGTCAGTTTTTGTACCTTAATATGCGAGTAACATTAGTAATGAATGTGCTCGCAGTGCTAAGTCCAAATTGATTCGACGACGAATATCATAAAAAAATTACTCTTATGATCTCTTAATTATAACGTTGTCCAATCAGGAAGCTTATTACATCAACCATGGTTTAAGAAACTCGCCGAGATTACATAGGAGAACGTGATGGAGCGGTATAAAGTAACGTTATAAAAACCTTCAAACCTTTTTACTTATAGGATTGGACTGAATAATTACGTTTGAGGAGTGAAAGCTAAAAATTCCACGGCTTAAAATTGTTGTCGTCGATATTTACCAAACAATACTACGTAGACGCAATTCTGAACAATCACACTTTACAAACACGAAAGAAACACTTAGGAAAAAAGTCAGGTCTGTATGCAGCCATTATGAACTTAGGGTACTATAAGTAGGGGGAATATTAGGTGCCCGTTCTTAGACATCATGCTAAATAATATGCAAAAAAATGACAAAAAGAAGATCCGTTGTCTAACTAATTGGATGAGAAAAATTCCTTAAACATCGAAATTGGACGAGGTATGTGATAACGAAGAGAATAATTGCGAGGGTCGAAGTTCAGGCCTGTTTCATGTCCTTTCCAGCCGAGCGTGCAAAACACTTCGGTTTTGTAGACCTTATCTTTCTTCCCAGGCGAATAAGTACTGATGAATTGTTGAAGTGATTTGCACTCCAAGACGCATCAGTCGCAACAGATGCCTCTTTCCAGAACATGTCAATGCCGGCCGAGTGTTTTCAAGGGCTGATCACGAAACAGAATTGGCGCCACCGTTGATCAGCATTAAGGTGGGAAAAAGCCAAGAGGGCGGGGAACAAGCGAGTGATCCAAGTGAGTGTCTACAACTGAAGGTACAAGGCAAAGAGACGGACATTAATCCGTTGTTGCTTGCTGTATTCAGGCAGAGGTTCAAATCGGGGTATGGAAGCCATTATTTTCATGTAAATTTGACCATAGCTCTCATTTTACCTTGTTAGATCTTCAAACAGCCTATCGGACTGTAATACTGCTACGCATCGGAGAAAGTCCCAACTCCCTAGCAGTATATTCTCTACTTATCTTTCGAAGTGATATCACAGTAACTTTAATTTCCCACCTCTCTCTCTTAAAACAAAGACGGGGCTTTCAAGCTCACTCTGACTTTTGCATTTAAGCTGAACGCTTATTTCAAATCTTAGCGCGAAGGGTTTTCTATAGTATGGTCAGGTGTTCTAAATGTGTCATTTGACTGGGATATTTAAACTGTTTAGAAACGATATGCTGTTGCTACTTTTAGCCATTTATTCAACCGGCTAAAATTCACTTCCAAAAATAATCACAACTCATCGTGTAGTACAACTTATCAACCTTTGTTCTTTTCGAAAGGTTTTCTAATTCTTTGCACAAATTCCACGAAAACAGTGGATACAATGTGAGGGGAAAAAGGCTTTGGCTTGATCTCATAAACCTTATGACACATGACCAGGCAGTCATTTCAGTTCAGTTGTAAATTATTACTGTTTTGCGAATGACCGAAATGTCGCATTATTTGGATTGGTACATATTGGTAGGGCTTCCCTGATCTTCCGATTTGAATCTTTAGCAATAAAAAATTCTACAACATAGACATTCCATCGCAAAGAAACTGGTGCTCAGTCGCGTGCAAGTGAAAAGACTTCTTTAACAGCACTCTATTGGCAGTGATAAATTAAGAAATACAATATAATAGTTTTCGTTCAGGCAATTGCCAAGGGCTACATGCTAGACCGAAAAAATCCTAGTCGCGGTTATAAACGTCTTTTCTCTCTGGAAAATTAGTTTTTCAAAATATCGACAGAGAGCGTCAAAGTTAATGTTACCTCAAAGCTGTAGATTGACCATTAATCAATTTCATTTCTGACAATTTCGATTTGATAAAATCAGAATCGTTCAACCAGGGGGTCTGTAAATCAGTTTCACTCCCTGTGAATACTCTTGTGAATTAACGATCTTAAAATTATTCAATTATTCTTTATATTTCAACTAAGTGTATCAGTGCTTTGAGGGTGGGGCAGTAATCCAAACTTGTTTTTAGTAAATTACTGCTTTTGAAGTTTCCTTATTTTTAGCAGTACAGTTTATTTAGAGCAGTCTCAAGAATTATTTGAAAATCGCACACAGTGAATCCATATCGTTTTATGTAAGATGTAACAGTTTATGTTCTTTATTTGATGACAACATTTAAAAGAGATAGAAGAACGGAGCTAAAATTTCAGTTACTTGGAAGAGACAAGTTCTGAGAGTCTTGCGAAATCTATAGTCATGGTTAATGTTCAGACGTTACGAGATTCCTCACAGACTTGCAAGTAATTTCCTTTACTCTTGCGGGACTAAAATAAGCCTTCCTGTTGCACCTTAAATGGTGTTCTGGTGGTTTTTAGATTTCTACTAATATCTTCCCTTCAGGGCTTCAGGGAAGGTGACCACTGCATAATACATTGGCAGGATTTTTACTTTTTGGAAAATTTTCCCCTATCAGCAATAATCTGTCTTTAACAAAAACATCTAGAAGCCGTGATTTGTGCGCAGTAAGAAAAAGATTATAAGGTTGTAAGGTGATTATGTCTTGATGTAACGACACTTCACGTTGCTAGGTGAGGTAGATGTCTGAGGGGCCCAGTAAAGTAGAGTACTGGTTGATATTTTTGGATTAGACATAATATTGAGACAATACGAGCCTTTAAAGCGTAAGTGTCTGTCTCTAAGGGTCGGATATTGGTGGCGCTTACCTTTCACTCAAAGGAACTCAGTCGTTAGGCACATTATTTCATCGATATTTATTCTTCTCCGAAACCATCAACCTTAAAAAAAATCTTTCCTTTGCTGACATTTTATCTAACATGGCGAGCTTGTGAGTAAACACCTGTTGAGACAGAGGCGTGTGAGCACTTGGGTTTATCAAAAATGGTTTTTATCGAAACACTTGATTGGTTTGTTTATACCAAGCATATTTCCCATAGCGATTAGAAGTAATTTAAGAAACATAACCTCGAAAAAGGAGTTGCAATGTTCCATCTCTATAATTGTCATGTGTCGACTTAAAAGCATTTTTAGAGAGTGTGTTTTTCCGTGGGAGTCATAGCAGATTGAACACTCGAGTTGTTACGAACAAAGTTTGTGGCGCGTTGCAACGTTTAAAGGTTACATTATTTAAAGGTTATGGGACTTTGAGGTTGGAAATTTCAGTTCCAGCAACAGCACTGTCGAACAACATTTAAGGAAATAATTATTTTGAGTAAGTCAACTTTTATCTAGTCAAGGTCGCCACTGGGAACCTCAGATTATGATTAGTTATTGTTAAGCTCTGATTTTAACAAAACACAGGATATGGATCCCAAAGGTAAAGGTAAAGGTAAAGAAAGAAAGAAGTAAATGTTATTTGTACCAATTTGCCTGTGACACGCACATAAATTGATCAATTACAAATCATTTAGTAGGAAATGCAATTAACAGTCGTTGCAATGCGACTCCGATTTTTTGTTCGTAGAAAAGTTTCAGTCCGTCAGGTCTCTGTTGACTAGTGCCCAAAATTTGCGATTCGAAAACAAAACGAAATTCGCTGTCTGATGATTTGAAAGTACTTCAACGACTTATATTTGAGTAAAAACACCGCAGTATCATTTAGTTCATGGTCGACATCTGCTGAGGCAGATGATTGGTGAAAATATTCGCTCTGTGCCTTCCTCTTTTTCATTGAAAATTAAGATAGAGTTAAAATGTATGGCCAGTGCATACTTGTCTTCAAATAAAATACACATACACGCGTAGTAACGGAAACGTTCCGGCTCTTTAATAGCTTTAATAGCGACTTTCGTAGCTTTTAGTCGACTTGATGGTCCTTTTTCCCAAGCTGCAATCACGGGGAAACAAACGGAAATGTTCAATTGCTCGAGGTGATATGTTCAGACTTACATCTACCATTATGTTACTAACTAATAACCATCATTATTAGCTTTAGTTTAAAAAATTATCTTCCTTTTTCGTTTGGTATATATATATATTTTTTCAAGTATCAACGGAGAGGTCATATTTGAAGGTGTTTACTTTCTTTTTTACTGTGGATGTTAATCTCCCGTGCAAGCCTAACGTCTTTAGTTTGAATGTTAATGCCTGCTACATTGATGCGCCCCAGCAGACATATTAAAATCCGCCTTTAAACTCAAGTCCATACCTAGAAAAAAAGGAAGTAAGTTGAAAAGTTATCAGAACAAAGCTCTATGTCACCTAAAAAAAGAATTCATATTACTTTTCGAATCCGGAAGTATATATTGTTTCAATATCCACTAGAAAAAACGTTTTCAAATACCGTTATACAACATCGTCTAAGAACCAAATTGCCTTGTTGAAATCGAACGTTCAGAGTTAAATTCCAGTCATTTTTCTAGTTCTCTGAAGTGCACTGTTAATCCCCGCAAACTTACAGTTGTCTATGCGTCAGTGTCATTTAGCTTTTACGTTGACACTAAACCAGTCAAATTACAAGTTTAAATTGTTGATGTTTTCCGTTCAGGACATATGCAGAGCTGGCTAGAGCCAATTCGAAATAAACAAGACACTGTTGATTCCGGAAATCATCATTGCCGAAGTAACTATTCCATGAATTAATACCGAAATCCTAAAGTTATTTGTAATCTTTTCAACTTATTACTTCCGGTCCTTCACCTCGTGAATGTATTTAGAAAAATTTAATGGATTTACATCTGAAGGACGGGCGGAGTTACAAGATAACCGTGGATTTGATGAAGATTCGGAATTTCGGGAATTAAACCGAACTATTTCAGTTCAGGTTGGGTCTGCCCCTTACCTCTACAGAAAGTTAAGCTGCCAGAAAAAATGTATGTCAAAAAACACATTCACACATGGAATGCTAATGCTAGCGAAATGCTGTTGTTGTTTTTCAATTTTTTTAAAAAAAGTTACCGACTGGCTATATGGTCAAAGTAGATTTTCTCTAGCTCTATATCCGATATAAGGAGTTTTCATCTATATTTTAGAAAAATTTGAAACGGAAAAAATCAACTGCGAAGTAACTTTTCGTGAACTTGATACCGAGATCTAAAAATTATTTGCAATACTTTCGTTTATTTCTTCCGGTCCGTCAACCCCTAAATGTATTTAAACAAATTGGGTGGATTTACAACTGAATGACGGGCGGACTTACGAGATATTTGCGGATTTGACCACGACTTGGAATTTCAGGTATTAGGACTGAATATTTCAGTTCGGATTGGCCCTTGCCAGTTCCCCTCTTTTGCAAAAATGGCAGACGAAGATGGTTTTGACAGAAAGTTAAGTTTGGCTGGGAAAAATGAAAATATATATTTCGAAAAAACGCTTTAATATTTACGTAAAGGGATTCTAATACAACCGAAGTATTGCTTCTGTTTTTAAAATTGTAAAGAAAGTTATCCGCTAATCATATAATCAAGGTGAATTTTATCAAGCTCCATATTTGATACAGGGAGTTTTCGTCCGTAGTTTACATGAAATTAGACCTGAAAATTGAAAACTTTCTCCGAAAAGCAAAACAGTCCAGCGTTTTACTGAAAAGAGAGGGACAAAGAGGGGGTAGACTGTGATTTTAATCAAGCCGCTGTTTTCGAACTAAATGCTATTTTTATCGGTCGTAGTTTTTATAACCCAGATAATTAAAAAGCAATAGGAAGCATAGATGACTAGACGCTGCGCCAGCACAAATGATAACAAGGGAAAGGAATCTAGGGTCGTTTAAAAATAGCTTTTGATATATTGACTTTAAGTGATTTGAGCTAGCTAGAAACCCAAACCAAGCTGTCCTCTGGCGTGGTTCATCAAAGCGATTCGTTCTCCCAAAGTTCATTGTTTTGTGTTTTACTTTTATCTTTTTCTATTCTCTTCAATCGCTTTTGTTTGTTTTAGGGTTTTTTAATTTTAATTCTGTTAATACTATTATATTTAAACTGGCTTTTTGACAAAATCCAAGTGAAATATTCAACTTACGCAAGAAAGCTGAAGATTTAGTGCGCTTACAGCAGTTTAAGTTTTAAGCTTTTTGATATAAAGTATTTAAGACTTTTTATTTAAGTTTCAAAACATACATACCTGTGAGTTATCAGATCGGTCGAAAAATTTATCTAAGATCTCCAAGCGGATAAACCTTATCATATGTGGTCGTTCCCGTTCGGCGGATTAGAGCTGAAATGTTGAAATTAGTCTCTAGTAAAATCTTTGTTGTCGCCCAAATCTCAAGTACAAGGACAGTTATGACTGGATTTTCTAATTGCTGTTAATTTGATTATATTCATCCAAAGCGCGAGAAAACTAATACTTGAGTCACTCTTATCCAGCCGAAGCGTGCCGAGGTGTGTTAGAAGTGTCGAAGGTTCACGACCGTTTCACTTCGAAGTTCGATGAGATTAATAGGGCAAGTGATTGACCATCGAGAGTTCTGTAATTGTCTTTTCTTAAGTCACGAATGTTCGTTGCCACTAATTAAACATGAAAACCTTTTAGTAAAACTACTACTCGTTGACATTCGCCGACAAATTAGCAAGACTGGTGGTTATAAAGCAGTACAGCTTTGTTCCTGCTCATAGTTGCTATTGTTTTCTAATGACGCCCCAGAGTGCAACATTGATTGGTCACAAATCGCTGAGTTTTGTGTGTTTTATTCCCTTCATAAGGTGCACTTGTGGTTGCCGATTTTATCCAGCGAAAACCTTACCACCAGGGGTCCAAAAATGCCAGAGACAAGCCTGAGGGTTTCGATATTCGATCAAGTTACGAAGACGACCTGATATTTGCTACGATGCAGAGAAGTTTGTTCAGATCTTTTGGTGAGTCTGATGTGAGTCAAATGCTTTGTCCCTCATCAATGAGGAACTATTGACGCTGATCTTACCTTACGAATCCAGGCTTGTCGCCAACAGATCGGCAGCTTTTGAAATAGCTTGGAGTTCTCGCTTCGTCTAAGTAGTTGTTTTATTGTTTTGTATTGTCTTCTTTAACGCTTATAACGCAAAGTCAATTGATGTTGTCATACAGCGCTACGTGGTTTTCGTTGCTTACATAGCATTCCCTCTTTCCTTCTAGTACATTGATGAATCCAAGGTTATGAAAACTGCATATTTCTTTATTTTCTTAATTAGAGTGATCAGCGACACCATTCCTCCTGAGAACGTTCTCGTACCTTAGTTAAAGCTTCTCGAAAGAGAGATGAGATCCCACTTGTATCCGCGTGTTTGTCTCTGGCCGAAAGTGCCTACTGTCCCACAAGTATATTTTACTTTGGCGATTATTTCGTTTCTTTGTGGAAACCTTCTGGCCTGTGGTCCTGGGCCAACCGGAAGAAATACTCGTTCCAGGACTCCGATGAAGTTTCGACAAAGAATCCCTGATGTGGAGGAGACCTCAATACAAGCCAGTGGAGAATATGTTGGTCGAGTAAAGAGAAGTGAATTGGAGGAAAATTTTAACCCAGATATCGTTTTCAAAAACGACGAAAAAAATGAAGATGATAGAAGAATGACCAAGGTAACCGCTATTGCAATTTTGGATTATTTGAAAATTATAGGACTAAATCCTTAAGTGAAATCAATCAAACGTTATGGTTTCAGTACCCATACATGGATTACTTGCTTCATTTACGGCCATACATGGACAAATTCGCCATATTCAGGATGCTATTTTCATGCAATTCTAACTGTCAAATGCTAAATGCTAACGATAGTTAGCATTAACCGGTCGAAAGTAATCATCTTTATTGCGTCGATCCGAAAGTGTCGATGATGTGTTATTGGTCGCAAATTTTGCACGGGTTAGAAGTCCAACTCCCAGACATAAGACTACCGATGATGCGTGGATTGAGTTCACGAATCAAGTTTCCTAACCGAGAGTTCTGAAGTGCTGATGTTAAGCTTTGTTTTGTTAAGTAGTGGTTATTGCTCTGCTATTCATGTGTTTTTTCAAAGAACGGTATTTCCTGTCCTATTAGAGCTTACCTGCTTAGTGGAGCATTTCAGATAATCAAAGCTTTTTCTGGGCAGTGTATGTCGATAGAATTACAGCTTATTTTTAATAAAGAGCATAATAAACAATTGCAAGCGATAATTCGATTATCAACCAAGGACACTGCAATAAGAACATAATTGACTCATCAAAATAATGGTTGGGGACTGCAAGAAAGCGCACGGGCTGGCTTCAGTGCTGTTATCTTAGAATCTAAAGAGCTCCTGGGGAAAATATTTGCGGTGTCCTTGTATAGCGTCGACGACATGCATGTTCATCGATAGCACCGTAGGCTTGCTATAAGTCATGCACAGATGTCAATTTAACTATGGTAGCTTATGCCCTTAACACGCTTTGCTTGTTGTTTACTGTTACTTAGAATTGCCAAGACAAACTCGCCATTTTAGCATCTGCCGTGAAAACAAAATGGGGAGTAAGACTCCGAGTTATCGATGCTTACGATGTAGATAGCGGCAGAAAAAGGCACCATGGTAAGCACTCTCTACACCATGAAGGACGAGCTGTCGACATAGCTACGGAGGACCTTGATAAGAATAAATACCCACAGTTAGGAAGGATGGCCAATGAGGCTGGATTTGATTGGGTTTATTATGCAACTAGAGGCTACATTCACGCATCTGTTAAAACTGGTAGGTAAAGTATACATACGATACTGACTCTCATAGCTGTATGAGCTTTTTTCGGTTTAACTCAGATCCTGTAGGCCTATTGCTTCCCTTCCCAGATAGGTTAGTTGCTGGTCTTAGTTTTTTATGGACGTGGCATTTATTCATTTGAGGCCAAATACCTGTCATATTCGTTATGGTATACAAGAAGTAAGTTAAGTGCCAAAATACAAATATCAATAAAGTATGGTTAGGCTTTGAAACTTGAAAAGTGTTATTCAAAGGCAAGCGGTTATTTGTTTCAAAGTTATTTGAAAGAGAATTTGAAAAATGAATTACGTCATTCTGATTGACTGATTTAATGCTCTCTTTTTTAAAAGAAGATGCTGAACAAGAAAGGCTGAGTTACAACTGCTTTCCTGAAACAGCTTCTGTTCACCTCGAAGGAGGACGTACAAAGACTATGAAGGAGCTTAGAATTGGAGACAAAGTTGCGGCCATGGATACAAGTGGTCGCATAGTTTATAGCAGAGTGGTGACATTTCTAGACATCAAACCCAACACTTCTGGTGAATATATATCCATCCAGACAAGAAACCCTGCGGCTGAAGTGACAATTACGGAATCGCATTTGATCTATCAGCTAAACAAACATTCGCCGCTGGAGTCGGTGCGTTTTGCACGGGACTTAAGAGTCGGAGACTTTGTTTATATTCGAAACGGTGCTGGTTTGGAGAAATTCACAGCTGGACGCGTGAATGGAGTCAAACGGAGCACAGCGAAGGGGGCATACGCACCACTCACGGAAACTGGAAACATCGTAGTTGATAACGTCCTCTGCTCGTGTTATGCCGTGATTTCCAGTCATGAATTAGCTCATTGGAGTTTCGCCCCATTGAGGTTTGCAGATTGGCTGTTCCCGGGTATCACTGCTCACAGTAGCTCAGGTATGCATTGGTATGCAAGAATCCTTCATAAAATTTACACAAGTTGGTATGACATTACCTCGGGAATCTAGGTAAAACTTCCAAAAGCTAATCCTTTCATTATGGCACCTGTGATCTTGACCAAGGCGAAGTCAGTGGATATCGTGTGTAGAGGCTAGAAACGACTCTACGTGCCGCTTCAGTTCACAGCAATGTGGTTTATTCTATGTCGACTTCAAGAGTAATTACGTACTTGGCAGTATCAAAATATCAGAATCAGCAAAGACTGCAAGGTTTCCAAGAGGTGAAACCTCGTAAAACTGCATAATTCTCAGAATTCCCAACGGGACTTAATGAGAGTGCTGTGATCAATTTCTCGGCATCAGACTTTTGTATTCTAAATTATTTGATTTTTATTGAATATGACTGTTAGATACAATGTTAATTAGGCTAATTATGGCCTGTCATTGGCACCCCGCTGACAGCACTTACCAGTTCGCTTATCAACTCTTTACCTTGGCGAACTTAAGCTTAAGCCCGCAGCTCAGCAGAGGAAGCTTGTATGATGTATACAAAGAGCGTTTAGTTTTATGTAATATTCTGCATGTTATGGGTAACTTAGCAAAAATTTACCCAAGCAGTAGAATTAACAAAAATATCAGAGAGGTTTGATTCATTGAGAAAATTTATTATATGCAAAATAACCCTGATGTAAATAGATATTGTATTAAGGTGCTTTGAATTGGAGCCCTGGCCAATGTTCGTAAGAAGCTCTTTTATTACGGTTTACTTTTTTGGACAATCGATCAAGAAAACCTTTTTGTGCTCTCTGTCTGGTAGTTTGCTCGATAGCGTAAAGTTCATCTACTCAACACACGAAATTCCTAAATGAGTAATTCCTCTTAAGGTTAGGAGAAATGATTATATAATTTTATTTTTTTCCTCTGAGGAACGAATTGCAGTTAGTTGGTTTATACAAATACCTTTTTTATTGTATTTATTACAATCCCACTAAAACAAAACCGTAGAGTTTTAGATGAATTTAAACAATTTAAATAAGAAAAAAAAATCAATATTGCAAAAGTTGAATTATATGCTAGAAATGTGATTTGCGTCATGTTAGTTTCGTCTCACCATAATCTGTCTTGATCGTATCTAATGAATTAATGGTTTGACTAAGCTTTACAGAAAATACTTTGTTACGATACCGTTTGATATTGATCTAAGCACTGTTTTGTTATAAACCATTTGCAGATTCCTCAAAATGGACATTCCATCACGGTTGAATTTTTATCGAAGACTCTGATCATCAAAACAAATTCTTGAATATAGTCGCACCATATATATGGACTTGGGTTTAGAAGGTGTTGCATTGGTTTAAAACCGGGAAATGGGGTGGTAAACAGATAGATTTCCATTCCATTGTAAAGCACATGACAACCAAACAATATTGCTGGCAATAAACGCGAGAGAGCATGTAACCTGCTTCCAACGGTGGAAAATCTACTTAGTTCTTAGTTCATTCGTGATTGGCTGAAAAAGCATTCCTCTTCGATTTACAGAATAACTAAGAGACTATTATGTACGTTTTTTTAACGCCAGTTTGTAGCCTTTACAATTTGCTTCCAACTTCAAAGAAAAATATTTGTCAGCAAAACTAAGACCGGAGTTTTTTAAAAAAATTCACAACTCAAATGTGAAATCTTAAAAGCATTGTAATTATATAGCTGTACATTAATAAGATTTTGAACGCCCTAAATAAACAACTGGTCTTGAAAGATGGTAATGAATATCTTTGTTTAATTGGTATCCATCGTAAATAATTGTCAGTTATTTGAACCGATTTCGTGTACATCTTTCATCAAGAGAGTCCTCTCTTGCTTCTATTTATTCATCAATCGTATGTCAAACAAACTTATATTGGTTTTCTGTTTAGTGATTAACAGCTTGTGCTATCATTTATCGTGTTAAAAACCTGGAGTTTTAGTTAAATTCCTATTTGCTTAGACGTTTTAGACCCTTAATACCTTTATAACTGCCATTGAAACCTAAGTATAGTGCCAATGAGTGTTCAAGAATTAGGAAACTTCAGAAGAGGTTACTCTCACTAATTATTTCTTGTGCCATAGGCTAATTTTTTATGAAGGGTAGGTAATCTTTCCACACATTAGACCAAACAAAACTTACGTAACTGAGACGATGATCTATGTCAGGCAGATTGAACAGTTTTTAAATCCGTTTTAGGTTGTAGTTTGTCACACGAACTGGGCCGGTTTCTTTAGTGTAGAGAAGAGCCGAACAAGATTGATTTTAATCTCTAAGGTGGGGTAGGCTAATCTATCAAAAACGATTATGCGGCAGGGAAACAAATCGTAGTATTATGAAAGTTGCGTAAATGTGAAGTTCGTTGTAACTGTGAAAGTTATGAAATAACTGTCGCTAAAAATTACTGATGCTGTTGGATATTGCCGACAGAATTGCTTGTATCTAAATTTGTTTATTCTTCAGTCCAGGGTGGTCCAGGTTATGTCATTTTAGCCAACAATTTTATAATTTGTGGTCTTAGTCTGTTGGTGGACCAAAAGTTCTTAGAAGTTAAAATGTTGTCAGAAAATTTAACATATATTTGAATCTCATATTCAATAATAAGCCTGAAGAAACGAATATCATTTACGCTCAAAAGCGTGACTCTGTCTTGGAATTAGTCTTATTTTTCCCGAAACGCGAGATGTGAAAGAAGCTCAGGCTTAAACGTGCAAGATTACAGCATATAAGATTTAAGCTTTTAAGTTTAAGGTTATTTGTAGCCGATATGTTTTCCTAGCCATCTGTAAAGATGAACGACGCCCCAGTCTTAAAGAAATAGATTAATTTATACTGATACGCTGAACATTATGGAAAAAAAAATTGGGAAACATGTTTAGTTTGGACTATATTATGACACAACTGGAGGAAAGTACGGTGAAGTAGATACCTCTAGGTGTTTAAATCTCATCTCTCTTACATATAAAAGACAAAACGTATGCCCGCCAAAGCCCATCTGAACCGCACTGCTTCTGGCAAATTAGTGGGTATTTACTGAAAAGAAAAGTACCAACAACAAAAACAACTCTGGAATGTAGTCATTTCAAAGCTTTTTTAAGATCGACACCTCTACAATAATCTAACACAGCTTCATTGTTTCCGAATTTTTTGGGGCTGGCGTCATTTCATTGAAAGAATTTTCGAGAGAACAATTCCCTCCTTCTCACATCACCTTATCAAACATGCCAGATGGCTTTACTTTTCACAGCACAAAATGTCACTTTTATCTACCCGATGACATTAAACACTGACGTCGTATATCATAAAAGTTAGAGATGACAGTATTTTAGAAATATCCAGATTTTCGTCTCATTATAATCTGAATATTTAGGGTTATTATTTAAGTTCTTAAAAAAGATTTCATGAAGCGATCTGTTGGCTCTCATTAGATTGAAATTCGGAAATCTTGTTAACATCCGCGCTTACTCAGTACTTTCCAAGATTTGTAATAAAAACCGAAGTATTTCGCTGTTAAATTTTGTAGGAGAATTAAAGCTATCATTGATTTCTCATAGTTCCCTGATTCAACCGCGTTTTGGCGAGACTTGGATAAGTCGTAAATTTCAGAACAAACTTCACCGTTGATTTGAAAATACTACCAGGTAGCCAAGTAGTTTGCCGCAGGCTTATTGCGAGATATTATATATACTTTAAGCAATTCGATGCATTAAAGGGAAAACCGCAAAATTAGCTCTTACTTCTGTTATTTTTCTGCTAATCTTTAAATAAATCTAACAGAAAAATAGGACGTGTCTAATCACAAAGAGAGGAAACTGTCGAGAAAAAGGCCAGGGCCTCCTCACGCTGCCTGCCGTTTGCGTAAGCATGCAAGGCCCGTGAACTCCAAACTTAACTCTTGAGAAAGACAACTTACAATTGGTACTGGCCTTTTTCACTCCTATGAGCGCCATAGTTGTACAGCTACTCTGGCTGCGCGTAGAGTTATGCCTTTCCTCGTTAATTTTCGCCTTGGTTTCGCCGTAAGTGGCCTAGTCCCGCGAAACTTACTCATAACGCGGCTGCCACCTCTTTTCCCGCCATTGGTTGTTAGCGCGGGAAATGAGAACGAGGTCGACTTAACTGGAAAGGACTAAGAAACTGAACACCGACACAGGCGCGAAACTGCCACTCGCAGGCTGGAGTGGAAAACCTCTCAGTGAACGACTGAATGGGTATAAAACGCTAGTTCATCACCTCGTTTTCCTACTCAGCATGTTACCAGTTCTCTGATCGAGTCCGATTCAGCAACATTGAATATCTGTTGGATTTAGAAAACTCAAAATAATTCGACAGTGTTCCGGATTTTTTATCCCAGTAGACGTAAGGAAAAGAGAAACCAAACGAATAAGTTATCAGCTCTTCACAGTGTTTTCGCATTCAGGATGTTACTAATTCTCTGATTGCGTTTGAAATGACAATACTGGGTTTCTGAAACATCTTCGGTAGTTTTCGACAGTCGTCTGAACATTCTAAAGCATAGTGTCTTTAACAAGTGCAACTTTCTTTAATGTAGATTCCACACAACAATTCAATTCAAGCTACAAATTTTAAATTTATTAGCACAAACGGACACTCTATTTCTCTCTCTAATCTTTATAAATCAATGGATATTTCAAGACTGGGCTTTCATGGAAAATGCATATGGTTTATATGAACCAGTCTCAAAATGTTTAAGGCTGAAGAAAAACCATTTCACAAAGTTATATTTTACGGGAGCTGGATAGTTCCATGACTTTCTTAAACCTCCTGAACCGTTTTCTAAAACACGAAAAAGCCAAGCGAGTTCTACACTGTCTAAGCACCTCCTACCCTGATACAAATTCTATTTCATGTTCTTCATATATTTCTTAACAGCTCATGCATACATTGAAAGAATTTAACCCTTTAAATCCCAGAAGTGATTGACATGAAACTTCTCCCTATAATAACAATACATTATTCAGCTGACAGGTAATGAGAATATTCAAACTTATCAGGTAGAAGCTGTAGTTATCTCGATCTAGCTCCAAGTTCTCATAACTAATTTACAAGGATGTGTCTAGCAGCTAGAAAGACGAATTGACAATCAGATTGTCAAAACTCAGGTTCATCTTGTTTTGAGCATTCTAAAAAATGTACTATTCAGCCATAGTGTCACTGAGACAGACAAAACTAGCACATACTGAAAGGCACAGGCTGATCTTGATCTCCTATCTATCTATCACACATTTCTAAAGGCCCCAAAGCATCAGCCTTAACCATGGACATTGCTTTTGGGAGGGAGGGGGGAAATCTAAGAAAATCCCACGCATTCCTCCAGTTGATCCTCACAAGATGGATCATATAAAACCCATTTATTTGCACAAAAGTCTCACAGATTAGCAAAAAAATTAATGAAAATGATCAGAGAACAATTCAGGAGTGAGAGGAAATCGTAAACGTACTGTTCCGTTCCCATGCGTTCCTTCTCTAAACAATGGCAAAACAGAAACTGGAAGGTCAATGAAGGAAGGCTGGTCTTTTTAACTTTCATTCCTTCCAGATATACACTGATTGCAAAGAACAGTGCTAAAAGTGTATACCCATGGCAATCTACAGGGTGAAAGTTGTTACAAAAATGAGTTTTGACTAAGAGGTTGCCAGCAAAGCTTAAGGGTAAAAAATCACATGAATCATATAAACAAGGAATGTCAATTTTAAGAACTCTATCAGTTGTAAACCTTTCCACTCACAGAAGCAATCAGTATACAAATTCTCCTTACAGTGTCACAATACTGTTAAGTAACTGACTGATGGGAGTTAAACAAGACTATCAGTTAGATGATGATGACTTGCTCTGGCGCCAACTTCTCAAACCAACATGAAAGGAAGTATATGGCAGCCAGTAAGGAGAATGTGTGAATGTTTAGGGTGAAAAGGTCTACCAAGCTTGGCTTTCACTAGCAAGCTATGAAGGGTATTTTTACAATGAATACAAACTACAATGAGATATCATAGGTTGATATTTTGATTGGGTTTCATCAGGTCCAAATATTTCATAATTCTCTTTACTTCACAGCAAGCTTCCAAATTCTCTATTCTCTTTGAGCAGCTTCCAGATCTTCCCGCACACTTGAAAGGTCAAGATCTTCCCCTGTGCAGCGTTTGAAGATATCCACAATCTCCTTGCAAGTTGTTTGAAAGTGTGTTGTGGCATCATAGGTGGTTGTGATAAAAACCTTAAAGTAACCAGGACAAAATTCATTTAACAGAAGGTCAATCATTTCAGGGAAACCTCTATTACAAGAACAAGCTGAGAGACATAGACGCATAATTAGTTAACAATCATGCTGAATCCAAGCAAGTTATATATTCATCTTGAATTTCTACCACGTTGTTTTCTGTACACATGCTTACTAGCTAAAAAAGACCTTAACCATGTTTTCCTTCAGCAAATTCTTACATGAATTGGGGAAAAACACTCTTGCCAGGTAACATTCCCTTATCCCCTTCAACTCCCATGAGTGATCAAAAAAAAGATTCTTTCTTACAAAATCAGTATGATGTCAACCAGATAAGTAATGAGAATAAAGAAAAATATCAATTAGGGGATAATTAGTTGATCCAATACTAATTTCTCGGAACTAAAATTAAAAGAATTGTATGGTTGATAGTAAGGAGAATTACAAATTTGATCTGATAGTTGAAGGGTTAAAGTGTATGCTGAGTAAGAAACAAATGAAATGATAATAATCATTTGTGGGGAGCATGGCCCAGTCTTAACAGAAAACCTCATTCAGAGAAATAACTTAATATAAGAAGGGGTTAGGTTGGAAAATAATTTGGTTTTATCAACTGAGTTAACCTATTAACTCCCATGAGTGATCAAGACAGAATTGCTCCTTACAACATCCATACAATATCAACCAGATAAGTGATGAGAATAAAGAAAATTATCAATTAGTTGATCCAATACTAAATTCTCTGAACCAACATTAAAAGAATTGAATGGTTGATAGTCAGGAGAATTACACATTTGATCTAGGAGTTAAAGGGTTAATAATGTAAATTGGCTCCTGTAAAGAGTTTCAAAGCTGACGTTTTGAGTGTTTGCCCTTCATCAGAGCGTTACATTGAGCTGGGTCAAACCTTGTGCAATGTTATCAGGAAAGCAAGGTTGCTATCAAGAAAGATACATTCAGAAAGGTTAACATACCCCAGATTTACTGCCATCATCAGTGGGAACTAAAATATCACTGACTTTCACAAATCTGTAGGATAAGAGAAGACATGATGGTTGTTATCAAAATCATGGTGCAAAGAACACACCAGAATTGTAGAGTCTTTCCAAACATGCAAGTATATTTAACTACAAATAAAATTTTAAACTTTTTTAAGTCACTGGAAATATTTTATACTGAAATTGATCAAAATCTACTTTGTGTTTGGAATTAACAGCAGAGAAGACTTGATTATTCTACAATATACAGAAGTCCTTTCACACTGACATTAGCACATGCAAATAATGTATACATGGCTGTAAAATTCTCAGTTGAATTGTATATCAAAGTAAGAAACCAATGGTACTCAAAAGTACATTTCTTAATAGGAGAGACAGACTGTAATAATTAATTTGATACAAGTTATGTCCTCCTTATGCTCCTTAGGGATTATGCAAGCATGGCTTAAAAAAAAGAGGTTTTTCCATACCAGACAGCTTTTCTAGCCGAGCAATTTACATACTGCACTTTCAGGTACCTAAAGTTGTAGTCCCATAAGGTAAGCTGGATTTCAATCATTTTTTTTTTAAATTTTAGTCCCAGTGTAGATAAACTTAACATTACACAGCAGTCAAATGTCTATGCATGTGCAAACTTTGTAGATGCTACAGGCCTGTTTCAGGGTGTCTTTTAATAAAACAAACTGCCCTATAATCAACCTCATGAGCAAGTAAGTGGTGGTGTCTGAAAACCATACAGCATTTTTAGTAAAGCTTAAAACAAAATGATAAATCCACAGGAAACTAGCAATTAAATTAAATTTGCACATGAAGGACTCCAGTTTTCCTTTTCCCTACTTTTGCTTCCTTTTAAATATTAACATGAACATATAAATGTCTTTTTCCTTTTTTCGTTTTTGTTTTTTTGTTTTGCATATTTGGCATCACAGCAGTTGTTCCTTAAGTATTCTTTTGAATTTTTGCACAAAAATTGGTGCTTGGCTGGCCAAAATTGATCCCCATGACCAACATTTGACCACTGTGCTACTCAACTTACTTCTCTATAACATTTCCCAGCAGATCAAGAGCAGGTTTCAGCTCTGCCTCTGGATCGGCTGTTTCCACTGTTGTGCTGACAATAGCTATGTAGTAATTTTTGGCTGCCACGTTGTGTGCATATGATACAACACAAATATAGATATCTAAAGGAAGAAAAAAATTAACAATGAAAAAATAGTAATAAATAATAATAAGTAATGGTAATGGGACTGAGTGGAGTCCAATTTGGTCTGTAATCATACAAGCAATTTAGAAAACTGCACAACTGGGAAGGGGAAGTCCAATTTGTTAATCATGAGTATAAATTACAGACAGTTTGACAAGAAGAAGTCCTGTTGTGACAAGAACATGTACACAATATGTACCATCCAATTACACAGGCATGATGTTTACACTGTCCCATTACACTGTCCAATTACAATCATGACACCTACAATGTCCTATATGCGCTCAACTTGGGCTGGTGATAACCAATCACTTTCTTGAATTTTGTTTTAGTTTTGATTCATTTATAATCATAATTTATTTTGTCCTAGCTGGTTTTGCATCATGTTTGTCTAATGAAACATAAGTCACACACCAAAAATCCAGGCAGTCTCTAAGCTCAATTCCTGCTGCTGTTTGGGAAATGAGCCTGCACTCACCCCTACAAGTCCTTTTCAGGAAGATCGAAGACCAAACTTGAGAAAACTGTGGAATGTAAGCCTTTTAACCCTTGAAAAAATTATCACAAATTCAAGGGGGACCTTCTCATTAGTTATTAGCCTTTCAATTTATGGCAGTCTTGAAATTTTGGTTTTTAAACCAAACCTTGTCATACATGATTGCATTTCTCCATACCTGATTTCCTGCTCACTTGATTTTGAGGAATGATGATTTGGCAAGAGGCAGAATCTTTGATCTTAGGAACAGGATGATCCATGAAGCATATGCAACGAACAACCTGTGTACAATGTCATATGAAAGAAAAAACAAAGCTACATGTTTTGCTAGATTTCAAAGGTTGCTGATCAAACTTTTGGTCTGTTTGGGAGTTAACCCTTTAACTCCCAAGATTTGATTGTTAAACCCATAACTGCCAACCCTGGTCTGGTGCCAGTGCTATTTGACTTATTATTTTTCAGAATTTAAATTGTTTAGAGTTTAAGAGGCCAGGTTTCCTTACATCTTGAGTGCCAGAGATTTGACAACTTCTACCTGATAAGTTTGAGAATTCTTTACCTGTTTGCTGTACACTATATAGATAGTTTAGGGAGAAGTGACATGTTAATCACATCTGGGAGCTAAGGGTTAACAACTATTTGGCTTTTGAGGAGATTGTTGCTTTCCTCTGTTGCTATGGCTATACTTGATAGGTAACCACTACAAAGCATTTAGACTGGAGTTGCAACAAAAAGGTTCTCAAAGAGTTCGCAACTGACTCACCTGGCCATCCTTTTTCACTTTGTCAGGGAAATAAGAGGGGTCACCGATCACCATCTTTGTCTTGGCAGTTTCTCCCTGTGAAGTGACACCACAAACTCTGCCATTCTCGTCGTACTTGATGTCCTCTATGGGCTTATCCAGCATGTATGTTCCACCGTATATTGCACTCAGGCGGGCAAAACCCTGTGGAAGTTCTCCCAAGCCATATAAGGGATAGAGATATGGTGACTTTCCATACTGTGCTAATGAGTAACTGAAATTTGAAAGAGAAGGGAAAAATTGATCTTAATGTAAAGGAAAGGTGCTCTACCAATTTTTTTCTATTTTTTATTTTTATATTTTAGTGAGGTAAGTACAAGGAAAGTTCAACACCTAAATTAATTCACAACAGCTACACAGCCTGTATTTCAAAGTGGAACAGCTCAGCCATTGTCCTTGCATGGCTTGCAAGAAAATTTTGACTTTGTGATGGCTGGCCAGCTATCATTTCTTCTGTAAGGCAGACTTGAAGTTTGAAAATTATATCTCAGTGAACATAACCATTAAGAAACAAATGCACGTATACTAACCTGTACAACTTGATCTTCATTAAAGTCTCCTTGCAAGGTTCTTCCAAATAACTGGAAGGAAAAACTAGGTTACTGACATTTGTTAACATAATAATCCCTTGAAAATCAGGGGAACTGAACGCATGACAAAAGATAATTTCATTGAAAATTCTCATTCTGATACCAGACAGAGCTTGCAGAAGGAGTTAACTATTGATCCATTACAGATTTCTCCAAACTAACATCATAGGGATTGTATGGAAAACAATTAGGAGAGTTACTGATGAGATCTTGGGAGTGAAGGGTTAAGGGATTAACATATACATGTGATTGAATAAAAGGCTGCAGTTCAAGCAAGTAATAATAGTGCAGATAGCACGGCTTTTCCAAGTAAAATACTCATGTTACCATCACATATTCAACACGTACTCATCATTGAGATGAAGAGCTAGAGCATGTCCTGTGAAGCTCTGAGTGTTTGCATCCACACCAAATTTTGCAAACACCTCCTTCATTTTAGTCTTTTCTGGATCAAACTCTATGGAAGAGAGACAGTCAATTTAGCTAGGGAACAAACATTCTTAAGATATTCAACTGACAAAATAAAACAAAAGGCCTAGAACAAAATTCTACTTTTTTGACAAAGGCATTTAAGGAAAGGGTAAATTTTAAAGGTATAGGTATCACTAAGCATCCTTACAAGTTGTGCCGTATTATATACACACAAAGAGTAAAACTAATCGGCAATACTACACACTTAAATGACTAATAAGTTATTTATTATCCAACTGCTTTACCTTACATGTACATGTATGGGCATTTCTTGTAAGGTGGGAAAAGCAACACAGGTAGAGAGCTTATCTCAGTTTCCAAGTAGCATGAAGTACACTCCCCCACCCCAAGGTTACCCCCCCCACCTCCAGCATTTCATCAGGCTTCCCTGACTATTTTTTGTGACCCATTTAAACTCATGGGTAGAGAGAAGCATTGTGAGAGTGAAGTGTTCTGCCCAAGAACACAACATTTTGGCTTGGCCAGGTCTCAACCTTAGACCTCTTGACTCAGACTCCAGTGCAGTTGACCACTAAGCCACTGCATCTCTTCTACAGTACCACGAGTATGGTTGACAAAAGTATGTTCAACATACTTTGGAAAGGTGTGGTAACCTCTCAACCTCCTGCCTATGAATTTTTAATTTCATTTATTTATTTATTTTTGTCGCTGTTGTCGTTGTTGTTTGCACTCTCTCAATTAATTTCTCCTTGCACTCAAATAAAAATAACACAGGACGTATTGTAAATTTAACCCTTTAGCTCCCAAGAGTGATTAACTTATAACTTCTCTATATAATATCCATACATTATCCAGCAGAGATAATGAGAATTCTCAAACTTATCAGGTACAGGTTGCTGTCTTGATCTAACACCAAATTCTCATAACTAAGTGACAGGGAAATTTTTAGCAGCTAGAGGGGAGAATTAACAATCAGATCTTGGGAGTTAAAGGGTTAAAAGTGTAAGTGAAGTAAATTTTTTTTTCCAAATGCTAACTGTACACTGTTAATAAATTATCATGCTCTTAGTTTAAGTCAATATGGCAACTAACATTAGTATTTTAAGTATTGCAATTACTGCTGGCATTGTATGTAATGTTTTATTTTATAAAATAATTCAAATAGTATGCACGCTCTGATTGGCCATAAAACCATTTTACATGAGTGTATGTAAACACGGTTTTCATTCCTCTTTCATTAGTTATTTTATAAAAGAAATGTAAAATGGTTTCCGTGTTTACATAGCCTGATGTAAACACTTGGGAGGTTGGGAGAACACTCGATAAGCTGGAAACCACTCCGCTTCGCGTCATGGTTTCCTAAGCTTATCTCGTGTTCTCCCAACCTCCCGCGTATTTACATCAGGCTATGTAAACACGGAAACCATTTTACATTTCTTCAATGTAGGGCTTGGTGGAGCAGGTAAACAATTAAATAAAATTAAAAAAGGAAAAACATTTACCATACCTTGCCATGTTTTACTATCATCTGGTTCAAAGTTGTTGGCAAACACAAGAAATTTGTGAAATCTTCTTTTCTCAAACATTCCCATGAGACTGGTTGCGAGAGCCTCTTTTTCATCTGCTGGTACTTTGAAAAGCTTTTTATCCTTATACACATAGCTTCCTTCTACTTGTTTGAATTCAAGGTAGCGGGTAACTCCACTTTCAATCAAATATTTAACCAGGTCACCTAAGAACAGAATTCAACCTAACATGTTAGTGAACAGGTCATTAGCAAAAAGACTTGTGGGTGAGAAGACTGCTATACCTACCAACGTGACTTGTTAACACTAAATGTTGCAGTACTTCATTGTGACCGTTTTGAAAGGCCTTATGAAAGGAAAAGCATATTGACAAAAAAACTTGAAGCCACTTCACTAGACTGGTGAGCTAAGACTTCATGAGTAAACCAAAGGTATGGGCTTACAATGTAATTTCTTACTGCACACGTGTAAGAACACCCACTGGAAGCTTATATAATTCCCATGAAAAACAAGCACTTATGACTATGTTTCAGTACACCCAAGTGGTACAGTACCAAATGTTTGTAAGCACAAAATATTGACCATGCCCTGCTTCTTAAAAATTTATCTCCTTCACCTTGATTGTTAGTGCATGGAGCCTTGAGATGTCCTGCTCACCTCTAAGTATAATTTGATTAGTTGTGCAACCACTTTGCTCAATTCAAAGACATGAGGTGTGGTCAACAGTTTATTTCTCTCCTATTTTTCTCACTTTTTCTAAATTCGTTCATTTACTCATCTACATATTTTTTTTCATCAATTTCACGATTTATTTTTTCATGACACACAACCAAAAATGTTACAATTGACAACCATTGTATAATATACTTGGCAACCAATGTATAATTTACTTGGATCAATGTCAGTATCTGAGCAACTGTGAACCTTTCCCTCCCCTAACCCAACAGTAACCCTTAACTTGTTATCAGTTGACTGTTTTTGGGTAAGGGAAGGGGTAGGTGGGTTGTTGCTCAGACAATGACATTGATCCATTTACAGTGTACTTGTCCAAAGGCCAGAATGGGACATACCATATTTAGTTGATTAATGCCTTCCTCAAATAAATGCTGCATTTTAGAGCAGAAATATTAATAAATGCTGCCTTTGAATAAATGTGGCATCATCATGTGGCATTTATTCCCATAATAGACTCAAAAAGCACACAGCAATCATTGCCCTGATTGCAGTTAAAAATTTTGAGTGAACCAGACACAAATCCTTTTGAATTTACAAGTTCTGATGTCAAGAAAACATATCCGACACAAGATCTTTCTACTCAGTATGAATTGCAGTAGTATTAACATGCAAATTCTGAAATTTAGAACAATATAAAAAAATTACGTTTAAGACAAACTCTAAAACATGTTTCTGGTTTTTAAAATGAAAATGGTCAGTTACCATACTATTGTTTGCAAGGAATAAATTGGATTTCAAATAAACACCACCCTTGTATAAATGCCACCCTAAAATAAACACTGCACTTGAATCCCAAAAAATTTAATGAACACTGCAGGGTTTTTATTAGAAGCCGGGTCCCGGGTACCAGCACCCGTCTACTTTAAACAGAGTTCCCGGCTACTTGAAGCACCAAATTAAAAAAAGAAAATAGTTATGAAAAAAAATATCAACTTCAACTTAATTTTAACTCTTCCCTGTAAGTTTAAAGCATTTTTTCTGCACTTATTTATCAATTACTTGCGATCAGATTGTGGAAATAAAATTTACTCTGATGAGAAAGGCGCTGCGCGACAATAGGGACCTTAAGCAAACCACGCTACGGCAACGAGAACATGGAAAAACAAAAGATATAATAGGCAGAACAATAGCTCAGCACGTGCGTTTGTACATTTCTGAGCCGTACAATGCAAAACAACAATGTGAAATCCCCACAATTTGCGTCGTTTGCGAACCGAAACCGCGACAGCAAATTATTTTAATTTCTAGTTGGACCTCAACACTTCTTTGATACGCTATGCTGAAGTTGAGGTGTGGCATCGTATGAGACGGTAAACACATGCAGCCATTTTTGAAATTCAAATTATAGGCAGTAATTCATTTTTTAAACGAAGTCTTCCTTGGCGTTGCCGTCCTGACTGCTTAAGGTCCCTAATAGCGTTCTTAGAACTGTCTCTTTCTAAAGTGCCGAATTAGCTGTTAAATAACTCTTAAACGTGACGTGCCATAAAATCGAGTGCATTCTGCGGAGTGATCGTGGCAAGCAAAAGTAAAACTCACGCAAGCACTCGTTTGCACATGAAAAGTCAAGAGCGATGACCTAAAAATTAAATTTATGTTTTAGTTGGATTACAGCCGTGAAAAGGCTTTTCGAAAAATTACGTACGCTATCTATGCTTTCCATCATTTAAACTCTTCATAAAACACTTTTTATTTTTCTGAAATAAAATTCAGAATATAAAATAAACATCAAGAGACGAATGTCGCCGTAAAAGATGCTTATCAGCTGACACGGCCTCTTAGTAAGCCAACATTTAGCTGACTTTTAAGCTCAAATATTCCGTACAATTGAAAGAAACTTTGATCCAATTTAATTTCATTGAAGATAAAGCCCATCGGAGGTTTTGAAAAAATTGTTTTCAGCGAGGGCTGATTGTGTATCAGACTCTTGTGTTCCATCAACATTTGTTTTAAATTTTTAACTGCTGGGTGATATATGGTGACAAAAGGAATTAATGTAAATGATTACGGCTCTGACTTTGAGTTTTCATAAACTACAAAGAGTGTTGTCAGTTTCACTCTTTAGAAGAAGAAGAAAGGAAGCTCTGACAACAAAAGCAGTGTTTTGATGAAGCTATAGCTGTGTAGAGAAACAAACAAATTTTCTTAGATTACCATTACTTTTACTATAATCAGATTAAGTATGCTTCATTCCAGAAAGATTTCTTCACCAGATTGCAGAAAAGTGCGTTTCTGGGAGACTTAAGTTTTAAAAGTTTCCGGGGGGAGCATCCCCTAGACTCCCTAGAGGTTCAGGCCTTCGGCCCTCGATTATACAGTGTACCGGCCTACTCACAAGGCAGTGCCCTTCTACTTCAAAAGTAAATGAAAACCCTGCACTGTGGCGTTTAATCAAATAAATATGGTAAGGAAAATTCTTGCTTTGAGCACTGCATGAAAAATACTCATTTAGTCCATCTTATCATCTTCACATAGGCAACACATGTACATACCTTGCGCCATCAAGAACTTGGGAATGAGGTCAATATTCCAATCTTTTGATGATCCTAGTTGTTTAGGTGTTTTACCAAACAGTTCATAGAACTAAAGGAACAAGAGACTGTTATTTAATCCTTTCACCCCTAAGAGTGACTAGCATTAAATTTTTCTTTACTTGTAATATTACCCCTGAATCATGCAGTAAGGTTATGAGAAAAAAAGGAAATGATCAGCAGCTAAAGAAGCTGTTGATTGTTGCAGAAATTCTCTTTGTCAGCACCTTAAGAAATGTGTAGAGAACAGTATAGAGAATATCTATACTGATGTTAGGGTGTGAAGAGTTAATACAGTTGAACAGTCATAAATGGATACTGGGGTCCCTTTTAAGAGACATCCAAGTGTAATTTTTCTTTGTATCCTAAATTTACCTCAAACCTATATTGTAAATTATCATTCCAACAACAAAGGAAACTTGAACCAAGGGAAGACACTAAACACAATGAATATAGGTAGAATTAAGTTTAAGGGTTAAAAGAACTATACCTTTTCCAGTGGTGTGATTGATGCACTTTCCCCACCATAATATTGATTCCTGTCCATGTGAAGAATCTTTTTTTTATTCACTGACAAAAATCCACTTAATATGCACTCCTATTAAATACAAATTGCATTTCATTAGTACACAATGTTATCAAAGGGGTTTGTAAAATTTAAAGTATTCAAAATTTAACACTATTCCAAGAAATAATAATAATAAAAACAACACTAATAATAATAATGATGATGATGTTGGCAATTTGAATAACAGAAAATACAATCAAGAATATTGCAGTTGGTAACTTCAATTTGTTAACCTTACACTCCCAAGATCTTCTCAATAATTCTCCCTACTACCTGTCACACAATTCTTATGGTGTTTCATCAGAGAACTTGGTATTGGATCAATTAAAAATCCACTAGTTGATATTTTTAGTAATTCTTATCACTTGTCTTCTTGATATAATATTGATAATGTCTGCTGAAATTCTGTTAAGGTCACTCATCATGGGAGTTCAAGGGTTGATAGTGAGTGTCTGAAATGATCAGTGATCAGACCAACTATAATAACACTTAATACTGGGAGGAGGCAGCAAATGGGGGTGCTCTGAAGAATGTCTTTCTTAGAAAAAAAATGGTCACCAAAGTATCATCAAGATGTTTAAAAGGAAATTGCTTAAGATAAGATAATCTCACTTTTTTAAGGAAGGGTTAAAGACATCACCAGAGATAACTGATTTGAGTGTAACAAATTACCATCTTGAATTAAACTACTGAATCACTTCAGTCCTCTGCAAATTGGATTATCACAGTTCTTTCATGACCTCCACAAAGTTTCAGAGGTGATCAAAGGTAAACAAGTCCAAAATTATTGTTTAATTGTTCATTTTTCAAGAGACATAGATGTACTGCAGATAATGTTTACATAACAATGGCTGAAAAGAAAAGAGGAAATGCAAAAGCAGCTGTGCTATAGCGTAAGTGTTGACGCTATACTGATTTTCGAAAATGATAATATACAGAAAAAATCTGAAAACGTAGTAATAAGGTTATTATGTAATTAAAACTGCAAAAAAATTATTGCAAAACTGAGATCAAGGTAAAAAAACATCCACACTTTTGCTTCATCGTTTCAAAGGTGTAGGGCTTGAATTTCATGTCCAATCGAGGATTTGTTGAATTCAATGTGTTCCCAACGACGTTTAGGATATACAATACTGGATGGAAAGTTCTAATTTGCCTTAGTACCGACAATTTTAAGGTAACTTCTCCTAATAAATCCTTACCGGCCCAATCTCATTCTTACAGCGAATATCATAGAGATTGCTGGGAAAGGAAATGGGTGTGAAACTGGATCCATGGCTTAAAGGGCCACATCAAGAAGTAAATTTCCTCACTTTCGAGATGTTTAAGCACTAACCTTGAGTCCTGTACCAAGAACGATACAGTCATATTCTTCATCCATGCTTGAAAATCCCTAATCTGAAGAAAGACTGAGGTTGGAGAGGTAACCGAGCGCGAAAACTTCACGAGGTACGGGAAGGTGCAGCACCGAAGATCACGAACCAGCTTACTGCGCCTGCTCAAAAGATCATTCCGCAACAGTCCCCTCGTTTTAACGTTGGCGCAAATTTTGTAAGGGCTGAAATAAGTATCGTAATTCGGATCCTAGGTATTAGGTAGGTTTCTTTATGACAGTCTCATCGCCAATTCTACGCGTGTTTTAGTTTAAAAACTAGGCATTTTTATTTCCAGACTTAACCTAAATATTTCTAGTTTTTCGGATGTGTTTTGAAAGTATGAGATTATATCGATGAGGATCAAGTAGCGAAAAGGCTCGTTTTTTGAGATGTGCCATGATGCTACCTAATAACGGTCCTAACTGTTGCAAAGTGATGCAACGTGGTTTCCTACATGTGATAGCGATTTGTGTTTTGATGTAGAATATCTTCGAAATGTGAAGTGTTGATGCCGAAACCGTTCAAATCTTTAACCTTTAAGGATTTCAATAAAATCGCGACAAATTTCTCCTTCCGCCAAACTAATCAGTGAGTGAATTAACGATGTGAACTACTTCCCATGAGGAATACTGCGGATTTCTACAGCCGTGAGTTTTATATACGTTATGGCTGAAAATTTGCTACAGGGTTTGCAATCGGCCGCAAATTCCACATCGCAAGCTGAGGTAAGTATTTTAACTCTCCATGCTAAATCTTTGGTGGCAATTTTCCAAAAAGCCGTCAAAATTACATTTTTTTAACACAAAGATATCATTCGGTGCAATAAATGTCCACATACTTTACGAGCTTCGTTTATTCTAGAGAAATTATTTCAATCTAGTTTTTTCAAAACCTTGCTCCCTATTTTTCTTTAGGCCCTGCAATATTTTGAACAGCTGAAAAATTCTGAAGATGGATGGAAACTTTGCGGTGATGCTTTGGTTCGAAATCTTTACAGGTATGCGGTCTTTAAATTACAATTTGTAATGAACTTGCCAGTCGTTTCTAATCTCCATGTTAAACAGTTCACTTGTTGAAATATCAACACTTTCGGTTCATTTACCCAAAACAGAGAAAGAAATTTTTGGCGGCTAAAATTAATCGCATTGTAATACCTCATTTCAGAAAATAATATTGTGAAAAAAAATGAGTCTTTCGTTGAAGCTGGAGTTCGTACTTGTACATTGGTGGTAGGGGAAGGGGCGGGGAAGGTCAGTTGAGGCTTTGCAACTTCTGGATTATCCCTTTAACCCCTAAGAGTGATTTAAATGTAATTTCTCCTAACAACATCACCTGTGAATCAAACATAAAGGGCATGAGAATAAAGGAGATTTTCACCAACTAAAGAAGCTCTTGATTTTTTAACAAATTCTCCTTATCAGAACCTTAGGAAATGTCTAGGGAGTAGAATGGAGAATATGCATATGGATGCTAGGGAGTAACAGATTAATCAAAGCTATAACAAAATTTAAAATGTGATTGGTTATCACCAGCCTGATTTGAGCACTGATTGGACACTGTGCATGCAATGCGTGTGATTGGACAGTGTGCGCCTCATGCCTGTGTAATTTATAATGGTAAGAGGACCCAGTGGAGTTCAATTTGGTCTGTAATAATACAAGTGATTAACAGAATTGGACAACAATAAGTCCTGTTCCCAATTAATCATAACCATTTCAATTTCTGAAAAAACAAATACACCTAAAACAAATATCTCTAGTGGAGACAAAGTCTTTTGTTATAAATTCCTCCATAATGGAAATTCCCCAGTTTTTTCTTTGGGTAAGTGGTTGTTGCTATGGTTAATTTGATCATTTCTGTGATTGGTTGATTAGCCAAGTAGACTAAGTATGATTGGTTACTTGAACTGTTTGATCACAGGTGTGTGGTTACAGCCAACTGTCCGATCACAACTATTCAGAATGATTAATGAAAAATGAAGCTGCGAATGCACCAATAATGTTTGAGGAATTTGTAAAGGTTGTGATTAGACCAGATACATATTGTGCATGTACTTTTGTCATGCAATTTACTAAGTTAATTGTTTTTTTTTCCTTCTCTCATGAAAAAATAGAAGGGATGGCTAGGTTTTTTTTCTTGAATTTTATCATACATGTAGTTTTGGTTAACCCTTTAATTCCCAAGATCTGATTGTCAATTCACCCCTCTGGCTGCTATACATTTCCTTGTAAATTAGTTAAAAGAATTTGGTGTTAAATCAAGATAACAATCTCTACCTAATAAGTTTAAGTATTCTCATTACCTGTTTGTGGGATAATGTAGAAATATCATAGGGAGAAGTTACATGTTAATCACCTCTGGGAGTTAAAGGGGTGAATTACCTGGAGACAAATTGGCCTAATGGTCAGTGCACTGGACTCTGGGTCAAGAGGTCTGGGCCAAGACCTGGGGGGTCAATGTGTTGTGTTCTCTCACAATACCCCTCTCTATCCAGGAGTATAAAAAGGTATCGGAAAATTGTCAGGGAAGCCTGATGAAATGCTGGGAAGGTAATCTTGGGATGGACTAGCATCCCATCCAGGGGGAAGTAGTAATACTCCTCGTGGCTTCATGCTATGTGGAAACCAGAATAATCTCTGACTGGATGAACCAATAGGCTTGAGTACAAACTTTACCTTAATTGATTTACTGGTATTGCCTTGTTATATTCTCTCAATAATGCAGCACCACAGTTTCTTTAGAAACTTGCCCCCATGTATGACCAGTATAAATGCCATGCGTTTTGTTATCAGTTATCTACCCGATAGCGATTTATCTGTTGGATAGTGTTATCCGACCTATATAGGGCTGGGCCCTGATATTTTGTTGCCTCTTGCTTGTGATCATGAGTGCTGAAATGATGTTGAAGATGAAAATTTTTTTTTCAGCGATGAAACTGTGAAGTTCTTCTGCTTCCAAGTTTTGGAGCATTATATTAAAACAAGGTATGAGTTAGCACTGGTGATCTGGTTTGATCCAATACCAAATTCTCAGAACAAAATTTATAATGAGTGTGTGGTAGACACTAAAGAGAATTTTCATTAAGATATTGTGAGTGAAAGGGTTGAATGAATGGCAACATGCAGCTCTCATAATCTGGGGAAATTTGCTCCTAGTCCATCAGTTTTAACTTCAAATAATTGACTGATGTAATGCTGAAGTAAAAAAAAAACTTTGTGCTTACAATCCTGTCTCCTTCTCTTCAAAGACATGCAGCAGCCTCACCACTAAATCAGTGTACAGCAAGAAAGATTCTTTTAACATGGCTTAAAAATCAGGTATTTTTTTTTTCCTGCAATATTTAAATAATTACAGTAAGGATTAGATTTAGTGCTTGGGGCACTTTCTACTCATTTTAACTCTGGGGGAGTGCTGACTTGAAGCACTTATCTGGGATGGGGTGTTTATTTGAGAAACAGCAGATGTGCTAAATAAAGCTTTGATGTTTATCTAAGAGGGATCAATGGCAAAAACTGTAAAAGGAACTAATATACCCTGAATATTTGCACAATAATAGTAGGGAATGTACTCTAGCAGTGCCATCACTGAAACAGAACAAAAATACCTATTAGAATGTGGGAGCTTCAGCAACAGGGGGGGGGGCTTATTAGAATAGGGGTGCTTATCCAAAGGAGGGGCTTCTTAGAGAGGGGGCACTTATTGGAACCAGGGTGTTAAGTCAAATCTTTAAAGTAATCAGTAATGCAGCTTTATAAAGGGAGATAGGGTGGCCAAGAGGCTTTTACAGTGAACTTCAAATTGTGTTGTGTTCATGGTAATGGTGATAGGACTTACAATGTAGTAGTTCGATCACAGACAGAATTAGACAACAAAAATTCTCTTATCATGTATATGTACATCCTAACATTAGTATCCATAGTCTCTATGCTCCTTTCTATAGATTTCCTTTGTTATTGACAAGGAGAATTTGTGTATGACAATCAAAGCTTGTTAGCTTTGTGATCATTTCTTCCATTCTCTTGATCTTGAATGATGTAGCAGTTTTACTGTAAGGAGAAATAAGATGCTGGTCACTCTTAGGGTTTAAAGGGTTAAGAACTGAGCTTATACTTGTGTTTTTACATATCAGTGTTGTAGTAAAACAGATGATCAAAACTTTTTGAAGAACAAGGCTGCTCAAGTGTTCAGTTTAATTTTTGTCTGTGACTATCCTGAAGGGGTAAGTAATTGAGTAATAATTATATGTACTTACTGACTGAGTGGGATGGCCAGAAAGGAGAATATTTGGCTCAACATCATGACGTATGGACCGCATGTAGCAAGGTACATGTGTCAAGAACAAGAGCCAAGTATTTTCCCATCCAGCGCCGACCCAACTCGGTCAATAAGCATTGTATCATATAACCACTAGCCTATCAGCTTTTGCTATTGTTTCCTATGGGATTGCATGCATGGGGCTGTATGGGTCATGTGATAATTGACATTTACCAATGTCTGGTATTGTTAATTTGGATTTCTGAAATGCAACTTTGTGTCAAGCATGACTAAAGTGTGATTCTTGCACACCAGCTTTGCCAGGATGGTAGCTATGTTGACAAAACTCTATATACATAGGGCTCTCAAGTTGATTTGCTGTTGAAGAGATTTTCAACTGCATAGCCTTCAAGTGTGTGGCCGAGGGTGCTACCTTTTCCTGGGTGAAGGGGGATATGGGAGCATACTCCTCCAAAAAATTGTAAAAAAAATTCACATAGCTAAGACATATATTCCTTTATTCTGAGTGTTATTCTTTATTCATGCAGTCAACATGTCGGCATGATAGCATAAGACTGCATTCATTTGCGAGAACCTGGCACTTACTGCATGAGGCTTGATAGCTCTCCATAGTTACTCCATACACAATTGAAAATTACTCAATTGGCAAGCTTTGCCTTTTGCAGGTTCCTGGTATATTGCTGCATCAAAGTTCTTCCTAATCTAATCTTCATGCTTGCAATTTTTAATTTCTTTCAGTGGCCAACATTTTTCTCAGACCTTCTTCAGTGCTTGCAGTTTGGTGCCAAAGCAGTAGACATGTATCTGAGGATTTTGAAAGCCATTGATGAGGAAGTAGTTGACAGAGATGTAACAAGAAATCAGCAGGTGTGTGTGTGTCTAAATTGAACGATAATCAGCTCAAATTCAAATATAAATGCTTTTTTTCTCTTTTTTCATTTTTGTTCTTTTTTATAGGAGGCAGACAGAAACATGAAGATCAAAGATGCTATCAGAGAGACTTGTATCACAAATCTTGTGGACTCTTGGTATCAAATCTTGGTATGTTTTCTGTTTTGTATAACATGACATGACATCTCAACAGAACGGTGGAAGAAAAGTAGTTAATAATTTATTTATCCAAAAAATGGTTCTACAGCTCGCACAGTATAACCTTAACATTCAGCCAAAACTGATCTAATCTTACTATTCTTAAGCAGAATACCTACGAGAACAGTTTATCATCAGTTATGTGCCTATGCCTGGATGTTATTGGAGCTTACATTGAATGGATCGATATTGGCCTGATAGCAAATGATAGATTTATAAGGTGAGAACAGTCATTCGGGTCTGCTTGATCACAAAGTGTAATCAGTCCCCTCTCCTTTTCCATTAACTTTTATATCCTAACATCAGTATGCATATTCTTGATACTCTTCTTGATACATTAATATTCCTAAGATGTGGACAAGGAGAATTTGTCAACATCTTAAAATTAAGAGCTTCCTTAGTTGGTGATCATTTCCTTTATTCTTGTTACTTAAATGTTTGATTTTGGGGTGATGATGTAGGGAGAAATTAGATGCTAGTCACTATTGGGGGTCCAAGAGTCAACACCGCTGATGTGGTGGTTATGCACATCCAGTATTAGTAACAAGGGAGGTGTTCATAGGAAAGTTAGATCAATCCTCTTATTTTTTGTAATGGCTGTGGTGACTAGCATGCTGAATGTTTTACAAGGAGCTCTTTGTGTGACTCTTGGCCAGCGAGTAGTTTGCTCTGTTCTTGGATGAGTCACTTAACTTTCTCCTCCCCCCTCTCCACCAGGAGGTAGCCCTCCTAGCTGTGACAGTTTAAGTCGTGAGGTGTGGCAAGTTGCCGATATGACATCCTCTGTTCAAGTTCATGTAGCAAACTGTATGGTTTTATTACTTAGTTTCATTTTTTTCTCTTGTGGATATTTTAAGTGAAGTAATCATTTATTTCATGTACAAGTTGTACAGTATTAACAATGGGTTGTCATTTTCTCTGATACAAAAGATTGTGACCAATGCAAATCAAATCAAATCAAATCAAATCATGCTTTCATTATAATTTATAAAGGAAACATCAGAGGTTATCTCTAAGGAGGACCTTCCCACATAAAATATAACATAAATTATAAGAAGGTGTTAAAATGTAAGAATTATTAAGAATTGGCTAAAAATTTTGACCTTTACACCAAATGATACTTAAATCCTGCACAATTTGTGGTGACTATATTGTATTGTAAGGTCATGACATGACTATGAGTGTGAAGCCTTGAGAGCTATGAAATGGGTATCAGCATTTTTTAGGGTAACTTGATATAGACAATGAACCACTAATTGATTGAAAGAGATGTCCATCCAGTGTGTATCTTTTTAAATGATATAATTATTGAATTTTGTTTCTACTGTATTGTTATTTCCCAGTGCCCTTCTTAGATACATGTCAGTGGAAGTCCTCCGTGAGAGTGCTTGTGATTGTATCCACGAGATCATCATGAAGGGAATGGAGCCAGTTGCCAAGCGAGAACTCATAGAGTCTCTTGTCAGTGTTTTAGAAAAAAGTGGAGTCCTTCAGCTGCAAGAGGTACTCTGCTAATATTTTATGGTATTATTTATCAGTAATTCACTGAAGAGTTAAGTCTTCCAAGTCTTTTATCAAATGACCCTTGGGGAAAATTGTGTATTGTTGCCAGAGAATTCTTAGACATCTGTTGCCTCATGTACACCCTAAGATTCCTAACATCCTTTGTAAAGAGTGTTCTGTTTATGTTTCAGGATGAAGATGCTGATTTTTTAGCTAAAGTGTCAAAATTGATGAATGCTGTTGGAACACAACTTCTTAACAGCTACAGCAAGTAAGAAACAACTGTCCAAAAGCAGAGCTGGACAACGTCATTAGGTGTTCTTCTTTCCTTTCTTCTCTCTCCTGATGTTATTCTATTTTCTCCTCTCTCTTCACTCTCGTCTTTCTGACCTATGAACCATTAACTTTTACTAATCACTTGTAAAAGTTTTTTGGTTCTCCTACTATTTGTCAGTTTTCTGCTTTGTGTTTGGCTTTTTTTCTTTCATGTGTCTCACTTTTCAGCTGTAGTTCACATTTATACTACCATGCTTCTACAGAACTCAGTGCCACTAGTTACCAACTTTTTTTTTAGTAAACTGGTGTGACTTTACTTTTAAGAGCCCCTTAAAAAAGTTGGGCCCCCCAGATTTACAAGACAAGAGCCTTCAAGCATTTCCCTCTTCATGATCTCTGTTCTGTAGTTTACATTCAGGTAATTTTTTTGTAATTATGGAGGGTTTACTTCTTGTTCAGGCTTACAAAGTCTGGTGATACAGAATCTGCAGCCAAGTGCCTCTATGCTGCTGAGGAAAAGATGCAATACCTGTTTAGGTAAGTGACTGTTGCAGTGCTGCTTGTCATTCCTTTAGGAATGTCATTAAATTTGGTAAACTAATGTACTGTATAATGTGTTTTATTACTCCACCATTACATCACCTGATTTCAACATATTAGGGCATAGGAATGCTCAAAATATACCACAGTATTACACTGTAGAACAGGGCAAAAATCTTGACAGGAAGTGGAAAAACAAAGAGGCCTTGCTAAACCATGCCAACTTCAGTTCTACTCCAATAGCTCAGAATAAAAAGACTACACAACTCACAAAACAAATGTGCATATTATAACATTTATGAAAGAGCAGCAAAAACCTCAGTTTATGTGTTGCTTTCATGTTGCCTCAGGATTTTGTCAGCCATCTCTGATGGTTCACAAATACTTTTTTGTACTCCATGGCATCAAGGTTCTCTGAAAAATTCAAGTCTTCAGTTAATGTCTTAAATGAAACAGATGTGGTATTATTGTCAGTCTTCAGTCTTTCCATTTCTTTTGCTGTATAATATCAGTTGTTTCTTTGCAGATTTCTTAGTCATGATGATGATGATGTGTCCCAGAATGTGTCTGGTTTTGGATATACTTACTTGACTGTGTTGAAACAGGTAATTTAACTGGAAACACTGGGGGATAAGCAGGCACTTCAACAAGTGGGGGGAGGTTGGAGCTTGGCTCAGTATTATAAATTACTGCCTTTCTCTAGCCTGCATTTAGCATGACCATACTTTGGCACAAGTCTTTCTTCAGATACCATGAGGACTTTGAGCAATGCAAGCTTGTAAGAGGTCAGCAAGGGATCTTGCACTGATAATTACTGACAGTCCTCCAGCAAACCTCTCCTGACTTGTCTCAAATCTTACCATGGGCAGAGAAACAAGCATTCTGCTGCATTAATTAAAAGGGCCTGTTTGCAGGCTAGCCTTTCCTTAATGGAGTGGAGTCACAACCACCCAAGTAACTTACACACACCTTTGATGCTTGTTTCCTCATCAAAACATGCAGCATGCACTTTGCAGTGTGACATTTTTAATGTAAATCAGCAGGATCAGTTTCAGCATGCAGATATGAATTAAATAAAATTCAAAGATTGAAAATAAAGAGATCTGATAGAGATACTGCTCAATTTTGGTCAATCAATGACCATTCAAGAAAGTTGATGACAATGATCATTATTCCAAAGTTGTTCATAATGACTTTAAATTTCTTTCAGATTGCAAATCCAAGTGAACAACAGAAAGAAAACTTAAGGGTAAGATTGAAGCTCTTCAAATTTGATTTTCAAGATTTTTAAAGGGTGGAATGCAGATACCTGTTGGTTGAGAATGATTTTAATTGCGAACAATGAATGAACTTGATTTAACTTAGAGCATTATAGTGGAACCGTGCTAACTCAAACCCCTGGGTAACAAGCAGAGGGTCAGATTTCCATTGACCCATTATTTCTGTCATTTACCATCAGCTAACTCAAACCCCTGCTGACTCAAACCATTTTTTGTTTCCCCTGGGAGTTTGAGTTGGCAGCTTCTACCATATATTGAGAGTGGGAAGGCAAATGCAAGAAAATGCATGTACAGTTTCAATTGATTGTTTCCTCCAAGCCTTACTTTCAAGGAAACTTTTTGCAAGTAATACTGTAAGTCTGATTGGTTTTTTTTTTTGTGGAATATTTTTAGGGAATTTTGCATGTCATTATTAACAAGATGAAGTATGATGAATCATACAACTTTGATCATGAGGTAAAGGTCTTCATACAATTTTATTAAATGTGTAAATGTGAGGCTCAAATGTACATCACCAGATATTTTTCCAAAATTCTTTCATTATGAAGACGACGACTATTGCATCTTTCAGGGTGAAGATGAAGTGATGTTCATGGAATATAGAAAGGAAATGAAGATCTTATTTGACAATATTGCTCAGCTGGTATGTTAGTGCGACAGTATTATTTGAAGTAGTACTCACAGCATTTAAACTTGGAGGATTAATTTTAAATATTTATTTGTTTGTATGTCTTTCAGGACCCTAATCTCGTGCTGGTCTCTGTTCACAATATTTTGAATTCAACATTTGGGTAAGATTAACCCATTAATCTCTTAGAGTGGCTCGTGCAATTATTTCTCCTGAAAGTTCTACACCTAAGAGCAACAAATTTGTGGTCATAAGAATAGTGGAAACAACTACCAACTTAAGTTGCTCTTGATTGGTAAACAAATTCCGCTCTCAAGAACCACAGGAAATGTGATGTATAGGAAACATTATGGAGAATAAAACACACTATTGTTGGGGTGTAAAGTCCAGATCAAATTTGTAATTCTCCTTACCCTCAACCATACAATTCTTGTAATGTTAGTTCAGAGAATTTAGTATTGGATCAACTAATTATTCCTAAATTGGTATTTTTCTTTATTCTCATCCCTTATCTGGTTGATATTGTATTGATATTGTTAGGAGAAATTTTGTCTTGGTCACTCATGGGAGTAAAAGGGTTAAGGAAGTTCAATTCTAGGTACAGCGGTGGCTGAAATAAGACTGGCTATCTTAAACTTACAATTTTTTTTTTCAGCAGGCAATTAGATGCAGCCAAGTTTATGGATGTGGAGATAGCTGTGCGGGTTCTTTACATGGTTGGAGAAGCAATGTCGGTAAGGGGCTCTTTAAGTTTGATCTGAAATACTTTCTGCTTTGTTATTGTTAATATTTTTTGCTACAGACGGTAAAATGCTAGAGAGGGTGAGGTACAGATGTTACAAAATGTTTGTAGACCACATTTTGGGTAATTATTCTTTTATCAACAGACCCAACAATTGTACTCTGATGCCTCAAAGTTTTCAGCACTTCAGCAAATGATGAGTTTGGTAGGTTATTTTTTTCTTGCGGCAGTGCATGGACTGGACAGTTAGGTGGACAGACAGATGGATGACAGGGTAATTTAGACAGAGTGATTGACTGACTGACTGACTTGCATTGAATTTCTGACCACCTGAGTGACTGAATAGTGCGTAAGTGGATTAATAAACAGACTGACAGACACACTTACTGACTCACTCACTTCTTGAGGAACTGACTGTTCAACTAAGAACCAGACTTACAGACAGCCAGACTGAGTGAATGACAAGTGATTGACTGCCTGGTTGGTTGGCTGAAAAACAGAAGCAAGAGGATCAAATATGTGTTATTACAGCCTTAAATGGTTTGATTAGTGTTTGACTCACTGATCGATTGATCATTTCTTCTAACAGTTGGTGACCAGTAATGTGTCTTACTACAACCACTCCTCGGTGGCTCAAATGGTAACTTTTTTTTTTTTAAATTTTTGTACGTTTTCAATCTTGATAGGCATGAATATAATCTTTTTAATTTAACAAATTGTTCGATATGTTTTCCATTCCCTTTCAGTTCTTTGAGACAGTTGTCAGGTATGACAGATTTTTCAGCATCCAAAGTCAACACATTCCAGCAGTACTGGTGAGAGTTTTGGATTGAACTTGATTTTACAATGAAGAAATGTAAAATGGTTTCCGTGTTTACATAGCCTGATGTAAACATGCGGGAGGTTGGGAGAACACGAGATAAGCGTAGGAAACTACGACGCGAAGCAGAGTGGTTTCCAGCTTATCTACTATTTGAATTATTTTATAAAGCCATCTTTTAAAGTTTTCTTTGACAATCCTTCAGAGTCATTTTCAATTTAGTGTCAAAAGTGTTTGAGGATTTGGATGTACACAACCTTCTAGACCAGTCAGATTCAATCAAAAATAGATATTGACTCTGTCACTTGAACTCCAATGAGGCTTTTTTTTATCTGCCCACTTTGAATGCTCATTTGCATGTCTTTGATATTTTCCTTGTTCACATTGCTCATTGTTATTTCGTTGGTTTTGGTTTAATGTCACTCAAGCAAAAAGTGTTTTACAGACATAGACATAGCAGTTCCCCTCCCCCTCACGATCTCTACATGTACTTCAAAGAGACAGTTGTGGTTACAACTCCCTGTCAAGTACGTACTGTATCTGTGTATCTGTGTGGTCTCCTCTAGGTTTGCCTGTTAGGCTTGAATTGATTGTAACTGATGATTTATCTAGACTCTTGTCCTTCGAAGAAATGCATTTTTTGCTGTAATAACAAGAGTTTAAAACTTTTTGTGTCCTAGATTGCTTTCCTCGATGAGAGAGGACTCCGTAACCCAAACTGCACTGTTAGAAGCCGATGTTCCTATCTGTTCTCAAGGTTTATCAAGTCTCACAAGTAAGTTTCATTGTAGAGATTTGCCAAGAGTTATCTGTTAAAGTATTTTGCTGTCGAGATAATGCATGGATATTATAGGAAGAAGGTACATGTTGCTCACTTCTGGGATTTAAAATTTTGAGCGTTGTGTTCTGTAAATGTACACAACTTTCCTCGCAATATCTGCGACAGACATAATCACAAGTATTCACTGACTTTGTTAATTAGCCTGGGCAAGGATAATCTTGTAACAGTAAACTCTCTTGTACTAATTTACTTGCTTGTTTCAGGGCAAACATGCTGAACTATGCTCATGATGTTTTAAAGAGACTACAGGGACTTCTTGTCATATCCGCAGTGAGTATAAGCAAAACTATTTTACTGCTACCTTGTCATACTCTGTGAGGGAGACGCGATAGGCTTGTGGTTACCGCTGGACTGTGGGCTCAAAAAGTCCGCGTTCGATACTTGGCCGGGTCTGTGTGCTGTGTTCTTGAGCAAAGCACTAAACTTTCACTGTACTTCACTCCACCCAGGAGTATAAATGGGTACCGGTGAATTATCAGGGAAGCCTGATGAAATTCTGGAGGGTAACCGGCAATGGACAGGTATCGCATCCAGGTGGGAGTAGTAACATTCCTAGTAGCTTCATGCCATGGAGATCAGGATAAGTTGTGGCTGGATGGACCAGTTGGCTCGAGTACAGAGTAAACCTACCTTCCTATTACTCCATAACGTTTGATAACCCAGAACCTACACGTACCTATTAAGCTTGTATTTGAAATTGGGTTTCTTCTTGGGAGAAACAAACGCTTAAGGTTGATTATAATTTGGTCAGTCTTCACTGTTCACACAATCCAAGGTCTCTCCGTTCTTATTCTTTATTGTGATTTTCCTTTCTTTTGAAGGACAATGGTTACCAACAGCTTCTATCTGCAGATGATCGGGTATTAATTTTTTTTTTTTTTGAATGAAATCAATCCCTACATTTATTTGGTCCGTTATTGAAATATTGTCACGAGTTGTTCTAATCCTTTCGCTCTCAGAGGTGATCAGCATGGAATTTCTCTTTACAATATCAATACATTTTCAACCAGATACAGATAACAAAAAAAAAAGAAATGTAACAACAAGGAAACAGTGCATGATCAAATGCTAGATTCTCAGACCAAGAATTATAAAAAATGTATGATGGTCAGTGAAGGGAAGTTGGTATTTAGATCTTGGCAGTGAGGAGGTTAATGGCGGTGGCTTATTGACGCAATCGTTGATCACTTGTTTTTGAATGTGTTTAAGATCCAAATTTTTTTTGTGAATTATTTTTTTCGTAGTTGTTCCTTTATGAGAGCGCAGGTATTCTCATTGTTGCTAGTGGAGCAGTACAAGAGGTAAGAAATTTGGGAATAAGTAAATAGTAGCTGGGAATGCCTCAAACCTATGGTTGGTAGAGTTCAGAGCACTTTCCTTTGCCTTTACCCAAAACATGAAGATCTATTTGGACCTAGTAATCCGCCTGATACAGATAGAACAGAGTTAGATTTAAGACTTGGTACAAAATTCAGTTGCTGCTTAAGAAAAGCGGCCAATTGAACCTTTAACCCTCAAGAGTGATAAGCCTCTAATTCATCCCCACAATATCACCCCTGAATCAAACATTGTGGTTACAAGAATAAAGGAAATGGTCACTAACTAAAGAAGCTCTTTGTTGTAGAACAAATTCCCCTTCTTAGCGCCTTTGGAAATGTATAGAGAACAGTATGGAAAAGGGTTAACGCCTAAGAGTGACCCTACTACAGTGTTCTCATTTTCAGGCGGTAACCAGTAACATTTACCGCCTGTAGTACCTCTTATTACCGTTTAAAATTGCTTGGAATTCTTGAAATTCAATGGGTGAAAGGATTGCTTTACCGGTTTGAAAATTTACTTTACCTGTCATGCTTAAAATAAGGGAGAACACTGTGACCCTAACCCTAATTTCTCCTTACAATATTAACCCTTTACACCTTGACATCAGTATGCATATTCTCGTTACTGTTCTATATACATTTCCTAAGGTGCTGATAAGGAGAATTTGTTTAGCAATCAAGAGTTTCTTTAGTTGGTGATCATTTCCTTTATTCTCATGACCTTAAAAGCGTGATTCAGGGGTGATATTGTAATGAGAAATTAGATGCCAGTCACTCTTAGGGGCCAAAGGGTTAAGATCACTAGAATGAGGGAAATAATCACCAACTTAAGAAGCTCTTTGTCAGGTTGTAAAATAAATTCTCCTTCTCAGTATCTTAGGAAATGTTTAGAGAACAATATGGAAAATAAGCATACCGATGTTAGGATGTAAAGTTGTAGAGGGTTAAGCCGGAGAGCTTCAAATGGCGGTATGCAAGTGTTCCTATGCAGATGGCAAAAAAATTATTTTATACGCAATGCCCGTTTTCACAACGGAGAATACAAAATCCTCAATTTTTAGATCAAAATGTTTGATCTCATACCCAGCTTCAGACTGAATATAAAAATCGTACCAACACCTTTTGGTGCAATTCTTAGCTCTATTTGTCATACGGTAAAGAAATTTCCATAGAATTGCAGGGAAGCTACTGCACTTGCAAGGGTCTCGTTTGTTATCTACGACTCGTAAGCGACGAAGTTAACTTCATAATTTTTCTTTATCTTTTCATTTTCAGAAGCAGCTGATGTACATGAAGGACTTGCTGTCCCCTATCATCGAAAAGTTTGATTCAGTTGTTAGCAAGGTAACGATACTTGCATAGTGAAGCCCCTCTAGGGCCAGTCAATACATAGAAACAAGGATGTATCCACGTTAAGTCAGAAAGTCAGTTGGCAATCAGGGATTTGAACCAGAATGCTTCTCAATTGAGTGTAATGGAACCAAAACCTAAGTAATCACAACCGGCCAATCAGAGCGAAGGAAAATCTCATAAAGAGCCAATGAGAACTCAGAGTAAGAACAAGCCTACTGCCCAAAGCGCGGGAAAACGCGGGTGGCTAACTCGTGATTGGTTTCCGTTTGCATGAGTTTTCTTTTGTTTTTTTTTTTGCAATCCCGGATGACTTTTGACACTCAAGTGGAGATTGCCATCATGTGACTTTTTTCAGTTAGTTATTGCTGTAAATCATTATTCATGGTATTTTATTTCATTTCAGCTAATGTCGGAGACCAATGATGCCTCTTCCCTGATGTTTGCTCAGCAGCTCTATCATCTTGTTGCCTATGCAAGGTAACTCTGGAGATTTTACAAGATTTTGTGTCACAAAATGGACAAAACTGTGCTTTCTCTATGATATTTCTTATCTTCGTGGACGTTATTGGATTGTTGAGCTAGAGCCGCCTAGAGATTTAAGAAAATACTTGATTATGTGACGAAATTTTTATTGAGTATCGAAAGCGTCCTAGATTCCTTTGGGTTTACTAAACAACGTGGGATTTGTGGTAGCCTGAGATTGACACCTTTTTTGCGTTTTTTCCGAAAAGCGGAAGAAATCAAAATCAGAAGGAGAGCGCTATGGGGAGTCTAGCGCCAGGGAAAGGAGTGGGGGGGGGGGAGCAAAAAAATTACATTTCAGTCACTTCTTTCGAGCCCCTCTCTTCGCGCATGCTTCGCCACGCACCCTGTCCTTGCGCTCAGCTCTGTTCGTCAATGGAACGGAAAAATGTCGCCTGTCCTTAAGGCTAGCTACATGTTCCGTTTCCAACTTAGCTTGCAAATAGGTGTAATTTTTGTTTTTGCCTTTTTCTGTCGAACGGAGGCAAGGCGTAGTTCGAATCTTGTGCTCCTCCCCTCGCGCTGGACTTACACTTTGCGCTCGCCTCGCGTTTGCCTCCATTCGCCTCAACGAATCAGATGAAAACACTAAACCAAACACGGCTTAAACAGTCGCATTTTGCTGTATTCACGACGGTTTTGCTTGTTCTCGTTTGCTCTTTGTAATAATTTTCTTTATTCTGATCGGCCATCATTATATCGTTGATCGTGGATTTTATGACACTCACTACGAAAACGACCTGATAAGCTTCTGCTTTCTTTTATTTCAGTCGAGCCAGTAAAGCTTTCCCCAACCAGCAAGCCCTAAAAGACAGTGGCTGTGCACCATGTTTTACAGAGGTAACGTTAACCCTTTACACCCTAACATCAGTATGCCTATTCTCCATACTGTTCTCTAAACATTTCTTAAGGTGTAGATAAGGAGAATTTGTTTAACAATCAACAGCTTCTTTAGTTGGCAATCATTTCCCTTATTTTCGTGAGTTTCGTGTTTGATTCAGAGGCGATATTGTAAGGAGAAATTAGTCGCTGGTCACTACCCGTTGTAGTGTGTCACCAGAACGGTTAGGAGCTGTAAGTGCTCTGGAAAAAAAACCCCAAAGAAAAACCGAGAAAAAACGCTTCTTGTCAGGATAGACTGTTCCCGATTTATTTACATTTACATTTGCACTTCCACTTTTCAGGCTTTGCCGATTTTCCTCAAAGCGCTACACATACCTATTCATCGAGACACCATTCACTCTGGTGTGCGGCAGTACCTCCACAGGATGATTGTTTGCCTGGGCGAGGGAGTACTACCCTTCATCCCTGTTGCAGTTTCACATTTGCTGGAAGATTGCACGGTAAGTACCAATGGAGGCATGACGTATATACTGATGAAGAAAGCACAGGTTGGAAATGAAATATTACAATGTATTTCCCTTGGTGGGAAGCTAGTCTTTGGCAGATTCTCAGCAATATTTCATCATTCCCGAGGCTCGATGATGTTCCTTGAGATGGATTGGGTTTGTGTGTAAAGTTTCAGCCTGTACAATAAGTGCAATTACCTCAGTAAGGGGGGGTAAGGTTTTAAGAAAACTGTAGTGCTGCGTTGGTGGAAGAGTATAACGGGGTAATTTAGTATTATCAACTGAGCTGATGATGTAAATTAGCCATCTTAAAGAGTTTAAAAGCTGAAGTTTCGAGCATTAGCCCTTCGTCAGAGCGATTGGAGGAATTGTGAGTTCTATGTTTATATGCCGAAAATGGAGCTACGCTATTGGTGGGAATATGGTGACGAGAAAACAATAATAAGTTAAAAGTCCTCTGTGATACCGTGGGGATTAAGAGTGCCGATTTGAAAGGTAAATTTTTATTCTAGAGTTTTGCGGCTTTTCAGACTGCTTAAATGTAAGGAAAGGCCGCAAATTGCCATATGCTGCTTAGAATGGTTAGGGAGGTTTAAGTGTGTAGGAACTGGTTTGGATGCGTCCTTGTCATTTCTTTTTACGTCGCGAAGGTGTTCTCGGAATCAGTTAGAGCTTGGTGGCGCCCGTTTCGATCCAGCCTGCTAGACACCAGACCTCCCCCTCTTCCTTCTCACTAAAGAACGAGACTCGCTTGTATGCCATATGCTGAGCTTGAACCAAAATCTGACTGCATTTAATTTTCGAAAAGCTCACAGGAAGACCAGCTCAGTACTTTCTATCTTAAGTGATTCAAAGATTTTCTTTGTTTTGTTCCAGGCGCGGGACATTCAAGAATTCATTCCGCTGATCAATCAGATCATCAGCAGATTCAAGGTACATCTCTAGAGTGTCTTCTAATGCATATTTGTAAATGACATATCTGCCCTTCTCCATTGCTTTCGCGAAGTTCCAAGTGATAAACGTGATAAGAAATCTCGAAAGTACGGCTGAGTCGAGGGTACTTAGTATTGCCAAAGGAATTTTACCCTGGAAGCATCATCTGTGGTGCTCAATTTCGGACTCTAAGTTTAGATTCTTCTCAACGATCCCTTCATTTTCTCATCGGTTTTAGTTGTACGAATTTGTAATATCAATGACCAAGTCATGCGAGCTCAATATTTCTCTTTTTTTGTTTTCACGTTTCCTCCTAGACTCAAATTGGCCCCTTCCTCAGGGACGTTTTCATGGCAATTGTTAACACAATCTTCACGGTCCTTGGCAAACCAGCAGATGAAAAAGATGCACAGGTTACGTAGGCCCCCTAAACATCTTTAATCTCAAGATCTGATAAAAAATTCTGTCATTTAATAACCACATATTTATTTGTTTGTTTGCTAGTCTGGAGAACTAGCAGTCCTATCGGAACAATGTCCCCTAATTGGTAGTTGTCTTTCGTCTCACTAGCTGTCTACTTGATAATGCATTGAAATTGTAAGGAGAGTCTATAAACTTATCTCTCCTAGGCTGAAACGAGCCATAGGATAACCCCGCTTTTTCCAGAAATAGCGCTAGGCTCAAAGATCATCTCTCCCCATGCTCGAGTTGTGAAAGTGAAGTGTTTTCCTTCTTCGACATCGAACCCAAATTGTTCTCTAATTTTGAGTGAGCTTATCTTGATTTGTTCCAAACATATCTTGAGAACATGTCGATAGTCTATCACGCACTCGGTAAAGGCGTGAAAATTATGTGTCAACGCGTTGCAGTTGCGAGTTTCATAACCGACATGCGTCCAAAACAGTTCATTCTTTTCCTGTCGCAAACGTTCAACTCCCCTTACTTTCTAAGTGCACTATGACGCCCCATTCTATTTGGCACTTACGGTAGTGTTGTTCATAATTTCTTGCAGGCTGTCAAGGAAAAGGAAACTTTGAGGCGTAGTTATTTCTTGTTTGTGGGTGCTGTGGTAACTAATGATGTGACAGTGGTCCTCACCTCTCAAAGTGAGTGACAGGTTCTCGTTTCTTCTCTCCATTCGTTTTTTTTTTTTTACACCTTTCTCCTCCAGCGTGTTCTGAACTCCAGATCAAGACTTCTGGGCTTCAACCATGGTTGAGCCATTGTGCTGTGTCGTTTGGCGAGACTCTTTGAGCTGCTTATTTACACAAAGTTTAGCCGTTTTTTAACAATCATTTTTATGAACAGTGTCCAGAAGACCGAAAGCCAACAGTACAATGACATTTATTTGATTAAATCAACCCACTTATAGAGAATCCCTTAGGCCCACTGCTCGCATAAAACCGCAGTATGAGTGAGACTTCGTTATGTAGCCTCCCCCCACCCGGGAGTGTAAATAGGTATTGGCAAATTGTAGGGGAACCTTATTGGAGAGCTGCTGGCGATGGACCACATTTCCATTGTGGAGGAATAGTAAGCACTGTATCCCTTGAGGAAACAGAGATAAGCTAAGGTGGAAATGGACTGACCGATTCGTCAGACCTTATTCCTTTTCTGAAGATTTTACTTGGTGTCGTGTCAACTATTAAAGGGTTACTGTACTGTGGTGTGGTTTTTATTTTGTTCCCCCTTTTAATCTCATGTTTGGGTCCATCTTTGTGTGGCTTACACGAACTGTAAACCACGCAATGTCATGATCCAAGATATTTATTGATCTTATCAACTGGCAATTGCCGCCAGGTTGTGGAAGCTGAAATAAATCCTTAGTCGATTTTTCAGTGTTTTTTCTAAGTCCCTTTTTTTCCCCTTTCTTTTCTTTTAAAAATTTACATTGTGCTATATCCTTTTTTTTCATATCAGCTCCCCATGATTTGCACCAGGTGTTGTTGACATTGATTCAGGGAGGAGTAGAATTTCCAGATCCGGTGGTAAATACTTTTCTTTTTGTCTGATTTTAAATCTAGAATTGTGAAAAATAAACAACGTTCCGCCCACCGCATGCAAGAAAATTTGAAAACGACGTTTACACTCTTTCAACGCAAGATGTGTTTTCTGTCCACACTGGAAAACGGATAAATGCTTTTAGTTCACATTAAAACGATCCTTGACGAATCCTTCAACATACAGGGGACTCGGTCCAAATGTTTTTTTAGTCTGTCTGATCTTTCATAAAAGAGTCACAATGTATTTTAGCCATTTTCGTTCTCTATTTAGTCGTCTCGATACCAAATTGAAGCATAAATCGCCCCCTAAGGGAAAAAGTAAAGTAATTTCTTACAAACCTTCGCCCTGCCGTCTAGCCCCTCGCATTAATGGAAGACGTTCTTTAAATGATTTTTTCTGTGTTATTATCAGGCTCAAAAGATTTCCTTCAATATTCTTCGTAAACTGGTTGAACTCTGGGGTAAGGATTTATACTTCTGTTTTCTAAAAGTGAATATTATTATTTGAAGAATCACGATTAAAATTGTGTCTCGTTCACTCCTCGTAGGTGGCAGCAATGGATTGAATGGTTTCAGAGAGTTCATTTACGACAGTATTGTACCTGCAACGTTTGTGGCTCCAATGAAGTCGAACTTTGACATGAATGACGCACAGACTATTTTGGTATGTAACTATTAGCCTCCCTCGTCTTATTTTTTAGTGCTCAGAGGGAGCGTTGTAACTTACCTTCCCTCTATGATAGCATACAGAGCCCTTTCCGATTAATCATTGGAAAACCAAAACCAAAGGAATCGGAAATTACCTTAAAGAACCAATGTGAAGGTAAAGTCGAAATAATCAAACCGCTAAAGCGCGGGAAAACGCGGGCGACCAAGTCGTGGTTGGTTTTAGAGTCTCCTCTGATTGGTTGAGAGAGGGGCACGAGTTTTCAGGACCAATCATAGAGCGAAGTAAAGCGAAAACAAAGCAATCCAGGATTACTTTTTATACTCAATTTTAAATTGCTCTATCCCGTTGGGTCTCAATCAGCTAGGATATTTGGCCTTTCTAAAGCCTTCTTCGTCATTGTGAATAGTTTCTTTTACGTAGCTATCGCGTTAGAGCGGTTCTCGTCTGAGCTTTGCTCAAACAAAACCAAAAATATTCACGACTTCTAAACTGGTTAAAATTTCTGCTCATGACCGTTTTGTCTGTCCAACAGGCTTTGCAGGAAATTGCTCTCACGCAGAAAATGATTTTGCAGAAACAGGTATGGCTGTTTGCATCCAATCAATTTTTAGCCGAAGGGTATCTTTGTAAATTGGTTGGGATAATTTACTGTTATATAAAAATGAAGTCCTCCAGTTAAGTTGAAAACTTAACTTTTATTACTTATAAACTGACGTGGGAGACACGGTCTGGGCTCGAGACCTAGACGGGTCAATGTGTTGTTTGCAAAACAATTCACCCTCACAGTGCCTCTGTCCACCTAGGAATATTCACCCGGTGAGTTGTTGGGGAAGCCTGATGAAATGCTAAGAGATAACCTTGTGATGGACCAGCATCCTATCCAGGGGATAAGGAGTTGTGATACTCCTACATTTGTTGTAGCTTCATGCGAAGGAAACCGAGATAAGTTCTGACCGGGTGGGCCACGGGGCTCAAGTTAAGACTTTTTTCACTTTCCTATTGGCTGGATAATGTAGAAAAACTTAAGAAGAATTTGCATGTTAATCGCTGGTGAGAATACTCCTGGATTAATATCCTCTTGTTTTGTGGCTTTCAGGGAGTGGAGTTTATAGAATTCCTACAGAACAAATACCTTCCAACACTTCAGATTGCACCAGGACTCATTCAGGTAGGCGCCAGCTTATCGTGGATGGTTTATCGATCAACTCTCTTTGTCGGGTCTTCCTCGTTTGTTTTCCAAGTCGAAATAAGAATTTGGAGTGTTGTTTTTCGTAGAGGGGGACGGGGAGAAAAAACCCTTGGAACAACATCAAATAAAACCTATATGTAACGCCAGGTCTGGAAATCAAACTGGAACGCTTTCGCCATCGCGTCATTCCTGCCCCCCCCCCGGGAAATACCCTCAGACGTTCCCCCCCCCCCTTGCCCCTAGAAATAATCTCCCGAACACTACCTTTGTATTTTACCTACGGACGTTACCCTTAAACATCATGCCCCCGACGTCAATCTGAACGCTACATCTGGACATTACCTTCCGGATTTTTTCCCCGGACTTAATCCTCCGGACATTCCCTACGGACATTCCCGACGAACATTCCCCCCCAACTGACTCCTTCCCTTCCCTGGCGGATATTGTTAATTTGTTTGTTTGCTTGTTTTTTTTTTACTGTATTCTTAGGAATATACAAGGGCCTTACAGCACGCAGACATAAAAACCTTCAAGAACTATATAAAGGTACCTTGGGGATGACTTGTTTATTTTATTCATTTATTCATTGATTTATATTTTTTCCTTTTATTTACTTCTTTTTCGCGTGTTTTCTGCATTTACGATTCCTCTCTGTTAAAGCCGAGACAAGTAATTGTAATTGTACTGCGTCTAAATGACTCTTTGTCCAGGCTTACGTTTCCCACACCGTTATGTTTTCCGTCACGCAACACTCGTTGCGGAACGCGGTTTTATGGTTGCGTGACGAGCCAAATAGGAACGGCGCTGAATCTGCCTATTCGTGCTCCGCGATCTCCAATAATTGTCTATAGAATAGTAATAAACCTAATCTTCCCTAATCCTATCTAAATTAAATATTTAAATGCAATGGTAGTCGGCATGCTCTCAGTGCTTTGTATGATGTTTGTGGTCAACAACTGTTTATTTATTTATTGTTTCAGGCTTTTTTCACCAACCTTCGTTCTTGACCAAGGCTTAGTCCCTTCACCACCAGACGGAGGGAACGAGTTTTGTTTAATATTGATATATGTAGTTACAGTGTGGTGGCTGTAAAAACAGAGGATATAGTTAAACTTTAATTTTATTATAGAGATGACAGCGTCCCCGAATGAGAAAATCGAAACAGTTAGTGTTAAACACAAAATTTTACAGATCAAAGGTTGAATGATATTTACAATTTGTGCAAAGCCTGAAACGGTTCTTGAAATTATCTTGAACATACTAAACTACCTCATAAGCTATTTTTTAATTTTAAAGAGAGGCAGTATTTGGTAAACCTGTCAAAATTACTAATCTGCTCTCTTTTAAATAGAAAATAGCACCGAATTTTCTACAAATTCTTTCATATTGGTAGCAGGGTCACCGATTTATGATGGTGGGTTTTCTTGTAAAAGTGACAGCACTTACTTCAGTCTAAAACTTTTAAACTGAGCCTTTATTTAAGGGTACCGCAATCTCGCTCAGTGAAAGGGTGTTGAACAGATCCATTGTTACGTCTATAGGGTAAATATTATTCTGTAAAGAAACAAACAAATTACATGTATCTTCAACGGTACTCTTTTTAGAAGAACACACTAGTCAGAGAAAGGCAGTGTGCCTCTATCCCGTTCACTCCCAAGATCTGAATATTAATTTTCTGCATCGTCTGCCTTACATTTCATATACTATTAATTCTGAGAATTTGGTGTTAAGTCAAGCATCATCCCGCTGGTGATGATTTTTCTTGCTCTCTATCACCTTTCTGCTTGACATTATGTTGATATTGCAAGGTGGAAAAGTGTCCCTTGATCGCTCCTGGGATTACAATTCTTAAATTTGAATATTATGGTTAGGAAACCAGTCAGTCTGTGCATGCATATTTAAACGTTTGCTGGCAAATGGAGAAATTTACTTTGGGGTTCACTTGTAGGTCTCTAATCGCTATAAATTTCCTGCATAAGTATTACTCATATTCACAAAAATGCAAATATATTCAATTTATTGCTCAAAAGCGGACAAGAAAAGTTAAATTTTTGCCGTCTGCTTTCGCTCTAACCCGGTTCTTAATAATGTTAATTTGTTATTATAAATTATTTCAAGACCTTGGTTTGTTAATAGTATCCTACATGTACAGAAGAAAGAATTTCGCTTTAAATTAACCCAAAGAAGTCAACCATATTTTTTTCTTACGTTGCCTTTGTTTTTCCACTGTATTTCGTCAACCACGAACACAAACTTGTTATTCAGGCATAGACATATTTTTTTTTACGCTTTTTAATAACATTAAGTAGCGTTCGTGTTTAGAGACAGGCAGAGGAACTCTAGATAAAGAAATAACAACCTTTGAAAACCGTCATGTTTTGTTATTATCTGTTCTGTCACCTTTCGTAGAATTAAGTTGGGTAAGATATCCGCTCAGCCCTTTACTTTATTATGCATACAGTCTTGGATAAAGAAAACAATGGCGAAGGTAGAACGAAACTGTGTAGAAATCTTACCATGAGTTATCTTCGTCGCTCCAAGTGGGTTACAAAATTCAGAAATGGAAATTGAGGCGCAGAGAAAAAGAACTTATTGAAATAGGCAAATTGTCGAGGAAGTCTTTGGGAAATTGGAATGTTTCCCTCGAAACCAAAATTCTAAGACCAGTTGCTCATTGATTGTAGGCTCAATACCGATCTTTTGTAACCTAATTCTTCTTCGATCTTTCTTGTCCCACATTTCCCTTAAAAGGTATATCTGTCTATATTCTTGGAAAAACCGGCGGAAGGATCGAAACTGGAGTGAGTTACCTTTTTTCTCGGAATAATCAAATCTATGTCATCATCCGGCTTTTCTGGTGAGTTGGAAAGGGATTTTACGACGATTTAAGTATCTGCGTCTATCGTTTTACTTGAGGAAATGCTGAAGTGGATAAATTCTCTTTTGAGGTGTCTTCGTGTGAAAAGATGACTAATTAGATCTAGGCAACCTCTTGAAAATAATTCTTGAAAACAAAGCGTTAACTTCACTTGCCGTACATCTAAATTTGGAGAATCTATGGAGCTCTCAGAGATGAAATAATTGCAAGTTTGTGTGTTAGCTATAAGCGGTGAGTGACCATCAGCACATTATTTATTGTCAATGTACTGCTCTGAGAATATTTAATTTCCAAGTGTTTTTAATCATTTGGGATCAAGCAGGGCCGAGATGACCATTGACATACGCAGAATTTTGCACCGCTAAAAGTGTATTACTTTAATCTTTACCCAACTTGTATGTACACCTTCATTGATCTTTCTTTCTAAGGAAATCTCTCACTTAATTCCAGGTTAATTAAGCAATATGTATTAAGCTCCTGATCGTGCTACCTCGATTCAGTTAATTAACCTTTGCACACCCAAGAGTGATAAGCAACCGATGTCTTCAGTCTTATAGCATCACTGCTGAGTCAAATATTAAGGTCCTGAGAATACAGAAAAAGATCGTCTGCTGAAGACGCTCTTGATCATTAAAGAAATTCTCCTTGTCAGTGCGGGAACAGTATGGGGAACATACTGGTGTAAGATCGTGTAATGCTTGAAGGCTTACTAAATCAAATACCACACTTGGCCGATTAATTTCACTTATGCTATTCACAAATATCACAAAATGAGACTACTTGTGATCAAGTGCCAGTATTTTCCTTTCCAGCAAGAGAATTTCGAATGAGGTTTCAAAATAATCCGTGCTCAATTTTGCATTTATGACCGTGTACGACATGTCATTTACCAAGGAATTTCCTTTCCGTCCCAAGCAAAAAACTTCCCATTATCCTTCACTTCTAGTCCTTCAATCACCTTCATCAGGCAATTCACAGAATACTCCGGGGTAAATATCTTGGCGGGGTCAATATTTCTGTGGTATCGTCTAGACAAATCTGTGTTCACTGTTCCAGGATGTAAACAAACACATATGACCCGCTTCCTTCCAAGCTCGATACTGAGATTTTTCGTAGCCATATTGAGAGCCGATTTAGACATTCTGTAACTGTACCAGCCACCTAAAGCATTATCCGAGATCGATCCAACTCTTGCTGATATATTTACCAGAATCCCAGCCAAAGCATTCTTATCTGCACTGGTTCTCTTCGTTAGCATTGGACTAAAATGTTTCGCCATTATCAAGGGGCCTAACGCATTCGTTGCTAAAGTCGTCTGTAGACTTCGTAGATCGACCTCTCGCAGGCTTGTTTCTCCCTTACCACTAGGATGCAGCATCCCAGCGCAGTTTACCAACAAATCGAGTTTCGTATCTCCAACGCTAACAGCCACTTCAGACATTTGATTTTCATCTAACACATCGACACGATGAATTGATAGGAGGTCGCCATGATTGATTTTAAGTTGAGTCAATTCTTGGGCTTTTGAAGGGTCTCTGCATGTTGCAATCACAGATGTTTGTTTAGAAAGCAAGTAACGGCACATTTGAAGACCAATACCGCGGCTTGCGCCTTGAATCAAAGCGCTTTTGATCATGTTTTCGACGTCGTTTTCGCTTTGACATCTAAAGAGGAAGTGGCATTATGTAATCGATCCACAGCCAGCCCAAGCTCCAGCTTTGAGACGATCTCTTGCGAAAGTTTGCATGGGAATGTTTACGACCGCTCAAAGGAATGAAAAAAATAAGTCAAATTCTCAATACAGTTGCCTCACCTTACTTCCACAGTGCATCGCTTGTTATCTGACCGCTTAATACGTTGAAGGGAACCCATTCTAGCAAGTTATCCGTTTCGAAATTTTCTGCGTACATAAGAAAAGGCTTTTCATCGCAAGGTGATCAATCATTTCACAGCTGGACCTTGGACTACCTGTGATCAATCGTGACAGAAGGCGAGAGAGGCATGGAACGGGGATTGCATGACAGAAACTGAAAGTACACGCGGGAAATTCAAACGAGCAAACGGTAATTAAGCTGTTTATAGCTCGGTAAAAATCCCTAGCTTCGGTTTTCTTTCAGAGCATAGTTTCGAAATTAAACGAAGCAGTAAGTAAGATAATTGGTTCTATAAGATTCTTTCGGCTGGCTGTTTTCTTTCCAGCAGCTCAAAGGTAGGTTTACTTCAGCCACCGAGTTAGCATGAGTTTCATTATCATTTTAAGCGTTGATCGAGGTTCGTGTTCCTCTTGTAGGTATCGGAAACAACGAAATTCATTATTCAGTTCACGAATTCCAATCTACTTTCACTCTTTCATGTTGAGTTATACAATTTTTTCAGTTATTAAAACTTCACATGCTCAGAGGAGGTTAGAGGCTTTTGAGAGAACTTAAATTACCATCAGTACTTCAATAGTCATTTGGTGCTTGGAGAGAGAACACATTGTCTGAACAGACTTAACTTTATTTTCTTAACTATATTTAGGGATGCAGTTGGTTGTGATAACTTTGAATGGTTATTTTAACTCCTAGAAGTGATGAACATGTAACTTCTCTCTATAAAATCCTTACAATATCCAGCAATCAGGTAACAAGAATACTCAAACATATAGATAGATAGATAACCTTAATTTATACACAACAATATTTTAAGTTACAAGCTTGTGGGGTCGTGTGAAGAAAACAGGAAAATTACACATTATGTAAATATAACTTGAGTTTGAAAATAGAAAATTATACATGTTATAACTTCCAAGTAAAAACAAAACTGGTATGTATAAGGCCAGTAGTAAAAGCAGAAAGTATGTCAAATTTGAATTTGTCTCTGGTGAGTGGGAGTTTTTTCAGATTATTGAGACTCAGGTGTCCAACTTCTTGTTCATTGTAGCAAATAGCATTCCATAACACAGCCCCATGATATTTTAGGGAGTCTTTCATGTACCGTGTTTGAAACCTGGGTATTGTTAAAAGGTCATGTCCACTCAGAGAATAACCATTTGAACAACATTTATGCATGTTTTCAGACAATGAGTCGGGAAGAGTGGCATTGTAGCCTGTGTAAAAAAGCTTGAAGATGTCCTATTTATTATACAAAGAAGGTATAGGCCACTGGTCATATCTAAGCATGTTGGATGATGTCATATCTTTAGGTAGATTAAATCTAATTCTTGCTGCCCTGCAGTGTAGTCTCTCTATTGAACCAAATATATCAGTATTATTACAAGATCCCCACAGAACTAAACCATATTTTACAGAAGTCAAAATTTCTTTGAAATAAAATTCCTTTAATATATCCCTTGTGAGAAATCTGGGTCGTTTTAGCAAGTTCAGTTTGTTAGCAAAGCTCTCTTGGGTCTCCAGTACATGCAGTACCCAGCTGAGTTTCTGGTCAACTGTCAAGCCCAGCAAGCCTGCTTTGTAACCACATCAGATTTGAGGTTCCTAAAAGCACAGGAGCTATTGATCCCATCAGGGTTCCTTTACTGAGTAACATAACCTCACTCATGCCTGGATTAGGTGTTAAACGGTTGTTAAAGCACCATGCATGTAACTCTTGCAGTACTGCATTAAACTGTGCAATAGCTGTGTCTGCAGTTTCTCCTATACAATAGACTAACATCATCTGCATACATATGCAGTGATCCTGAGCAGACAGAGGATGGAAGGTTGTTTGTGAAAATTGTGAAAAGAGTCTGTTCTAGCACTGATCCCTGGCTAATGCCAAAAGTGAATGAAAGACAGCAATTCACCATCATGAATTGCTGTCTCTCATTTAGATAACTCTTAATCCAATCAAGAAACGTGCCTGTATAATGCCAAAGTCACATTTCAGCTTCTTTTCTAGTATATTGTGGGAAACAATGTCAAATGCTTTTTGAAAGTCTAAAAAAGCCACAGCCACCACCTTCTCTGAGTTGAGGGCTGCTCTTCATGTTTCTGTCAGATGCATCAGCAGTAGTTCCATTGAATGCCTGGCACAGTATGCCAATTGTCTATCTTAAACTAGATTGTTCTCTCTGAAAGCCTGTTGCACAATGGTATCATTGGCTTCAGAGTCCATGATCTTGCTTGGTACGCTATGCAAAGAAACCAGACAGTGGTTTCCAAAATCAGTTTCATCAACTTTTTTAATAAATAGGTGTAAGCCTAGCTGTTTTCCAACTGGAGAAAACCATTTTATATTCAATGATACTGTGATAAAAACAAACAGAGAAGATAGAATTTGTTATCCTGATCTAAAATGAAACTCTCATAACTAATCTACAAGGAAATGTGTAGCAGCTAGAGGGAGGAATCCTGAGGGAACTTCTCATGGCCAATTTATGTTATCAACTCAGTTGATAAAACTAAATTAACCTGTTATACTCTCTACCGATGTAGCACCACAGTTTCTTGAGAAACTTACCCTCTTTATTCCTTGTAAATTAGTTATGAATTTGGTGTTGGATCAAGATATCAACTTCTACCTGATAAGTTTGAGTATTCTCATAACCTGTTAGCTGGATAATGTGAGGATATTATGAAGAGAAGTTTTATCTTTATCACTTCCGGGAGTTAAAGGGTTAAGAGTCAGGTACTGGTCAGGAAGGAATATACTATAAGCTAAAATATGCTAGTATTTTCAAGGACAGTTATATAAACGACACTTTGCTTTTTATCCTACAAAACAATTATATTCCATGCTGCTGTGTGTTTATTTAGCTAAATAGGGTAATTTAATATTATTAACTGAGTCAATAACATAAATTGGCAACCATAAAGAGTCAGGAGGCTGATGTTTTGAGCATTAGTTCTTCGTCAAAACATCAGCCCTAAAACTTGGCCAATTTATGCTATCAACTCGGTTGAAAACACCAGATTACCCTGTTATACTGTCCCACCAACACAACACCACAGTTTCTTTAGAAACTTACCCCCTTTATTCAGCTAAATAGATCACAGATGAAATCAAAATGTGGTAAGGACATCAGAGACACACTCAGCTGCACCTCATCTGCCACTTTTTTGTTCTTACCACATCATTTTGATGTCATCTGTGATCTATTTCTGAACTGATATATTGTTGAATTATGTGACCCTTGACAGTTACCACTATTATCTGCATCATATGGGAACCATTTGGTCGAAAGTCAAACCTGTAACATGCAGTCACCCATAAGGAATGGCAGAGTGACTGTTTAACCCTTTAACTCCCAGTAGAGATTAACATGAAACTTCTCCCAATAATATCCATACATTATTCAGCAAATCAGCAATGAGAATATTCAAACTTATCAGGTAGAGCTGCTATCTTGATCTAGCACCAAGTTCTTATAACTAATTTACAAGGAAGTGTCTAGCAGCTAGAGGAGAGAATTAACAATCAGATCTTAGGAGAAAAAGGATTAATACAGGTTGACTGCTTAGGGTTGACTGCTTAGCACAGGTTGACCAGCAAATGATTTGCATGATGTTATCTTTCTTTTATGTCCTAACAGTCCATAAAAGAAAGATAATCTACAATGCATTGCAGACATTTGAACTCAAAGTGCTAACATAAATTTTTCTTGAGAGAAAACTTTTGGTTTTACTGGAGTGGTTCTGCTTTACATCACTGTTTAATACAGGGAAAAAAATTCTGCACTTTGACGACTGACCGCTTAATATAGGGTGACTGCTTACTTTCAGGTTCGATTGTGAATTAAATAAAAAGTTATTGATTTTTGGTGAAATCAGACAATACATAATGATGGTTACTGGGAAATTCAAACTTCAATATTGCTAGTATTTGTTCCAAATTTTTTATGTTTGTTTCCCAAGTTTTCCAACAAATCTTCATAATACAGGATTTTTTTATTAACAGTTTTCAACTTGTTCCGCCATTGTAAGCAAATTAGATTATTTGAGCAAAATTGGTCAGGTGAATTTGTTTTACTGTGACAGCACTTTTCGGGTAGTCATTCTAAAAGAGTCTCGAGGACTATTTTAAGGTTGAATAACTATAGTAGGGTTTTAGTTCCATCCTTGATCTCAAGATCTGGCTTTTTTCAGGCAGCAGTAGCTGTTATAAATATAGAAGTAGTTTTGTATATATTTGACCAAAAGTGTGAACTGCAAGGAAAATCTTAGCCTACAACTTGAGACCTATTTAGAAAATGGATGAAACTTGGGTTTTAAGAAAACAGCACACACTTTTGCCTTCAAAAAATGTTTTAAAAGCTTTCTAAATTTATTTAAATCATAAGAAGATAGATGGATAAGACAAATTTGGGAGAACCTTTTGTAGGTATATGCTCTCTGTCTTTGTAAGAGTTGTGTTCTTGTTGATAGGAAATTAAAAGATCAGCATTAGTTAAAAATCTAATGTGTGCCAAGGTTTTGAATAACAAAAACTAGTACCAATTTTCACAGGCTGCAGGGCTAACTTTTGGGGAATTCCACCTAATTTTTTGAGCTTGTAATTTGGATTCAAAATTTTTCATGTATCTTAATTTCATCTAAAATCCTTCAGTCACCTTACTTCATGGAACATTTTTTTTTCATCTACAGAGAGTTGTTGATAAGTTCTAAAATTGTTTGGGGGCCACTGAAAGCAAGACCCAAGTGAAAATCAAGGTGTGTTTCTTGAAATGTGTAACTTGATCATAATAGTGCAACTGCTTTGGTCAGTATGCCATATCTTGCCTTTGTCATCCACACAGGGTACACAAGGTGATTGTTAAACTGAATTACTCGATTTGAACTTGGTGTTAAGACAACTTCTTTGGTACGTAGTTGAGAGGAACATTACTTGTAGTGAAATTAAATCCTCTAAGTAAATAAACTACAACAATGATCATTCTCCTCAGGCTGAGTGAATAGTATTTGACATTTTTCAAATCATTTCTGGGGGTAACTCTCAGTATTACCGATTCATCACTTCAAAGTCAAAGTGTACGTTCAACTTAACTTATATAACTGATAAACGTGACGTTGTCTAATAAGCATGAACTTGCGTGGGCAAGCTGACGGCAATGGAATCAACACAAAGACGTGAAAATTTCTAGAAATATTTAAGACACTTAGGTCATCGTAAATCCTCCAAAAAAACCGCTTGCGCACGTTAAAAAAATATGCAGACCTTGTACTTTTTAATGGTGTGATTTGACATATCGAATTGTTTCCTCCACGCATACTGGACATATTTGGGACTTAATATACGGAACTTTGAAAACATTGCGGAAAATATGATAGCTTAGGAAAATTTCAGCTCATCAAAAGTTTAGGTGTCTTAATAAGGATGAGTTGTTGCAATTTTTTGGCAATGGAACGCTCATTTCGCCTTAAAAAACCGCTGGGGTCTCCGTGACAAGCCCGCTGTGGGGAAAACCCCTTCCGACATGAGTAACTCTATCCTGTAAAAGTACGTGTTAGCTTTGATTAAGCTTTGAGTCAGTCGAATGGGAAACAGTTGTGTCAATATTCAGCTTTCTTTGCTCATAAGACCAGTAGGGTAACAGTGACTTAACACAAATTAATCCCGTTATTTCTCGTAGTAGATATTTCCGTAAGTAAACCTCGAATATACTGCACGTGGCAACGATCTGGTTTCCAACCCATTGTGAGTTAAGTTTCTGTCGAAAAGGACAAATTCCTTGCAATTTTGACAAATATAAGGTGAGTTTTAAAAACTTAATTTAGCTTGAAACCGTATATGTTCATTTTTATACCGTAGTGATCGGGATTTTTGCTTTCAGAGAGAGCTGATGTTGCGATGTGTTGTTAATTACCCAAGTATTGGATTGAATCAAACATCAGAAAGTTCTGATCACTGCAGCGAAATACATAATGACAGAGATGACTATATTGAAGTTAAACTTCTATAAGTGTTTATTTAATACGATATTTCCTGAGTTAGTAAGATAAGAATTTGAGAAAGAAGAATGAAAATGAAATAGCTTTGCCACGTGGCAGTACACCATTTCGCCACGTTCGATCGTTCTCTGTTAAAAGAAGCGCAGTTCTGTTTGGACTTTAATCCAAACATTTTTTAACGTGTCTTAAAAACAAAAAAATGCCTTAACCCTGTAATTATACTCTACCCAAGTTATCGGAGCATCGTGATTTATGATCATGAATTGTCACGACGTAACTTTGCGTGACCCTTCATATTGCTTTCAATTGACATTTCGAAGCTAACTTCGATAAAGTTAGAAAGCGAAAATTATGATAAAGAAACTATGGAAGTTTGTAGCTCTCTGATCTTCCCCGTAGGTTCCTTTAAAAAAAAATTGATGTTATGAGACCTCCATTAACCTGGTCACAAGAAATTCACGTTTTAAGTATTATAATATTGTCAACAGGGTAAATATTTATTTGTGTTGTTATCAATTATTTCGTGACCAGCTTCTGATATAAATGTGATAAGGGAAAACACAAAGTAAAACTTGGGCTCCCGGCAAAAAGTAATACTCAAGCGTAATATAATAACCGAAACAGCTTATTGGTCTTAAAAAATCGTAAATAAACAACGTAAGAGTGTTATGTTAGATTTTTTTACAAATTGTAGTGATTTATGCCTCGATATGCCAATAAACGGTGGCGACAAGTAGGTACACCATGTATATTTCATAGTCGCTAGCAAGTAAATTTTGCCGGACTTTGAGTTCGTCTCACGATAGAACAACAAAAAATACACAAGGAAATTTTTCAGTAACTTTATAACCATCCTTTTGTCTTTTAAAAGCTGGAAGCTCAGTAGATGCTGTCATATCGGTCATTGTTAAAACTGTCTTTGTTTTGATGCTACTTTTCGAGGTTATAGCGGGTTTCGCCCATAACGAGTTTCGCACATATCGTTTCGCCCAGAACGAGAATGGTTTCGCCCAGAACAATAAAGGTTTCGCCCATAAGTAAAACTTCTACACTCTCACTCGGAAAACGTCAACCTTATAAACGTTTGTATGCACAGAATGAAGAAAAGTGACTTGACCTGAGATCATGAAATTTTGAAACGAACAAGTTACTGTTGAAATGAACAAGTCAATTATAGCTTTCACTGTGGAGCGGGGATTGTTAAGGTAATTCGCGCACGAAATACTGCAGAGACGTCCGTTTGTCGTAAAAGCATTGCTATGATTTTTTTGCATCACTTTTCTTCTCGAGAATTAAATTAAACGCTTTTGAAAACACTTGCGCGTGGAACATATCATCGTTGCAAATCTTTTGTACACGGAAGATAAGTTCCGCACGCCAGCTTATGAATACATGTGAATACGGTTTCGTGAATACTAAAACAAAGGAATCGAGAGTTAAAGATTGTATTTCTGACATAGGTAACGGCAACATATAATTGGAAAAGAGATAGAAAGTAGTCAAGTTCATGAGTGCGCGCGCGTGGAATAGCTTTACTACTCCGACGAAGCGTGCGGTACGAAAGCTTTAACTTAAAGGAAATTACCGTCTTGCACAAAAAATCTCAATCAAACCTTATCAATAGAATTTGAAAAGCTTACTCTTGCAAAAATATCTCACCTGTTCGCTTATCAATAGATTTTCACTCTTGCAAAAAAAATCTCACCTATTTATGCCTGGGCGAAACCATTCTCGTTATGGGCGAAACGCTTCTTGGGCGAAACTCGTTATGGGCGAAACCCGCGGATACCCTTTTCGACATAGGAAAAGTGAGTCGGACAAAAATATTCACCAAAAAATAAATATTTCTTTGCCAGCTTCAATAATGACAGGGGATTAAGTTTAGATGATAAAACAAAGGATTATGCCAACAGATATACCGGAGGTCAAGTAAATTCGTTACATGAGGTCGCACAACTCGGGTAATATTCAGGGTGAAAATTTGCATATTTTAGCGGTCGAACGAAAATACTCGTTTCTCAGAAACTAAAATATATTTTCACAAAAAAACCACATCACAATTATTAGGACATATTGGGCTACAAAATATGAAAGTAGGAGAGAAAACGAATTTGGGCGACTTGCCGCTGTTTGTCTGATGCATGTCGACACTAGCTCTTAAGTCGTCACGATTTCTAAGAAATCTTTAAAATAATTCCGAGAAGTGAAACGCTCTGAACTTCCCTGTTTCTGCAGAACCACACTGTCCACCAGAGTGTATCGAGAATAAAACATGTCTTCAGGTTAAATGGATTTACTAAGACTTTTAATTTAGGTATTACCTGTGAACTGTAAAGGAAAAAATCGCTTACATTAGCAATTAACGACTGCTTCCCAATACGAACAGGGAGGGGAGGGCAGGGAAAACTTTGCACCAAAACAAACCATTGTTATGATTGAAAGCCTATCCTTTACCCAGAGATATCCATAACAGCCTTTAAAGCTTTGTTTCCTAGAATATTGGCAACGTACTGGTGTGAAAACCTACTAAAAAATTGAGAAGCACCTATGAAAATACAGCAGATGTTGTAGGAAATAATTGCTATGGCTACGAATCATTTCTAAAGGCAATCAGGCCTATCTATACGAGCGGATGCGAACGTCTTTTAAGCATACGTAATCGTGCTATCTTTTTGGTGCAGTGAGTAATATGGAGATACGAAGCAGTACGAACTACGCTTGGAACACAAAAGATCGTTTAGGCGAAGGAGCGACAGGGGCAGTTTACAAAGCCCGACACAAGGTAAGGAATGAGCTTTCTGTGGGCGAGTTCCCTAATTGAAAGCTCTCGATTGCGTTTGAAGGTTCAGTAAAGATCGTGCACTTAGAACTTTCTCTTTCAAATTAGAAAACTGGTGAAACGTTTGCAGTGAAAGTTTCTAATAATCTGGGGATGATGAGACCAGTAGAGATAAGGAGAAGAGAGTTTGAGGTGCTGAACAAGCTGAATCATGAGAATATAGTAAAGTTGTATGCCAGTGAAACCGAGGTATGTTGATTCTTCGATATTATTTTCTTTAACAACTGAAACGCTTCATTACCATCAGCTTTGCGATATTATTGTTGAATAGCTTAAGGTGTTGAATATATTGTTTTAACTCTTCGCGTTTGGGATTATTTTATTCAACTTTTACATTATGTACGCTTTCTCAACATTTCTTTATATTCACATTTAATGGAGGAAAGCTGAAAATTGATCGCAGCTGTTCGGGAAGACTACATTTGCGATGATTAATATTAAAACTTCCTTACATCGAACAACATACATTTTGAATATTCAGACAACTCCGCTTTAAAAGACTAAATAAGCGTTAAATTTATGCAAGGATTGTAATCATTTTGTTGCTTTACATTCCTTTTGGCATATATTGTTAATATTTAAATGGTATGTTTTGAAGTAAAGGTGATTTCCCCACTGTATCCTTGAAAGGATTGAAATCGGTTCCAACAAGCCTGTATCGTGTTAAGCCCTTTAATCCAAAAGTGTCAACATTACGTTAGGGGATTCCCCTTACATTCTCAAGAACCAATGATACGTTCAGTAGTTTTCCGAGAAGGTAATAGAAGCGATTACTATTATAATTTATGCGGGCAGACAATGGCACTGTTTTAAAAAATCTTGTTTTAACACCTCCCTGGATGAAAAATTGTTCCCTCTTGAATGCTGAATTTCAGAAAAATACAGACAGAGAAGTTATGATGACAGTGTTTTAAAAGTCTAACTACACAAGATCTCTTGAACATAAATTTTGGCCAGAATTTCCTTATCAAATAGCAACGGAAGTCACATGATCCCATGTGTCTGACCCTATTGACACTCAAACTCAATACCTTATTGTGGAAGGATAAATAACGATCAAAAGAAATTGACTTGACTTTATTACTCAGCTGTTTTTCATAACCATGGGTAAAAATGATAACTTTTTTCTTCAGTGTCTTAAAATATGTAAGTTTCAATCATTTTTTCCATAAGTGACTGCCAATGGTACCATTGGGCAGTTGCATGGTAAGACGAAACCCAAACAGGCAGCTGTGAAAGGTCTATGCAGACCACTAGTACTTAGCTTTTATTGAAACTGTCAAAACAGTTGGATAGTTGCTATGATCATGAATATAAGCTATACAAATCCTATAAATAAAATCTTCATCATGGTAACAAGAGATTGCCATTGGTAACAGGCTTTGAATGGAACCCTTGTTAGAACCTTTAATTAAACGCATTGTCTGATCTATTTCAATCTGTTTTTTCTTGGTTCAAATTTGATTAGTTATATTTGGATCCTTAAACATGCAGTGGTCTGTGACCAAAAGCAATCTGTCTAATTTAGATGAAGTTAATATGTTATCATTTTATTTTAACTTAAACACAGTCTTCTATTTGGGCACAATCAGTTGGCTAAGAGATTTGATAGCGTGTGTGAAGTCAAAGTTAAATGATGTTCCATGAACTTGCATTCTTAAATTTATTTGTTAACGTAGTTCAAGTATAGTTCTATTTAAAGAATCAAGTCTATTTTAGGGCATTGGTATTGCATCAGAACTATAAATCACAAGGTCATTATGTTTTACTAAAATTGGCAGCATCTGTAACTTTTTTTACCAAGTATAAATATGCACACTACTAACTGGTAGAGAATTATCATCCATTGCATTGTATTCAACCACAAAATCCCACTTCAACACTGAACTTCAACAGCTCAGATCGCAAAATGAGATCATCGTTATGGAGTTGTGCTCAGGTGGCAGCTTGTTTACACTGCTTGAAAATCCTGCAAATACCTATGGCTTTATGGAAGATGAATTTAAACAAGTGCTTAAAGACGTTGGTAAGATAATTATTATGAATCACCCTTCATTGATAAGGAAATATCTCCACTGACTACTCTCCCCATGGTGTTTTTTAGAGTCAAAGTAATGGGCAATTGGAATTTTACAAAAAATTGTTGTTGATGAACTTGTTTGAAATAAAATTTTTTCATCCATGTGGGTGGGTATGGGACAGTGTTTGAAGAACAATGTGAGCAATTTGAACTCTCAGAAGCGGCCAGAAACAAAAAATTGCTGCCTACTTAACACACAGCAGGCACATTTTGGCCTGCAAGCAATGAATGTTTTTATCAAGTGTTTTTGCCTCTTAAGTAATCTGTGAAGACTTTTCACAGGAGAAGTGACAGGGGGGAATTAAAAAAGTGGACCAGAGGTAGAGAGAAAGACAAAAGGGGAGGGGAGGGAAAGGTACACAATGTCCTCAAAGGAATGTAACCTCGAGTCTTTGGATAAGTTTGACAAAACTGTCATGCATTTTCAAATTAGTTGCAGGAATGAAGCACTTACATGAACAAGGCATGGTTCACAGAGATCTCAAGCCTGGGAACATCATGAGAGTGATTAAGGATGATGGAAGGTATTTCTTATAAGATCGAAATTTTTTATTTATTCACAAAGGTAACAAACTAGCTGGTGCTAAAGAAATGCTTATACACTTAGCATAGTGTATATCCCTCACTCAAATTTCCCAAAGTGTCCTTTGCAAAATTCCTTGGCTCTGGCAAACCTCTTTGCAATAATCTTTAGTGTATCTGTAATCCAATTGTAATAATGCTCATATGTATTGGAAGTGGTTTCAAGAGAGTCATACAACATAATTTATTAGTTCATCAAGCTTGACTAAACAATTTTTCGATATATAAGTTACTGAGACTGAGTATATTACCATGTTAATTGTATATAATGTAAGCTATTGTCTCATGTTAAAGCACCAGGGGGCTGTGTACCCAAAAATTTGCTTTTGGCCACTCATGTCCAGAAATGCATGCAGTAACAAAAATGGTAGATTTGACAAAACCAAGCAAATGTTCATGGATTTGACAATTTTAGTGAATTTTAGTCAAATTAGTCAAAGAGAAATCAGCTCGGCAGATTTGATGATTTTGACAAATTTTTTTGTAATTTTCATTACTGCTTGTATTTCTGGATATATCTCCATTAGGGAGCAGGGGGAGGGGCAACCTCAACCACCTTGGCTCTGCCACCTAATGTTGGACACTCTCAGATTCGTTGAGGGTGTCAGTATAAGTTAGCTTGTGTAGCAAAGTGTGACAAAACGTGACAAGCAATTTTAGATAACATTTGATTATGTAATAATAATCAGAAATATGATATTTGTGTGATTCATTGTTGTCTATGTAAGTGTGAAAGCACTCTATTGCATGTTGCATGGGATGTCAGATATAATTTGTGCTTTCTGTAAGAACGCCCAGTTCCGCAGGATTTGTGTGAGTGTTCAGCCATATCTGTGAAATTGTAGTGATGAAGCTGTTTATTTTAGATAACATTTGATTACGTAATTATAATCAGAAATATGATATTTGTGAGATTTATTGTTGTCTATGTAAGTGTGAAAAAAATCTATTGCATGTTGCATGGGATGTCAGATATAATTCGTGCTTTCTGTAGGAACGCCTAGTTCTGCAGGATTTGCGTGAGTGTTCAACCATATCTGTGAAATTGTAGTGATGAAGTTGTTTATGCCAAGGGAAACTCCATTTATCCTCTGTACTATATATCACAAATTAGTTAGCTACCATTATATATATAAGAACATTGATTCAAGCAATAAAGTAGATTCAGTTGATTGTACAATAGTTGCATGTGCCTCTCTTCGTGAGTGTGCACCAACAAGCGAAAGGTTAGCCCAAGCTTTACAACAATTTGACTCTAACTGACCCCTTGGTTGTGGTTTTACTACACTTGCAATAATCACTGACTTAATGTGATCATGATGTCAATTAAATGATTGCCAAGGCATGACTTTTAAAAAGACCAGAGTACAACTTCTTGATACTTCTGAATAGATTTTTAACATGAAAGGAACTAATGAGTTCCTCTGATTGTCAATGGAGAAAGTACCTAACATGCAAGAGATGCAGCTGTTTTATTTACTTAAATGGGAAATTGGTTCTTATTTCGGCTCTAATTGAATTTTTGCGATTTTTTTTTTATCAGCTTTGTTTACAAGTTAACTGATTTTGGGGCTGCAAGGGAACTGGAAGCTCATGAAGTCTTCATGTCTGTGTATGGCACAGAGGAATATTTGGTATGACAGGCACTAATTAGATTTGTCTATAATTAATAACTGTTGATAGCATAATATTATGTATATTATTTGGCAAAGGCTGAAAAACTTGATGATAGAAACAAAACCTTCCCTGTTTTCTCGAATAAGTGCCCATGTTTTAATAAACACCCTCCATCAAAAATGCACCCCCTCAAGGCCATGATATAGAACAATGGCCTCACTTGAAAGGGTGCCCCTCCCTCGCTTTATTAAAAAGTAGGAATACATTGAAAACTTGTTTCCATTGTCACTCTTTTTAGAACGATTTTAAGCCTCCCCACAGAATCCATACAAGCTTAAGTCAAAGGCAATACAGTATCTATCAAGCGGAAAAATGTCATGTTTAACCCTTTAACTCCCAAGATCTCAGAAATTCTCCTTACTGTCTGCCAAATGATTCTCAGTAGGTTAGTATGGAGAATTTGGTATCGGATCAATTAGTAATCCCATAATTAATATTTTTCTTAAATAATTCTCATCACTTGTCTGCATGATATGGTATAGATATAGTAAGGAGAAATTCTGTCTTGGTCACTCACAGGAGTTAAAGGGTTAATTCAATGTCTTATAGAAGTTATAACCACTCTCTGGATGCATTGTGAGTTACATCAAGATCACAGAATACAATTGTCTCAGCAGCGGCAGCACTACCTGTGATCTACATTTCTTTCATAATAATTCTTCTATGCTCCTTTATTTAAATATTTTATGTTATTACCTAAACTCAAATTCAATTTATAGCATCCAGATCTTTATGAAAGAGGAGTGCTCAGGAAACATGCAAACAAGACATTTGGTGCAATGGTAAGTAAAGGAAAGTATTAACTCTCCACAAATTAATTAATCTTGTCCAAGCTTATAACTGTTGCATTTAAGGACCTCAAACACCACCTAACACTTTGTTCTGTCATGTATAGTTTTTCTAGAATTCAATAAAGATGTGAAGAAATGAGTAATATATAATAAACATCAATCACCCCATGGAATTTTGATGATTACGTTGATTTATGGAGCATTGGGGTAACATTTTACCTTATTACTTCTGAGGACAGTTGCCCTTTACACTGTATGATGGAATGAATAATATGTAAATAATTATATGAATAATAAAAAATTAACCCTTGGTATTTTGATGATTATGTCTGTTTTCTAGGTTGACTTGTGGAGCATTGGGGTAACTTTTTACCATATTGCTACAGGACAGTTGCCCTTCAGACCATATGGTGGGCGACAGAACAAGGATACCATGTTAGTAAATCAACCTTGTCAGAGTACTAGACCTACAGTTAACTGTTTTACTTCCAAGATCTCATCACTAATTCTCGTTACCATCTGCCATACAATTCTTATGATGTTAGTTTTGAGAATTTGGTAGTGAGTCAACTAAGAATCCCACTTATTGCTATTTTTCTTTATTCTCATCACTTATCTGCTTGATTTTGCATTGATACTGAAATGAGATGTTCTCTCTTGGTCACTCATGGGAGTTACAGGGCTAAGTCATTGGCTCTCATATCCAGACAAGCACTTCCTTACATCAGCATTGTCACAGGCTGTTCCAGGGGTTTTATCAGTTAAACAAAGAATGCCTATTGGAAAAGCTGAGTGAAAAAAGGAGGAGGTTTGGATTGGAACACATAAAGAACTCAACCCAACTTAACCCCAAACCTGCTTCCTTTTTTTGCTCCACAGCTTAATATAATTGCACCATTTGTTTATTTTCCATTTTTTACGACTAACAGTCATGTTACCTTTAGCTTGTTGCAACTCTGTTGCAGTTAATACTCTAATAGCGGAGCTCACAGCACACGCAACCCATCAAGCCAAAAAAATTTGGACTTACGACCATACGACTGTACAACCATATGTACAAGGTGCTACTTTTAGCATGTGCAGCCAATTGTACCACAGGCACATCAACACCACAGCTTTCAAGACATGCGGGGAAAAAAATGTGAACTTCGCTTTTAGGCTTGGTTAAATCTATATATTATGAACTTGAATTAAAACTTCTTCACAGCAAGGGCTTGTCTACAATAGTAAACAGCTTGTGCTCTGTGTTGGCCTATGTGGAAATGTTTCAATTCTGTTGCAGTCAGTACATATGAACTTTTAACTAGTAAATTATTAAAATATCTTCACATAATCAATCTTGCATACAGGTTTTAATGAACTAATTAAATGGTTGTTTGTAATGTTACTATTTAAAGGCATGTGATCACATCTAAGAAGCGGGCTGGTATGATTTCTGGAGTTCAGAAGAGTGAGGGGGAGGACATTGAGTGGAGTGACAAACTTCCTGATCATACACGATTGTCTCAGTAAGTGTGATTGTTATGTGTCATAAATTATTTAATTATGACGTCACAATGTGCGTGATGTTCTTCTGAGATTTACAAAATAAAGAAAACGGGTTTCTTGACCATCGTGATACTACGTCGTTACAGTAGTTGCAACATTGGTGCCGTGAACAGGATGAGAGAAGATATAAACAAAATGAAATCGATCCGAGCAGCCTACAAAGGACAGTGTACACAAGATTGTTTAAAAGGCAGAAAAACTCGTAATTTCAAAGAGTTCAGATCACGCTGAATTGGAGGCACTCGTGGACAGACTCACACGAAGAGCTGGAGAAATAGCGCAGATGAATGCTAAAATTTTGATGTCGTTGGACACAGAGGAAGACATTCTAAAAGACACAGAATCAGCCCTATTGTTACAAGACAATATATCGGACTGGCAATTCAAAATTAAACAATTTCCCAAGAGTAAACAACAAACACCGGTGAGTCAGTTCCATCATAGTAGTTTCAAACAAGCACCAACGCTTCGAATGCATATCAGTTTACCTAAGATAAACATCAAATCCTTTGGAGGAGATCCACTTGAATGGCTCACATTCTGGGATAGCTTTAGTGCAGCTATCGATAAAAATCTTGAACTAAGTGATGTTGGAAAAATTGAATTATCTAAGCGGAATGCTTAAAGGAGAAGCAGCGCGCGCTATCTCCGGCAACTGAGCAATTAAAAGAGCGCTTTGGCAAAACCTAAGATTTGACCAACGCTTACATGCAATCATTATTCAAGATCCACGCGCCTTTAGGTGACACTAAAAATTTAAGGGAATTTCACGATATATGCAAAGCCAATATTCGTGGCTTAGAAACACTAGGAGTAAAGACCGAATCATATGGAAGTTTGCTAATTCCCATACTCCTAAAGAAAATAACCGGGGATGTAGGCTGCTTAGTATTCAGAGCGGATCCTTTAAAGCAGATAGCTTCTTGGATAGATTGAAGGTAGCCATACGACAAGAAATTGAAACACGAGAGAAAAGCCACATATCCTCTCTAGAAGATTCCACATCTGTTGCCACGGACGAGGAAGTATTCGTACCAACCGCTGGCGCTCTACTTACCAATGCTCAGGAAAAACAAAGATTTCTCAACGGAAAACCGAAAGTATCACGACCATGCACCTACTGCACGGAAACACACCGCCCAGAGAAATGTGATAAAATTACATCAGTAGAGCAACGGTGATCTATCCTTCAACGCCAACAAAGATGTCTCAACTGTCTTGGACTCACACACGAAAATTCAATGCCACTCAAAAGGTCGATGTATGAAGAAACACCATACTTCAATTTGCGAAGAAAAACAAGACAATCCAACACAAAGTTCATCATATCAAATAAAAGAAAACAAAAATTCAAACACTAGTCAGTCACCTACAAATACCATAGCGAAGAATACAACCCACATGGGAGTACGACACATGGTAAGCACTAAAACATGGGACGACCTAAAACCACCTAAAACCACCCACAACCATCTACAACCACCTCAAAAATTTCAACAACCACCTACAACCACCTCAAAAATTTCAACAACCACCTACAACCACCTCAAAAACATCTACAACCACTCGCAAACTATCTAAAACCATCTGAAACAAGTGGTTAGTGGTTTTAGGTGGTTTTAGATCGTTCCATGTTTTAGTGCTTACAAGTAACGCATTCCCTTCATCCTACTAATCATATCCTGATGCAATCCGTCATCACAAAGATAAGAGCCGGTAAACAATATCGTCAAGCTCGCATCCTGTTCGATACAGGATCACAAAGAACCTTTATTACTCAAGATATGAAGCACAAACTTGAACTAAAAGCAATGGGAAAAGAACTCCTGGATGTAACTACATTCGGTTCATTTCAAAGTATTAGAAATCAAAATAAAAGCGCTAGTAACTCCAATTATTTGTCCACCGCTAACAGTCCTGATGAAGAATCTAAAGATGCCTCCTGAATTAAAAGGACCCCAAACTTTGCCATCGTTTGCAATCATCACAAAATCTTGACGTAGATATCATCATTGGAAATGACTATTACGGTCAGCTGATTTCTAACTGCAAACGACGCCTTGATTGCTATGGAAAGTAAATTCGGATGGCTCCTATCAGGACCTATTCAAAACGAGAACAACCATGTAACCAACAACGACTTAAACACACTCTGTCAAAGGGTCAAATTCATGCCAGTAGAAGAGTCAAAACTCGACAACCTATTAACCAAGTTCTGGGAAATCAGCATGATACCAGAAGAAAGCGACAAATATGATGATTCATCCTAAAATTTCAAAAAACCATCCGATCTAACAAGGCAACTGGTAGGCAACAAATTTCTCGTAAAGGGGGTAAGGCTGCATTGGTGGGAGAGTATAACAGGGAAATTTAGCATTATAAACTGAGTTGATAATGTAAATTGGCCACCGTAAAGAGTTTCAAAGCTGATATCTCGAGCGTTAGCCCTTTGAGTCAGTGAATGATGAAGGGCTAGCGCGCAAAACGTCAGCTTTGGAACTCTTTACAACAGCAAATTCAAGTATCAACTCAGTTGATAATACCAAATTAATAAATTTTTATGTTTCATTAGAAGTCATCAGTTAAGCACTGCTATTTCACAAGGGTTTTGGTACAATCTAAAAATGGCACTGTTGGCTTGTACATGTTAATTGTTAATTCTTAAGAATTTAAGAACATCTTTCGATCATATTTGAGAAAATTAAAGTATAGTAAAGAGATACAGACTCAGGTAATTTAAAGAGGACCACAATTAATCTTTTAAACAGATGAAATTAAAGCTCCATAAGAGTTAGCGAACATTAGCAGCCATTGTGTAGACTGCTGTCTATACTGACTATCTCAAGCTTAATTCAATTTGATATTGACTTGAACTTACATGTAATATAGATGGGACCTTCATTAATCAAGAATGTAGCACTGGTTTATACTGACTTGTTAATGATACACTCAGAAAATATTGTAACACTGATTGACTCTTTTGGAAAAAAAGAGCAAATTTTCACCAAAATTAGGAAAGGACATTGTTTTGATGACTCCAAGTTTGTTAAATATATGAATGATATTACTTTTTTCATATAAATTATTTGCTTTTTTATTTTAGGGGTCTGAAAGAACTCTTGACACCAGTATTGGCTGGTATTTTGGAGTCTGACCCAGCAAATGCAATGTCGTTTGGAAAGTTTTTTGTCAGCATTCAAGACATTTTGTCACGGAAGGTACAATTTGTATTACAATATGCCTAAACTTCCTTGTTGGAGGAAACTTTCATCTATTTTGGGATGAAATTGTGAGTTTTAATTAGGATAATCCTAAACATCTTGGAGCCTTTGTCTCATTTTCAGAAACAAGTTTCTTGTCCTAGCTGACTTAATCCTTGTTAAGGATTACATTTTTCCTTTGAAGCCAAGGAAACCGCCTGTATTATTGTGCAGACTACTAAGCATAATTTTATTACCATGATTGTATTGTTAATAATGATAATGATCGTGACAACCTTATTTTTTAGGTCATCGATGTTTATTCGGTGCATTCAGCTTCTTTCCACAAGATCTACATGAAGCAGAGTGATACGTGAGTTTCAGTTGTAACATCAAGCCAGTGATTGTGGTAGATAACTTTAAAGAATCATAGGGAGCAACTTCTAAAACTGAGTTTGCTCTTGAACTGTGGAACAAATTGCCCATGTGCATTAAATCTGTTTGCTCTGTGGACACTATAAATGCAAACTCAAAACATTCCTTTTTGTGAAGCTTTTAAATCATTATGCTTTACTGTCTTTTCATGTAACTTGTTCTTTTTATTATTTTAAGTATTTTAAAGTCAAACCATCGTGATCATTGCCTTTGAATCATGGAGCAAAGGCAATAAATAAATGAATAATTTATTATTATCTTTATCAGTAGTAGTAGTAGTAGTAGTAGTAGTAGTAGTAGTAGTAGTAGTAGTAGTATAATTGTTAGTTTTGATTTAAAAGAAAATTTAACTAAGCAGTGGTAAATACATGTCAACTTGTGGGTAGTGATTGAGTGAGCAGTCATCACCATTTGGTTACACAACAATTGACCTTTCAACCACTTTGAAATCCATGAAAATTCATGTTATAGGTACCTGTGACTTCCTTATTAACATGACAATTACCTGTTATTAAACCATATAGCTTTGCAAAGTTCCAGGAACTCATTGCAGTACAAACAGGAGTCAGTGCTGCTCAGCAGAAATTGTTTTTTAAGTATGATGAGTTCAAGCCAGATCCCATGGCTCCTTCGTCATCCTATCCTAAGACATCTGTGAGTATGAGAACTAGCAATAAAGTTCCTTCGCATATTTTTATCCTCAGTTACGGAATACTCCTGTGTCCATCTATCCATCAATTAATCTGTTTATTGTTGTCTGGTCCAACATAAGTGTTGCATCTTTTTCAGGATGACATCTTCATGGTGATGACTGGAGGAGAATACATGTCTCCAGAGCGATTATCCCTTTACAAAATCCGTAAGAATTGATCTTTCATATTGTACCCTGAGGCTGAATGTTGCTTGAGGATTGGATAAGATTTTTTAATGTATGGTTTGAAGAATGCAGTCAGAATGCTTTGTCATATTTTCAAACTTTATTAGTCACCTAATGACCTCTTTGTGCAATTGCAACCAACCATCTCCATCTTTAAATTTTGCATTCAGTTTTTGTTATTCACTGCACTTCTCCTTTGATCTTGCTTATGAATACAGTAATATATTATAGTCTAAGATGTGGCTCCTTTTTCATAGTCCTGCAGTAACAAATTACTTATTGGTCATGGCCTTAACTGACTGTTACAGTGCTATTTCACATGAACATCAGATTTATAAAATTCAATTACACTAAATCTGATATAATGTGGTTTGCACCCAGCCTACCATTGATGAAGAGATCTGTACTAGATGAGCTAATCTGGCATGCTCTGGGAAAAGTTTTCACTGTTGAGTGCTGTACCTTGATTAAAAAATTTGTGACTTTTAATTCACTTTGCAGCCAATCTTCCCAATCTGCCAAAGGAAGGCACATTGGAAATGGATTCATCTACTTCAAAGGTTCTTAATTAAATCTTTAACTCCCTAGATCTGATTGTCAATTCTCCCCTCTTGCTGCTACACATTTCCTTGTAAATAAGTCACAAGAATTTGGTGTTTCATTAAGGCTTTCTCATTACATGTTGGCTAGATAATGTGTGGATGTTATAAGGAGAGGTTACATGCTAATCACTTATGGGAGTTAAAGGGTTAAATCTTTCACTCCTCAAAGACCTAAAGAATCCTTTTCCACATTGTTTGTGAAGCATACCTTAAATTTTAGACCAGTAATATTAGTGTTAAATCAAACACTCTCTCCTCATTTCTATATTTCTTTGAAGGGCTAGCAATTGTTTTTGTGAACAGCCTTCTAGAGTAACAAGTGCATGCAAATTGATTGAATGTTGAGGCTTTGCTCTTATGTATCCACTGGGGTCAGATAGGATTTTACTGCTTAATATGAAATATTTTAGACATCTACTCACTCATAGGGTAACATTCATTTAATATTATTGCATGCTGGGGAGTACTGGTACATGTAATAATGATAAAAACTTTATGTACAATTTATGTCATATAAAATGATTTACTTTAATACCTCTTTTTAATTAATAATGTTTAAAATGATGTTTAGTTATAAAGAAAGTTGATACAAGTGAAGAACAAAATCACACTCTAATTTTTAGTTTAACAAACAGTACAGTCACTCAATCTTTACAAACTATTTTTGATGCATATTTTTCCTTCAATGTGTTGAATATGCAGATATATAGGATTTTAATAATTTATGAAAATTTGTTTGTGTTATCTTTAGGCATTTCAAATTTTTTAACTTTTAGTAATTTATGACTAATTCTGTTTTTAATCTTAACCATTTACACCCTAACATCAGTATCTATTTTCTCCACACTTTTCTCTATATATTTTATTTTGATACTGACAAGGAGAATTCATTTTAAGATCAAAGCTTCTTAGGTTGGTGATCAGTTCCTCTATTTTCATGATCTTAATGAATGATTCAGCAGTATTACTGTGAGGAGAAATTACATGCTGGTCACTCTTAGGGTTTAAAGGGTTTATTAAAGAATTCACTGTTTTTTTTTATCATGTACTTTTTATTTATTTATTTATTTATTTATTTATTCTTTACATTGTATGTATTTATGTATAGATGATGGCAAATCGTGCTCAGTGCTGCAAGTATGCAGTCAAACAATACTTCAGGGCAACTAAGGCAATGCTGGTGACCATTGAAAGCGTCTTGTGAGTGCTCAATGTTCTTTGTATTGAATGTAATACACAGGTGTTCTGATGAGTCCTGTGGACATTCTTCAAAAGTCACCTTGTCACCATAAAGGAGATGTTCACAGCTGGAACATATTTCCACAAATCAGTTGAAAATGATATATTCAATAATTAAATAAGTATTGGTGATATTGATTACAATAATTCAAATTATTTTACTTGCACAGGTTATATTAATGCTTATTTTACCTAGTTTATCCACCGACATAATTATATAATTGCTACATGAGGACATGTAATGTATTTAGAACAAATAGCAAGTACTTCATTAGCGAGTCTTATATTATTCATCTGTTTCTTACTTAAGGTTATGTTAATTAATGAGGGGGAAGGTTAGATCTTTGTTCAATTTTGTCTTACTTTTACCATGTATTAAACTTGAATTACAATTTAACTTGTTTTGGTGGTTGCATTGTAAGCAATCCCACAGGTTGTCAACCTACCACAGGTCTGTTTGGACCTTGTTAAATCCACAGGGCAAAATTAACTGTTTTGAATTTACTTATTTCATAGGAAAAATCTTAAGAAGGATATGATGTTTTACATTTCTTTCTGTAAACAAATGGAATCAGAATGGACTGCCCTACAACAGATATCTGAAGCCTACTACACAAGGTAATTGCCAACAATATTTTGTTTTCTTTTGTTTTTTTTTTTAATCCATTTGTTTAGCATTCTCTTCATTTTATACCATTAAACTGTAAGTAATATGCAACATTTGTAACAAAATGAATTTTCTGTCTCAAGGGAAACCAGACTTTATTAATTGTCACCAACAGGCCTATATTGTAACGCCTTTGAGAGGCTGATTTCAAGCTGAATTACACATGCTTATTTAATGATTTTTCAATACTACCTTTTCACTCTGTATCTATATCATTAACACACTATTGAATATGGTGAATTTGTTACTTACAGTCAGATGCACCATGCCTGGGTGTTTGACGCTCTCCTATCAAAACTAACAGAAGCAAAGGGTAAGTTTCAAGGAAATTTATGTCCTAATTTTCTCTTTTTGTTAATTTGGATCCTATTTCACCTTAAATACGTTTTTCTCATCGTACATACTTTTTTAATAGATGAGGTGAAAATGATTTTGGAGGAAGTGCAAGACATACAGAAGTGGTCAGAGAGTAAGAAAGAGAGTGAGGGGGAGGTAAAGTCTCTCACTGCAATACTCATATTCTCCACACTGATCTCTCTACATTTCCTGTGGTAATGACAAGGAAAATTTGTTTGACACGCAGGAGTATCCTAAATTGGTGATCATTTCCATTATTCTCATGTCCTTTACAGGTGAAAGGGTTAAAAGTGATAACCACCTTAAATAATAAACTGTTTGAATTAAAAGAATGCTTGGTAGCTTTCTGTTGAATGGCCCCACACTAGCTTTCATTCGCAGACCTAAAGGTGGGACCCAACTTGTACAGCATGATAACTAGTATTACATGAACGTGTTCAGTAACCTTCATTTCAATTATCACTCTTTGAGGCCTTACGGTTCAGACTCAATGGATAGAAAACTGTGTAAAACAACGTAAACACTACCACAGGAAAGTACTGTTCAGCGGCTTTCTTATGAATAGTCATGCATTTGAAGTTTCATACCCAGACTCATACCCGGCCTTTTTAGCCAAAAACAGAAACTGTACCACTCATACTTCCACTTTAAAAGCATGATGGCAAAACTCTGTTTAACCCTCTGACCTTTAAAAGTGACGGGCATCTAATTTCTCCTTACAGAATCATCCCTGAATCAAACATTACAGTCACGAGAATAAAGTAAATGATCACTAATAAAGAAGCTCTCGATTTATAGACAAATTCTCCTTGTGCGCATCTTAGGAAATATATAGAGAACAGTATGGAGAATATACCTACTGATGTTAAGGTTAAGGATTAAGCCTTACCATAGTAATTTCCTTGACAGTTGAACAAAGCTTACCAGAGAAATGACAGGATGAAGACACTTATCTCTGAAGTCATAGAGACTGACAGGTTCCGTGCTTTCTTGGAAGACTTCACGAAGGACACCGATGACCAGTCCTTGTAAGGAATTTTTCTTCTCTTTTGTTATTTATTACATTTTAAAATGAACTGAAACGATGATCTAAAAAAGGGAGAAAGCTAGTGAAACGGCTGGAATCGAGGCATGAACAATTATAGAAACTGCGACAATGTGGCCTGCTTGGCCGTTTTTTTCCTTGTTGAAGTTGTTTACAAGAAACATTTCTACCATTACTTGTTCAGTGGAAGTTTTGCATTTCAATAGATGACATGTGTATCATGTATCAGTTAGATAATAATAACGAAATAGCAATGATGATAATATTTATTGAATAGTACTTTAAGTCTCTATTCAGGGAGCCCACATCACAAAACTGACATACGGTGAGGCCCTGTTTCCTTAACTAAGGAGGGTCTTTGGTTAGAAACGTCGTGGAGAACTCAGATTCGTCTTTCCTTTTTTCTTTCTATGTTTGACATATTTGACATCTTCCTCTCGTGTTTTGCAGGAGATAATTTTCCTCCTTTGTTGGAAACAGAGCAATATCTGATACTCCTTTTATTACGATACTTAATAGAACAACATCCATACAAATTAAGGACATTTGATATTTTGAATAATTTTTCTTTATTTATTTCTTCCCAGCTTCAATTTGGTGTCTACATATACAGGAAACATTGAAGAAATTTACCAGAGCTTTCGGAAAGACAAATACCACAGGAGTAAGTTGTTTGTATGGAACTATAACTGAGTTTAACTGTTTATCCTGGACAATCTAATTTATGTTTTTTTTAAGCTGTAGACCTGCTGCTTTGCAGTCAAACCTGATTCCTTTGCGACATTATGACATGACACGATAACGGCATATAGAAATTATCAGTTTTTTTTTTCTCTCTCCGTCCCTGATTATCGCTCCGATTAAGGACTAGAAACTCGAAACGCCAGCTTTAGAAACCCTTGGAGGCCAATTTACATCATCAACACAGTTGATAAAAACAATTTATCTTGTAATGCCACCCACCGACGCAGCATCACAGTTTCTTTAGAAACTTACCTCCGTTATTCATGACTCAGTCTATTCTGTTACGTAGCTATCCTGTGTTTACGTCTGCCTGTTCACAATTCGATCAAAATGACATAACGGCCTTCTTTTGTCGTTATATTTGTCGTTATGCCTCCATGTCGCTGGTCGTAACTGGCCTGGTGAGGACCATTCCCATGTTGTCGTGTTGATATCATCAGGTGGCTAAATTTATCTTAATGTCCACGAGTTCGCACAGCGAACAAAATTTCAGAGTGGTATTCAAACCTCATTACACTTGATTCGATATGCCCTTATATCTTTTGTGTGCACCAGGCTTCACGCAACACTCTTTCTCTTGTTCCGTGACAAGATTCAACAACGGCTGTCATGGAGACTAAACCTTGATCTTAGTACAAGTGTTTCCCTCGGTCCTTACTGCGATGAAGACAATTAATTCCTATCAGTAAGATCTTTACACAACATTATTTACCCCTAGCTCGGTAAAACACTATTTTCGGTTTCAACAACTCTTAACTGCTGGTGATATGACCTCGCTTTTGTAGGACTTTCGTATGCAGATGAACAAAGACACAAGTTTGACCGGGAGAAGTTGGTTGTCCTGAGCGATAAGATCACCAAAATTACTGAAGAAGCTGTGAAACACAGAAGTGCATTACATGAAAAGCTTGTGGGGTGGCTTAAGTAATTATATTTTCCTTTTTAAGTAACGTTCATTTACACGTACGAATTCAAACAAAGTAATTTGGTAACGTAAATTGGCCACCGTAAAGAATTTCGAAGCTGACGTTTCGAGCGTTAACCATACGCCATTTGCTCTGACGAAGGGCTAACGCTCGAAACGTCAGCTTTGAAACTCTTTTCGGTGGTAAATTTACGTTATCAACTCAGTTGATAATACCAAATTACCCTGTTATACTCCCACCACACAGCACCACAATTTCTCTAGAAACTTACCCCCTCTATGAATGGAAAAAAAGATGCGGTGTGGTGAGATGTGATGAAGGAATGACCTCTTTATGGTAAAATGTTCAGATAAGGCGTTAAAACAGCACGGAAGAAACAATTATAGCCTCGACGAGGCTTGAGTACGTGAAATACGCGACACTGATGCCATGGCCTACTTCAAGTAAGAACTGTGTCAAACTCAATTTAGCGCTTTGCTCACTCGTGAACTATGTTTGTTTAGACTGGCGCGTTTCGAAGGTGTATTCTCCAAGTGCTGTGCATTGATCCGACTGTACTTTTGTTGTGGGTAGCCATGCTCCAGGAATATTTGTATTCCAACACCTCTTTTGATGTTGTTATTGCGTAAATTGCCTCCTTAAACCAGCGAAGATCGAAATACACCAATCACAGCGGAGCATTATGCTTTCAAAGGTGACACGTTCACCTCTTTGTCTAACGAAGACCCACTTCTTGCAGTGGAAAGTTATCGATCTATATTACGAAAGAGAAAACTATTGACATTTCAACATTCTGCAGAAACACATTTGTATTTACGCTATTAATGTTTGCCTCTCATAGTGAAGTAAACCACTGTTATGAAGAGGCAGAAAGCTTGCATTCTTCATTTCTGGGCCAGAAGCAAGCTCAAGATGCTTTTCTTATTTCGTTGCGATCGGTGAGTCTGTTAAAGAAATTTTTGATTGAGTATCGAAAGTATCCAAGATGACTTTGTTTTCTTTTCCGCGCTTTGTGATTTGTCCTGAAAACTTTCGTCATCCCCCTTCAACCAATTAGACGCAAAACGAATATGGCTTTATGCGAGTCATTCATCCTTTGCTTCTTAAGTAGTTGGATGAGATGTATCGATCACTATCTGAAAGCTTATTTGATCACATTTTCACTCACCTCGAAACTCATTAGAAACATTCTACACCGGTTCGTATTTTCAACTTTACTCAGTGTTTGTAAATGTGATGAAATCTCGTCTCTTGTATTTGTTTTATGATGCAATAGCTAACGCATCTATTTTATCTAGAATGGCCCTGGCCAACGCAAAAACGTATAGGTTGTTAGCTGATAGCAGACAGCTAACGGAACACTTTGATTTTAAAGGTTCAAGAACAATGTCTAGAGAAGTCGAAAAGGATTGTTGAGAAGCTCCAGAAACTCATTACCTCTCCAAGCCCAGTACTGACTGCAACAGCGCCAGCTGCAGCCGCCCAGAATGGTTTTTCTGATCCGGATATGGATAGTATCACCGTGAACCAACTTGGGAATGAGTATGTATCGGGTGGAAATTTTACAAGGGTTTACTTTTGCTAAGAGCACAGTACAAAATATGAAATGGCCATCACAGGGATGTTTTGTAATATTAACAACTATTCACCAAAGTGGAACGGGGTATTATGGGTAAATATTCACCAGTAGCCTCTGACACTGGGGTGAATCGTTGTGTTCGTATATACCAAGATGGGGAGATAATAAAGTACAAAAAGATGACTTCAACTCGTTAATTCCTGCAACAACAATATTTTCGGGCGCAAATACCGCGGTGAATATTGAAAGATATTCACAGTTTGAGTCGCCCATCGGAGCACGCCTTCGACGCCATCCACTGTTTTAGTGTATACCAAAAGACAATAGACTAATCGCAGGCTATAAGGACAATTCATAAATCTTTTAACAGAGAAAAAGATTTGATATGTTCAGGATTTGAACATAATTAGGATTTCTTTATTAACTGTGAAGAAACCATTGATGTTTAGAGCAGGTCAGCTGTAGGCTTACGGTTCCCTCTATAGGCATGAATTGACAATATGGAAATGAATGGTTCATGTTAACGTCATGAATTGAGTGAAATGATTACATGGGTCATCCCTACTTGGATCATTTCGGCATTGCCTTTAATTCACCCCTCCCCCCTCCCCCCTCCCCTTCCCCGCAAGATTTGAGCCAAAGCTGACAATGAAATTGTGTGAAACTTTCTCACTCTTACAGTGCAAAAGAACACATTAACGTTTTAGAGTTAAAAACCGTTTGTTGTTTTCTTGCAGACTTGATTCGCTGTCAATGATAACTAAAGAATCAGTCCAAACAGCTCAACAAAACACCCAACAAATTGAAAGGTAACATACAGCAAAGTATTTTTTCTTTCAGGGAAGGCCATCGTATTGTGCTCCATGTTGAAATTTGGACAGCTCGGTTCTTTTTTGCCCTTACACCTGTATCAATTTTTTTTTTAACCAATCAAGTACCAGGAAAGTCTACGTCGGTCGAAAGCAGCCATGATAAAGCAGTAATAGGCAGTTTAAAAAATTGAGCTTGATTCGTTGCAATTTTTTTTTCCTTTTCATTTGATTTTTCTTGAGTTTCTAACAGACTGCTTCCTTATTTAGGGTTGTCAGAGGTTTTATTACGCTGTATACATCACTCAACGAACACATGTCGAAAGACGTCAGCCAGTAAGTACAAGAAAAACTCATGAAACTACAAAACTGAAATTTAGTCCATTTAAAAATCCTTGTTTGTTTTATTCATTCGAAAACATCACCGATACTTTTTGCTTCAGTTTTCGCTTGTTCATTTTTATCTGCCGTTGTTAACTGTCATTTCAAGGTTCCATATGTGAAGGCAGTTTACTATTTCGTAAAGACCAACTCAAAATTGATTGAGCCAGACCCTCAAAGCTTAAAGCAAATGACCTAGTCTTTTATTTTAGTTTTGGTGTATTTATCCCTACAGACTTGAGGAAACCATCGGCGAGGAAAACATGAACTAGCAGCGGTTGTCGTGACAAGATTGAATACTCCAAATAAATGTGGGCAATGAGGTGTGCAACCACATGCGGTCCTAAAATTTCGTTGGGGCAAGAAATCGAAAACATCAGGCGTCCAAACTATGTTTTTGACTTCTATTGCGTCATGCAGTTTTGGACTCCAGCCCTCCCGCAGTTTTATCATTTTGGAGTGTTCATTCTTGTGACGACTTTGAGGAGATGACCTGACACAAACGAACAGCGTCACGCGCTACGTGTCGGAACTAGCATCCCCTCAAGCCACTGAGATCACTCGGTTCAGTCACAGCCATACCATGTTCAACATTACAGGCTTCCCATCTCTCAGCCTGGTCTCTGAGCAACATGGACAATGAAGAGCGTTATAAATTCTCATCCGCTCGGATCCCTAATGGCTTGGTGCTGAGACTGGATTTCAGGCTTGGCAGAGCTGCAAGCTTCAATTGAGTTGAAATCATAACGAGTAAATTTCTAAACAAATGGAGTATGTTGCTGTAGATTTGTAATTCAAGGAACAGCGTTGAATAAGCGTGAAAGAAATTCAGCTCCTAATAAGTCATTTTAAGATTATTATAAGCTCAACTGAAAACAAAATGATGTTCTGTTTTCAGTGTGGTTTTCATAATACACTATTTCCTGTAAGAGCTATTGTGAAATTTAAAAGAAAAACTAATGCCTTGTTTTTCCTTTAATTAGATGAGATTGTGTTGTTTAGGAAACGAAAGTCCTCCAGTTTAGCTGGTACTCTCGGCCTTAATACGTGGCATATGTAACCAATATGAACTTAGAAACAAGAGGTGGTATTTTACAAGTGTGTGGCTGCATAAACTAAAATTATTCAGTTTCGAATTTTTTTAGTTTTTGTTATCTCAAGTGGGACATTAAAATTTTTTGCATTCTTTACGTGTTAAAAAAAAGGTTTACAATAATTTGTAGGGATTATAAAAACATTTTCTTCTTGATTGTGCTTGAAAAGCTTCTTAATGTATGCTGATTTCGTTGCTATGCAATGTAATGTATTCCGAACTGCTTTCTTTGTGAATTAGTGCTTAGAAATCACGTCTTTGTCATAGCTTTGGAGCATAAACCCCATTGTCAGCATGAACCACAACGTAGCAACTTTGTAGTTCATTTATCTTCTAAAGTTTGCTCTTGTAGAATATTATTTCCCTGTTAATTCTTTTTAGTGTAGTACAACTTGGAGAATTTCCTCGAGTACAGTAGACCTCACAACAGTGAGCAGTTTTGGCATGTATACCCTAATAAGCAGTCATAATATGTTGGATGTAAATCAAAGTCTGTGTTGTAAACTCAGATACGTATCATCAGGAATGTTGGCTGGCCGTTAGCCAGCAGTCGTCTAAGTTTAGCGAAGCCTACTGAAGGCTCTCTGTAAGCCAATATTTCACTAATTTTGTCAGTTTTGCTGCGAATTAGATTAGAATAGAGTATGTCGTGAGCAGAAGTAGGTAGCGCAGATTTAACTACTCGAATCATGCAGTTTGTGTGAAATGTATAATACGATAAGTTTTATTGATATTTTAGAGCGAAAAGCCTGTAACCGCTTTTAGTTGATTTTTGTAGTAATGCAGTTTAATCCTGGTCAATTAAATATCAAATCGAATAAGGGCTAAATAAATTAAAGGTACAAAAAATGTTGAGAAAGGCTCTAATCTACGACCCTTTAGCTCGGAGGGCTCCATATCCCTAGGAACACAAATTAAAGCTCAGAGAGGAACCCAAGTTCAGGGGATCACTTATTGTACTGCCAAGGGTGTCCTTGGGATGGAGATCTCCCTTATAACAGTATTTACACTGAATCAAATGCGATTATTCTCCCAAAGAAATCAACGTAAAAAACCCAAAATATTTCCACAGGGAGATAATTTAAAATCCTTTGCACTAAAGGTAGCACTACCCAATTTACAATAGCTCTTATGCAATAGGCTCCATCGCCATTGCCTTAATTGCGGAGAGATGAAACTAGAAAAATATGCTGACACTGCACGAGATTATCCTTAAACGAAAATTTATTTCTTTCCACCATGATACACAAGAACTTAAGGGTTGACCTTTTTGGCAAACTAAATCTCGATCTTACCGTACTGACTGAAAAAGAAACCTTGGATCATAGAGATTTCAAAATCTTGACCAGAACCGGTTCAAGCCAGCAGCCTAAAAATTAACCAAGCAACAGTTGGCCATATGCTCAACCCTCTGCACCCCAACGTCATTATGCATATTCTCCATACTATTCTTTATACATTTCCTAAGGTGCTGACAAGGAGAATTTGTTTACTGATCAAAAGCTTCTTTTGTTGGTAATCATTTCTCCTATTCTCATGACCTTAATGTGTGATTCTTAGGTTGGCGATCACTCCTGCTACTCCATTTGCGTTAAGTAAAATATTTTCTAGCTCGTGAAATTCTAAGTGAATGTTATTATCAATGTCCTGCGTGTTCGTCGCCGCTGACTTCAGTGAAAGTGCTCGTTCAGGGCCTGAATGTTGAATTGAATCAAGAGAGGACCCTTGTGCTACACCTATACTTATAGTGTCGAGTACAACAGTTCTCAGCTCGTAACAGCACATCCTTGCTGAGTACTTATGATCAATAACTTGAGTGGGAGTCTGAGTTGGGTTTAGCAAGGAATTATTTACTTACTCAAATATGTTTGTTTGCTGAACAGAAAGCTGGATTTTTGAAAGTCAATGTCATTTAAATCCACGTGCTTTCTATGAATTATTCTATTTGAGATGGCTTCAGTGAAAAACTATCTCCCATAGCAAATTTGGGTTTTCAGAAGCACTGCAAGGTAAAAACGATCCCTCAGTACTTAAAGAATCGTTTGCGCATTTCTCGCACTTCGTAATAGCATGCCAATAACTTCTTGAGTTTTGAAACTAATACATCAAGTCCCCAGGTATAAAATAAATAAATGATGGAAACGCACATCAATTGATTGTTAATTTTATTTCATTAAAAAAAACTTTCAAAGCGATCACAAAAATACATGCTTTTGGTCGATTATTTAAGCTTATAAACCTGAAAATGTTTCTCCCGCGACACACCAGCGATGAGGAAACTCGATCGAAAAAATAAGTCATTTAAAAAACACTGTTTAAGATGTAGTCAGCTCTATTAAAATTATCTTATCCCTTACTTAGGCCATCTTAGGTCTCCACAAAGATCACTACTGCAAGTCTTAATTATTTTTTTCTTTCAAAAGTCGCGAAACAAAAATAAGGCTCTGGATAGAAGCAACAAATGAGTCATTGTAAACACTGTTAAAGATGTCCCACTCAATTGCCTGAGCAACGGTAGATAGTTGAGCTGTAAATGTAGCTACAACTTCAGTTTGCTCTAGTCTTACTCAAGTCCCCTTTAAAAAAATATTCGGTAAATACAATCATGTAAAAATACTTTTAATTGAATATTTTGAAGAAGCAGATGAGCAATTTTAAGCACTGTTAAAGATGTACTCAAACTGACAAAACGATACCATATATAGTCATATAAAAGCAAAAAATTAAAAACTTTAGAACTTCTTAACTGAATTTCTACTTATTTGACAAAAATCGATTTTATCAATGAACTTCCTAAAAGCTAGATGAATTACTGTATTTACTACTTATATTCCTTAGCTATTTCAGTTCAACATGTTTCTGTAAGTTGAGGAACAAGTCCATGAACCTTTTACTGAACCATTTTGACAATTAGCGCTACAGTTTCTTATAAATCATCTTCTGTACTTAAAATTTCCACTTGGTAGATCGCACTTGAATCAGGAACTTTCTGAGCTTGAGCAGCCTTTCATCTCATTTTTTTTCGACTGCATCTGCAATGGCTGACAGCATATTTTTGGCAAGCTTACCCTTACATTCTTCTTCGATCATCTTTTTCTGTTTTCCCAACCACTCGTCCACGTAGTTGCGGTCTGTGCCCTCTGTTGGCATGGCTTCGAAGTCGGTCTTGACATCTGGTAAGGCTGCATAGAACACTTGGCAGACAGATTTAATATCCTTGGCTTCCACCTTCATTATCTTGAAGAAGATAAACTGTGGGTCGTCCTCGCTCCTCTTGGCGTTGTTTTCAAACTTTTGCAATTCGTGTTCCATAACAGAGAAGAAGCCGGCTGCTTTAGAGATTCCACCGATGAAGGCTTCAAAAGCGGGGATGAGAACTTCCTTCACTGCCAAGGCGGCTGCTTCTTCGATCTTGGCTTGCTCTCCAGCAGCGGTGGCTTCTGCCAAATCTTTATCACCACAGGCGCTTAAAATGGGACTGGCAACCATACCAATGACCGGGATGAAGCCGAGTGCCGTCGCCCAAACACGTTTAGTACCTCCCTTTTTTGCCAGCGCTTCTTTCTTCTTCTCAAATTCTGCCACAAGGAGCGTCATTTTCTTCAATAAAATACCGGCCTGGTCTCTTCTCTTCTTCAGGGGCACCAAAATCTCTTCATGCATTTTCAACATTGTGTGACAGAGCTTCTTGTACTCAGCAACCTCCTTGCGGATCATGGAAATATTTTCACACCACTCATCAAACGTCAGAGCCTCATAGTATTCAAAGTATGTGCTGATGGATGTGACAAACTCGGTTGTCAGAGGAAGGATGCCCTCAATGTACACCATGGCATCATTCCTGGTGTCGTCGCGGAGTTTTCTGAACTGTTTGGCAACTTCTTCGTCAGTGCCCACCGCTTTTTCTGCGTAAAGAGACCTCATGGTAAGGGAGAACAATCTCATATCGACAGACATGTTCTTCACTCCTTCCCGCAGCCCATCGACTTGGTTCTTTGATCTCTTTTCGATGGCACTCATCTGCAAATAGGAAAAGGGAGAGCACTTTAAAATTGTAACGTACTCGCTCAGTATCAAAGTATAGCCGAGTTTATATGCCCTCAATCATTGACCTGTAAGCAGGTAAGTCGTTTTCTTTTGACAAATTATGCGTTAGATTTCTCACGACAAAAAGTAAAAGCACCTTTACTCAAAGAATCTTGGAAAAATATCTACTTTAAATGATACGTTATTCTTTCTTGGGATCACCATACATTTTTATTCAAACTGAAGAAAATTTAATTTACTTCAAGATAAAATCCTTTGGTCAATGAGTATCTTAATATCTACATTAGGTTTTGCAGGATAAATGGTTTAGATCAGATGAAGAATATTTCACGAATATGTTAATATAATAAAGAGCAGCCTCACCAGTGGAGGTTTCTAGAAACGATTGAGTGAAAAGAGAGGGGTTTACCCCAAAATCGAATAGAAGAAACCATTGGGGAGTAGAAAACAAAAGCAGCCTTTTGGACTTAAGGCCTTTGTGTAAACGAAATAGATAGGAAGGATCATTAAACATCCCACGAGAAAGCATTTTCGTTTACCTTGGTACTGAAGGAAGTCTCAGTTTAAACTTGAATATCGAAAGAATGGCTAAATCGTCCGGGCTGAACAGCGTAGTCTGTAAAGCTCTGATGCAACTGACTCACACAGAAGCTGTTCAGCTGTTTTATAGAGCTACAAAAGAAAGCCGGCAGTGAGCCAGTTTTCTAAAACGTTACCGTTGCCGTATATGATTGGACATGTGCTCTACGAAGCTAAAAATTATCTCCTAATCTGGGAAACATGTTGACAAATATCCTTATTATCACTTAAGCTTTGAAAGATCGTCTTCTCTTTTTCAAAAAAATAAATAAATAAGTTAAAGGCTCAAAGCTGATGGTAATTACGCGTCGTGTACATTATTTCACAAATAAAAAAAACGGTGGGCTGATGAATGTGCATTATAGCATTATTACGTATACATTTTCATTTCAATGATCTTCCGAGAACTGGAATGTACATCAAAGACATCTTAACTACTTTTGGCCAGAAACGTGCCGAACATGAATTCTGCATGTGCTGAGACAAATTAAGATGTGGCTAAAATTGATGCTGGCAACAGGATCAGGACAAGACTCTGATGTTAAACTTGAAATCTCGTGTGCTAAATCGTTTGCACGTGGGCTTTAGTCTCTCTCGGAATTTTATGAAACGCCTGGGGCAAAAAGTACTCGTAAACGCACGATTTTACTTCTATTTACTCCAAAAGCCCGCTCATTTTTTTAGTTCTTCTACTTAAGGTAACTTGTTTTCTTTCTTTTTTGAGTTAGTATGACGCTTCGATAATGAGAACGTTTGGGTCTCGCAAATGTGGCCTGGGTTCGATTCCCAAACCTGCCGTCATCTACCTGATGACTGTCTTATTGATCTCCGTTTCCAAGGTTTTTTTCTCCTGTTTCATTAAATTTCTTCCCTCCTTGAAAAACGATTCTCTAAATTTCAATTCCAAGCAGTTTTTTTTTCTGTTGACCTTACCGTTTCACATCTTGAAAGGGATTGCAAATTAAGTAGCTAAAATAGATCTTCTGATAAATGGTAGCGGTCACTGTAAATTATCCTAACCTGGATACGGAGCCGAAATGATTTCTAAATAGCATCGACAACGTTAGTTAATAAATAGATTGTAAATCTCTTGAGCCTAAGCCGTCGTTCTTAAATACTAATAAGTCTGTATAAGCTCTGAAATTTTTTATTGACTCATGTAATATTGCCTGTTAAAACGATCTCCTGGGTATACCCTTTGTACAGTTTTAGATTAAACATACCAGCCTCGATCCTATTAGATGTGTTTTTTAGAATGGTTTAAAAAAAGAACAAGTGCATGTACCTAACATGTCCTGCTACGAAGCAATTTCATCATCGAAGGAATGTCATGATTGTTTCGCAAGTATCTTAATCTTTTTATTTTCCGTGTCTTTTTTCCATAGCAAATAATACTAATTGATATTTTATGTTATTATGATATGCTCAAACTTTTGTTTACCGCATATCTCTAAACTTCCGTGTCTTAGAGAAGCGGTTCTCTCGCTTTAATGTATGATGGGTTTGCTCTTGTTCCCGAGTTGTCACCTATGTTCGTTTTATCATATAAAAGATAAGACAGAACACAGTACACAGAACAGTGACAAGAACGTACACAGAGAAGTGACGTGCAACCTTTACCGGAATATCGTGCAACATGAGCACACCAATCCTGAGTTTAGGATCGGTGTGAACATAGATACCTCTCTTATTCTACAGATAAATGAATCATTGCGATGAACTCCGTCACGCGCTTTGATGGAACTGGGGTGGCTTATTAAATAACGGAATGTCACCAGTTAGTACACTTTGTGTCATCTTTAGTAAGTTTTCCATGTTTCGTGACTTGCATGCAGGCCATAACTTTTAATCTGATACGAACCGTTTTTTAAAAACCTTCTTTATATAGATTTAATTAAGTTATTTCATTCCTTTGTCAAGACATGTTATGACATTTTGCTAAAAAAATACGCGCCCCGACAACCACAGGTCAATTGAAATTGGACGCACCTGAGACATGACGGGCTAAGTTTTGGCCCCAACCGCATAAACTCGTCTTTAAAGGAATCTATTTAAATCCTCGCCAAAACGAAGCAAATTCCTTTGCCCAATCTAATTTTCCGCTTATCTTATCCCGTACCACAAATGAATTTTCTTTTAAAAACGTTTGCCTTCTGCTTCATACAGGCGGTTTTCAACTATCACGAGTCCACACCAGAACGACCGAAAACGCTGGAGATGGAGGCGGCATTTCCTGCAATGTTTTTGGTCCCCATTTTGAAAAGATCCCATTTTCGCATGTCCATACAAGAAACGGAGCGTTTTAAAAACGATGCGTTTCAAAACGCGCCACAGTTTCCGAAAGTATTCCTTTTAATCAGCGTTTTTGCGTATTCAATGAAGGCAAACACGCATCTAAAAAAAGTGAACGTTTTCGAAGACGCACAAAAATGGATGTGGCTATAGACGGTGGGCAAGAATGCGCAACTTGTAACAATATCTCATGATCCGTGAAACGTTTAGTACACATGATCTTGCTTCCTTAGTTCTTATATTGTCAGTATTAAAATTCAGGCAGGGAAATGCACGAAAAGGCCGATCTCAACGAGACTTAGAGCTTTCTTAAAGATTTTGTAAGCGCAAATATGTAACAAATATGTAATAACACTGTGCAATTAAAAAAAACTGGAAAAAAATATTCAATGAAGTGGCAGAGTCCATTCTCTAGTAATTTGATCCCCTTTCCAGAAAAAGGAGACGAAAAGTAATTTTAGAAACAAATCTTGTCATTGCCTCAAAGTTAATATGGACCGCTTTAAATATTCTCAAATGTATCGTCTAAGTTTTAGGCACAAAGTAACGTTGTAAGTTTATAACTTTTTACATGTTTCTATTACATTTTACCGTTTTACTACTTCATAATCCTTTGCTAAGTAGCGTAAGACTTGTAATTTTTATGTTGTGAGGAAATACAGATCGCTAATACTGCTATTGTTTGAAAAAATGACAGAAAAAAGTATTTTCACGCTGGGTAGTCATTACAACAAGACATTGACGCATTCACCCAAATACGATTGAGTTTGAAAGTATTCCAGAGGATGTCTTGAGCTTGCAAAAACACAGAGTAAATAAGCAAATAACGTTGTTGTTGCCGTTTACGGCAAACGGGACTTGCCAAGACCATGCACTAGCCACTTGATCTTAAGCCTTTTCCAAAACAAGAGCTGGCTTTCAAACCTTAAGTTTTGATGCCAAGGACGATTTCTAACCTAATTTGGTCTGTGTGTTTTGAAGGCCATTCGGCAAATTAGGTGCTTTGGCAGACTTAAAGGTGTTTAATAGGCTTAACATAGTTTTAACTCGGCGGCGGCTTAAGCGATCCTATTGAAAAAAAGATCCTCGTTATTCTATCATATCAAAATGTTTTCTATATTGAGAAAATTAGGCCAATTATTGTTCAGGTTTAGACATGTCTCACGCCCGGCATAACACGATGGCGAATTTCTTTTTCGTCAAGAGCCTCAATCCTACGTTTTAACAGTTGCCCGGAATCAAGGCTACCTTGAGTTGGACCAAAATGCAGCTTTTTTTATTGGCAGAGCGTTTTAAGCTTTTTAATTGATTGATGTGACTGATGGAGCATACAAATCGTTTATTATCGTGTACTTTTATGGAAGATCGTGCAAAGAAATGTGGTATTCACTCACCTGTCACTTCCTTAAAAAGTCTTACGGTATTTAAACCTGCATAAAGTGAACACGACTGAACAACCGAAGGGATCAATAGTATTAATTAGGGTTTTCCCCTTCTCAGGGTGTTATTTTGGATATCGATTGTTAGACCTTCGAAATGTTTCATTTGAATTGCAAATATGATTACACACGTTCATAATTCATCTTAGTTGTGTCAAACTTTTTGCACGTGGAGCTCAGAACTTTACTTGGCTGCGTAGCTATAGTTAACGCTACTTGGCCTTAATTTTAAGTTTTTAGTTTGAACACTATTGTTGTCAAACAAGTCTTAGAGGGCCTTAGCTTCTTGTGGACGAAACAAACCTTTCTGGGTGGTCTTGAGAGTCGTTATTGTGCGTGTTACGGTCTTCGCACGAAGGTTGCCGGCACCTGAATGATGCGAAGACAAGTGAAAGCCTGTCTTCGATTACCTCATGTAAGTCATCTAGTTTAGTTCTCTCGCACAGATAGAAGTTAATAACAATTCTTCTTATTCTGAGAGAGCCTCAGCCCACTGACGGTAAAATTTAACGAGTCTTCGAGCCTTCCCTTCATTAGCTTTTCTTGAAAGAACATTCCTTTGCGTTCGCTTAATCCTATGAATTCGATTATCGTTTTGCTCAACGAAAGCCAGTTCCTGAAAACAGATATTGATTTTTGAGGTCAGGCTTGAAAACGGATATTGCAACTGAATGACAAATTTTTGTCTGGTAAGGGTCAGGATTAGAAAAAGAAATGCTGCACAATAATAGCAAGAATTCTAGGAAACATATCCTTCGGGGAAAGAGGGAGGAAGATCATTTACTCTGAAGGGGCTAATGATGCAACCTGTTTGGTGCCGACATAGTAAAGATTACTCCAATATAACTGGCGATTGGTGATGGTTTCAAAATCCACGATGTCCTGAATCGCTGTCTATGTGCTCAGATTTCCGCCAAAGCCGATTTAAGCCGATCCGTTAGTGGTCTTTATTTTCCTTGCACACAAATGATTCATACTCAAGATAAAAACGTAGTCCTTAGATGGTGTTTAGCTCAAGGGCAGTGCTGTAACTATAACTCTAAATCTTGAAAAAAGAGGTCACCTATTAGTCACTTAAGAAAACAATGTTTTTACACGCAAATTTAATAGAAAAGCGCACCAGTCCCTTATTTCCAGTTTCCTCAGGGACGGGCTGTAATTTTCGGTATACCCACCGACTATATTCAAAGGGTTGAAAACCGACTTTCCCTCTTCGCAGTCGAACCAATTTCTCACCAAAGGATTGAGGATTGAGGTCTAAAAAGTGGGCGTTTATTTGATAAAATTCAATGGGCAGCCAGGCATCATCACAAAATAAGAAATCCTGAAGCTGTGGGAAAATCTAGTGAAGAGTTTCTAAGACCGTCCCTACAAACTGTTTCACGAGATTTATCCTCACCATTACCTATGATATGCAGCTAACTCGTAGATAAATGAGAAGAAACACAGATATGGAAATTTCTTCGAAATTGGCACACAAGTACGTAAAATGGCATGATCCAGAGGATATGAAGAAACGACTTGCGCGTTCTGATGAATCCCGCCCTTATTCGTCAATTGCAATCCATTTTAATCCTCTCCATCCTTGACAATTTACGCTCCTTCTTAGTTTATCATCTTTTCAATTTTGTTGAGGTTTAAGATAATAGGTCGGTTGTTTAAAAAAAGTTAAGCCATTCTTTAACAAAACCACGTTCTAAACAATCCCCAACTTAGCTGGACCTTTAATCTGAACTTTTACATTTGTGAACGGTATCAAGAGAGCCGAAAGCTAACGGTAGAAGGACATTGTAAATTAAACAATTTTAATTACAATGTGGTTTGTGTTAGACCTGGTGTAAACAACCGGCTCAATCAGTATTGCATGTCATGAAGAAGACTCGAAATTTCGTGACAAGCCACATGAAAGACGAACGAGAGCAGAATTATCCGAGTTAAGAGAGCCAAATCTACGAATTGCTTTAGATTTCACTTGCAAGCTCTAACAATAGGCTCACCCGAGACGTCATTTGAGAGCCAGGTTGGAAAACTGTCAGCTATCAGTATGGTGAAGAGGAAAGCGGAGATAATCATTAGATGTAGTTGGTTCTTGGTGACCGAAAGGTTAGGATATAACTATTTAATAACCTTAACCAAAACCGCCTTGGGGCTTTTTCATGTTTACCAAGTAAATAAGCAAATAACACTGTTGGTCACGTTTTGCTCCCTTTTAAAAGATCATCCTGATTTTTCAGACGATGTAATTTATCAGAGGATGATTCAGAGTAATTTCCGACTCTCTTAAAAAAGGTACATATAATTACACAGCAGAATGTCTAAAGATAAGGTTAAATTTTCAGTCGTTGTCAGTCATGAGACTATGAAATCCCTCCTACCTTAGGGACCAGACCTGGTTTCATTGCTTTAAATCATTTTCTAATTTTGATCAGGAATAAGTGTCAGCGAGCGTGTGGTAGGGCCAAGAGCCTCTAATAAGTCCCCAACAGTTGCATTTTCTCGAAATATACATCTAAGAAGTACATTAGCTCCAATGGGAGATTCAAAACAGACAATTTGATCAAACAGTGGTGCTTTCGCATAGATCGTTTGTGATGGAGATTCAGGTACATTGCCATGCCAGCAGAAGTCATCGTTTATCAACTTCTTGCACTCATCTGGATAATCTGAGAAAAGACCGAGCTGGACAACACACTCGTTTTCGTCAGAGATGGGGGCAATTAACACCGATGGTAGATAGTCGAGCTTCAAGAGTACCTGGAGAAGTTTTGCGTACAGTAAGCCCTGGTGTGGGTACATTCCAAATGTGTCGTCGGACACCCAGAAATGCAGTAGATCGCGCTTAACTCTCCAGTCAACAATTACGTACTCATATTGGCCCCTCTTTTTGTTGTAATACCAGCCGATTGCATCAGCTTCTCCTTGCCAGAAATAAACTTCCGGGGACAATTCACTTTCACTATACATGAATCCGTACAAATAGAAATTGCTATTTAATATTTCTATGCCCAGTTCAAGTATCGATATGGTGTGTTTAGTCCGATACTCTGTCATTTTTTTTTCCTTTAATGTGTCTCTCAGAAGTTTGTGCCATTCATTGCCGAGCGCGTCTCCTCGTGTACGTGTAGGGCCAGCTGTAATAAAAGGAATAGTCTTTACGTCTAAATGATTTCTGAGGCTATCCTTGATGTCCTTACTCATCCGAAAGAAAGGGAGGTTCATGATTATAAGTAACGCCACGTTATGTTTAAAATTCAGATTAAATTATCCTGTAAAGTTTAGTCTTAAGGGCCAAGAACTTCATTTTTGCCGAGATTTGTCCACACTTCAAGTTTCACGGCATGCACCGAGAAGGAGTATTGCCACTCACTCTTTACAGACGAGTTAATAGTCCTTTGAAAACAACCTCCTGCATTTAAAAACAATTTAGACGAATCCTTGAATTCGACCATACCTTGTTAAAGTACTTAATCATCTTCCAGTCGCTATTGTCTGATACGTTCAGGATCTCCATATCAGTTGGCTTGGGTTTGTCTTCCTCGATTTCCTTCCTTCCTTAGGTTTTCTAGTCGCTCTTTGGGTGATATTTTCCAATCATCATCCTGAGAGTGAAACACTGACTTAAAACTTAGTATGCTCATTTTGTTTTCTTCAATGTATATTGCCAAAATTGGAGCCAAGAGCTTCATTAGAGGTAGCTAGCTGAAAATGCGAGAGGTGAAGAGGCTGGGGCGAGACAAGATGAAAATCATAAGCTGTTAGTTAATTATCCACGAGCGATCTGAGACCAGTTAGGTGTCTTCTGCCGCGGAGGAGATTAGTATTCCATCATAACTGAGTTATTCATGAGCTTGCACCCGTCTGGATAGCCATAGAAAAGACCACGCTGGGTAAAAACCCGCTTCCGTCGGAGATAGGGATAACTGATACTGACGGCAAACAGTCGAGCCTACAGGAAGCTGTAGAAGCTTCGCGAGGGCCAGGGCCGAGGGAGGTATCTGGGTCAATTTTTTTCTGAAAATGTGCCGCTGGCCTCTCAGAGCCCCTTACCCCACCATAGTCTACTCTGTGGCCAGTTATAGACCCCATCTTAGCCACCTTTAGAATAAGGTAACAAATTTTTAGCCGCGAATTCCTAATTAACAGAATTTTCTTATCCCCAAAACCCCGAAAATGCGAGTCTTCTTTCTAGTAACTCAAATGAAAATGTAACTCTATTATAGTTAATCCAGTCGTGAAAATGCGGTCCCATCCAGCGGTACATCTCCAGTAGCCTATTCCAAGGAATTAAACCCAAACCCCCCCCCACCCCAAGGGGAGCCAAGCCCTGGCGTAAGTACATCCCAAATATGTCAAAGAACACTCACACTTTTAATAGATTGTATTAGTAGTCTTTTAGTCAATGAGGACATATTTATCCTAGCATCGCTTCTCGTTGAAGTACCAGCCGATTGCATCCACGTCTCTTGCCAGAAATATACTTAGGGTGAAAATTTATTTTCACTCTTTATGTAGCCATTCTGATTGTAGTAAAAAAAAAATCGACTTGATGAGTAGATAATAGCCTCCATACGGTGCGAAAATATACGCAGATATTTTTCCGCGGACATTATCAGATCCGAGAAGCGAAAAATTTACAAGAGCAAAGCTCGAGGAAAATTGAAGGCTTCAATTCACTTGATGCGCCTCGACCAATCGCACCTGAGCCATAAATATTAGTCAAAAATGATGTCATTTTGCAGATATCAAAGAGTTAAGCGGGACACAAGTCCGATTTTGCAAGTCAATGCCACATAAGAAGGGCTTTCATTACAGATGGCCTTAGTGAAAACATGTTCCCAAAGTAATTTGGGTTTTTTAGACCCTCTGCTCAATGAAAACTTTTCTTAATTAATGCAAAGGTACTTTGCATAACAATAGAACGCTCGTGGCTCCTCGTATATGCATATAGTAGAATAAATCATTGCTAACTCACATCAATGGATTGTTAATTTATTTAATCAAAATAACTTTCAAACTGGAAACAAAAATAAATGCTGTAAGGCAATTCTGGAAGCTTATAAATCTGAAAACGTTTTTCCCACAACATGCCAGCGATAACAAATTTTAAACAAATTGAGTCATTTAAAAAACACTGTTTAAGATGTACTCAGTTCTCTTTTTATTTCTTTTAAAAGTCGCGAAAGAAAATTTGGCTCTGCATAGAAGCAGCAAATGGGTCATTTTAAACACTGTTAAAGATGTTCCACTCAGTTGCCTTCACGTTTGAATGTTAATAAATTCACGATGTGGAGCCTAAATCCTCTGCAATACAACAGCTAATATATATGAAAATAAAAACATCTAATGGAAAGCTTAACTTGATTTTGCTGCGCTCTACAACTTCAGTTTGCTCTAGTCTCGCGGTGCTAAGTCACTGCATTTGAAAATTCTTTGAAAAGCTAATATGGGAATATTTTGAAGAGGCAGATGAGTAATTTTAAGCACTGTTAAAGATGTACTCAAACTGACCAAATTAATCCACATAATCGTACAAAAGTAACACAATAAAATTTTAAAACTGACCGGTGGTAAACTTCTTATCTTTGTTCCCATGGTCAAATTTTTTCTAAACAATCAATTTTAAAAAGGTTGATACACTTATGCATTACATAATTATTTCTTAGATGTTCAATTCAATGACAAAATGACCCAAAAAAAAAGCAAAGTAACTGGATCTGCTTTACTTTAAATGTTCACTTGGGAGTTCGTTCTTGAGTCAGGAGCTTTGTGGCTTTTCATTGGCAGCATCTTCGTCTTTTTACTACAATGCATTTGCAATGGCTCTAAATATCCTTCTGGCAAGCATACCTTTACATTCTTCTTCGATCATCTTTTTCTGTTTTTTCAGCCATTCGTCCACGTAGTTGCGGTCCGTGCCCTCTGTAGGCAAGGCTTGGAAATCGGTCTTGACTTCTGGTACGGCGGCATGGAAAAGTTGGCAAATAGACTTCATATCACTGGCTTCCACCTTCATTACTTTGTAGAAGATTTTTTGTACTTCAGTTGGTTTGTCCTCGCTCTTCCTGGCGTTGTTTTCAAACTTTTGCAATTCTTGTTCCATAATAGAGAAGAAGTTAGCTGCTTTAGAAATTCCCTCAATGAAGGTTTCCAAAGCGGGGATGAGGGTTTCTTTCACTGCCAAGGCGGCTGATCCGTGGATAAAGGCTTGCAATTTTAAAGCGGTGGCTTTTGCCAAATTTTGGTCAGCACTAGCGTCTAAAATGGTTCTGGCAATCGTACCCACGTACGGGACAAAGCAAAGAGCCGACGCCCAAAAGCGTTGGTTGTCTGCCATTTTTAGCTGCTCTTCCTTCTTCTTCTCAAATTCGTCGTCAAGGCCATTTATTTTAGATACGAGCATACCAGCCTGGTCTCTCCTCTTCTTAAGGGGCACCAAAATGTCGTAATGCAGTTTCAATATCGTCATACAGAGTTTCTTGTAATCAGCAGTATCCTTGCGGATCGAGGAAATACTTTCATGCCACTCATCAAACGAAAGAGCGTCGTAGTTATCAAAGTATGCGCTGATGGATGTGACAAACTCGGTTGTTAGAGGAAGGATGCCCTCAATGTACACCATGGCATCATTCCTGGTGTCGTCGCGGAGTTTTCTGAACTCTTTGGCAACCTCTTCGTCAGTGCCCACCGCTTTTTCTGCGTAGAGGGACCTCATGGTAAGGGAGAACAATCTCATATTACCAGACATATCCTTCAAAATTCCCCGAAGCTCGTCGACCTCCTTCTTGGTTTTTTTCTCCATGGCACTAATCTGCGAGTAACAAAAGAGATCGCACTTTAAAACATATTCGTGGTAACGTGCTCGCTCAACGTCAAAGTATAGTTTATGTGCCCCCAATCATTGACTAATAAGCAGTTCAGTCGTTTTCTCCTGAAAACTTTGCGCAAGATTTCTCACGACAAAAAGTGAGAGCGCTTTTACACAAAGAATCTTGGGAAAATGCACGCTCTGAGAGATACGTAATTCTTCCTTGGGATCAACATACATTTTTATTCAAACTGTAAAAAAATTTGACGTTACTTCAAGATAAAACCCTTTAGTCAACGAGTATCTTAATATCCATCCAGGTTTCGTTAGATAAGTGATTTAGATCAGATGAGGAAGATGAAATGATAATCACTTCTGAGGGTAAATTCTGATAAGAAAGGATAACCTCACTAGCGGAGGTTTTTCGAAACGATTGAGAGAAAACAGAAGGGTTTACCACAAAATCGAATAGAATAAACTATTGGGAATTAGGAAACAAAAGCAGCCTGTTGGACTTGAGACCCCTTTTGTTAACGAAATAGATATGAAGGATCGTAAAACATCCGACAGGAAAGCATTTCCCAATCAGTTTGCATGTGGACTTCAGTCTTATTCGGAATTGTATGAAACGCCTGGCACAAAAAGTATTCGTATTTATTTCTATTTTCTGCCAAAAGCCCGCTCATTTGTATAGTTCTTCTATTGAAGGTAACTTGTTTGTTTCTTTTTTTTTTTTTTTTTTTTTTTTTTTTAGTATGACGTCACGATAATGAGAACGTTTGGGTCTCACCAATGTGGCCTGGGTTCGATTCTCAAACCTGCGGTCGTGTATCTGTTGATTGTCTTTTTGATCTCATTTCCGAGGCTTTTTCTCCAGGTTCGTTGGTTTCTTCTCTCTTTGAGAAACAATACTCTACATTTCAATTCGGAGCGTTTTTTCCCTTGACCTTTCCGATCTTGAAAGGACTTTCAAATTAAGTAGCTAAAATAGATCATCTGAAAAATAGAAGCGGTCACTGTAAATTATCTTAACCTAGACAAAGTTATGAGCCGAAATGATTTCCAAATAGTATCGACAACGCTAGTTAATTTATAGTTTTGTAAATTTCTTCAGCCTTAGTCGTCGTTCTAAAAGACTAACAAGTCTGCATAAGCTCTGAAATTTTTTACTGACCTATGTAATATGGCCTGTTATACATGTAATAATCACTTGGGTATAACCTTGCACAGTTTTAGATTAAACATGTCAGCCTCAATCCTATTAGATGCTTTTTTAAGAGGGGTTAACGGAGCAATGTCATCATCTTTGCGCAACTATCTCTATGTTTTTCCATGTCTTATTTACATAGCAAATAATCCTAAATGATATTTTATGTTATTATGATAGGCTCAAACTTTTGTTTATCACATTATGCAACATATTTCCAAACTTCCGTGTCTTAGAGAAGCGGTTCTCTCGCTTTAATGTATGATGGGTTTGCTCTTGTTCCCTATGTTCGTTTTTTTATAACATAGGCATGCGTAGCATGCAAGAGTTATTTTTTTGGCCGGAGATGGGACAGTTTGTGTACTTAATGTTTTCATTTTTATAACCGAAAAGAGCATAACTTTCATAAAAACGAAAATATCGCAGAAAGACAGAAAAAAACCTAGTTTATCTGATCTCACACAGATATTTTGTGGTCTATTGTCCTCTGGTCTAAATACTTTCCGGTAAAAGTGCAACACAACGCCTTCTATTTCCCGTTGGAGAGAGAGCGCGTTGCTTAACGAGACCAAGTAACGGTTGCGAAAGAGACTACACTTACTGGTGTTCCTCTTACAGAGGGAAAATCAAAATTATTCGTCTACAGTCAGTTACCTCAAAAGTATAAATCCGCATAATTTAACTATTAAAAACAAACTGAACCTCTATTGTATCTCCTATAGACCTCAACCAAAGATATATTGCAATCTCGAATGAGTGAAGATACATTTAACAAGAGAAAAGGATCATATTTCGAAGGTTGTTGCCTATCTGGACTTTGCCCTCATTGTGTGAAATAAGTGATGAAATCCACGCTGTTTTACAAGGAATTAACACGAGATTGAGTAAAGTCCAAAGTAGATAAAGGCTAATTTTATTCGTAAAAAAAGTCAAAACGTGGAAGAATTGCGTGAAAAATTCACTACCGGTGGCATTTAGTTCCATCTGATTTTTTTCAGTGGGTTGGACAATGCGGTAAGAATATGTGATTAAATGCAGTTTGTTTACAGGGAAATGACACGAGATGGAGCGAAGTCTAATTTGGCAAAATGGAATTTGATTGGTGGAATACAATTCAAGCAAGTGAATGATTGCCCAATGTTCACTTAGTGCAATGATTACTGGGATACCTGTGGTAGCCCAGTCATAAAACGCCTTTGTTTTTTTGTCGTCTTTTTTTTTGCCTCCACCACAAAATGGAAAAATTGCGCAATAGTACCCAGTGGTCATTGGGCCCTCAACGCCATGACAACTGACTGTGATCCAGTGAGGATGAAGGTGTTCACATGCTGATCACGTGTGTTGTGTTGATGATGATTGACGTTGTCATTCACGGACAGGGCCTGGTCACATGACGAACCACGAGATTTTTGCTTATAAAACTCTTTGTCAGTCATTTTGTATTTGTTCTGGGGTTGTTGTTTTGGCGATGGAGGTTCAACGTTTTTGGTTTACGATTACCTGGAGCTTTATGGTGCAAACGCTCAAAATACTTACAGACACATACACAAGTCGTATTGTTCGCGGCCAATCCACACTAAAATATGTTATTGAGCGGTATTTTTGGAACGGATTGCGTCGCGAACGCTTGAAAGCCATGAAAGCCATGAAAGCCTTGTATGCCTTGACAGCCATGAAAGCCTTGCATGCCTTGTATGCTTTGTAAGCCAAGTGTCTTAGTTGAAAAACGTACACTTGTTGAAAAAAGCAAAATCTGAAATCTGAAACCAAACTGCATATACTCTATGCAATCAATTGAACAACATTACTACCGTGAGACTGAAGAACAAAACACTAATGGATGCAAACTGCTTGTGAAGAAAGACGCCATATTGGATTAACTTCACCAAGGAACGTAGCTACGATAACAGTACGAATGGTATTAATTTCACGATCAGAAAGATGAATCTTACGTTTTTTTTCATTGTTGTTGTAAGGATATTCTTTTTTAATAAATACTTGATCCAAAATCCTGTGTTTTTTGTGGCTAATGTTATAATGTTATCTATTAATTGTTTACGCAATTGTCTTTTGGGCTAATTTCTACGTAAAGTTGTTGATGTCTTCAGCGAAAGCTGCCGTGAATAGCTTCAATGAATGTAACATATTTGAGAAAGCTGCTCGGTTATCTGTTATTGTACATGATAATAAGCTTAATAATAGCAATGATGAAGCATTTTCAATAAATACAGTCTGTAACTGTAGATCTCGATACGACAAATTTGTTTACTTTAATTGCCCTCATACCCATGGTATTCGTGTTCGTAATCGTGGGCCCAGCGGAATACCAAAGAAAAGAATTACACGTATTTTGAAGAAATCCAGGAAAGTAAGACGTTTACTTCGAACCTACATCTGAAAAAGCATACCGAAGTCTTCCCGAATGTATCTTTTTTTAAAATAAAGCTCGTGAAAAAATATATGCACATGGAATCAGATGTGAGAATAAAGGAACAACGAAATATCCCTCTTCTGCAGTCAGGAGAAAATAGTCAAAGTCTAAAAAACACAGGATACTGGAAATGCAAAACCAATATCCACATGTAATAAAAAGTCCACAGCCAAAATAGTCGAATGCATGGAGGTCTAATTCAGTACCAAATGTATATTAAAATCTGAATCACAGGGTAAATCGTTTTTAGTTCAGTCTATCTGGGAATATAGAAACAAACCCCGGTCCTGTTATTAATTCTACTAAAACTATTCAAGCTCCTTACAGTCAAGACAATGTGGTAATGTTTGGATTAAATGCTGGTACATAGTTTGTAGCCATGTCACTTGCTTCCCTCATGTATAACAAGAGGAAGGGTATTGTATCCTAAATGGACTTGGTTAATATCATGAACATTGGTAATAAATTGTATTCTGGTCTATCTAGTCTATCCAGGCAATCCTATCTACTATTAACAGAAGTACCTGAAATGATAAGTGTTTAATATTAATTATTAGCTTCAATATAGTCCAAGCTATACTGGTACTATACATGGTACTTGTGAAGTACAAGATTTCAATTATTATGTGTCATTTGCTAATGCTATGCAGGCTTTGCTACGACAAAATTATAATTCCTTTCTTTTAACAATCCGTAGTACTACAGTAGGTTTTTACTGTAATGTTGATGGTAAGTTTATGATATTTGATTCTCATGGTAGAGATTCATATGGTATGCCCCATCCTCAAGGAACTTGTGGACTGTTAGAAGTTAACACCTTAAATGAGCTGATAAATTATTTTCAAGGTCTTTATTAAGATCCAAATGTTTTATTTGAGGTCAAAGGTGTACATATTAACGAAAAACAATGTGATATGACAGATATTTCTGATCAACAGTTGTCAGCTGTCCCCCTTAAAGCAAATCATGTAGGTGAAGAAATCATAACCATTCATATTCTCTTGCTATGCTGTTGTGCCACATCTTTTTATAGCATTTGTTTTTCCATTATCAAATATTGTGGGTATTGGAATTCACAGACTCTAGGTGGAATCACTGACCATGCAAACAAGTTTTACAAAGAAAAACTCAGTGGTGATAACCATCCACTGACTAACAACAATTTCCCAAGGACAGCTCAAATATATGATGATATTGCCTTTAATTTGGAGAAAAAGGAATACTACGCTGTACATCTCTTAGTAACAAAATTTTGCTTCAAAAGTTTATCACAGATAATACTGAGGATAATACTAGGTTTTTAATGTGGATTTCAAATTATTGCTTCGACTGTATTTTTCAGCACAATAATATAAA